TCTTTATACGCCGCTGCGCGGCGACGCGGCCGCGGCGCGGCGCGGGAAATTGCAAATTTCAGACGCGGTTCGCGCCAAGAGAACCGCGATTCTCAGCGCGCTGCGCGCACTGAGAATCTACAAATTCTGCTCATGCCAACTCAAGAAGTTGAAGTTGGATGCCAACATGGAGGATTCTTTCTCTGTTCCATTTCTTCGCTCTACCAATTGCAAACCGGGCACTTCAATATAGGGTGTATATGACCGGGTGGTATTGCATAAGTACGTAACGCTTGGGCGTATTTTTATGCCATGTTTCACGTCGATGTTTGAGCGCTCCTCTCCCCGGCCTGTGGCTAGTGGGAAACTCCCGGGATGCAGAGAGGCCCTCATGTGCATAATACAAGATTTGCACGCGTGCTTTCCATTTTGAACTTTGAAGTGAAAACAATGTAAACAGTTGAAGTCACATGCATTCCTGCATGCCATTCAGAGGGAAGAAAAGCCAGGACGATGCTACGGAGGACGCGTCAAACACTGGCTGAGAGCTTCTGCCACTTAACTAAGCAGACGTCGGTATTAGGCCAAGGAGGATGGGGCGAATGACTGATCCGCATTCTCCTGATCAATAGGCGTTTTAAGATGTGAGAGGTTTTGAGACTTTCTAGTGGCCGACTGGGGCTGACTTGTGAAGAACACTTTAGGACGCCGGACGGCCTTGCAAAGCAAAGGGGGTAAAATGGTCGTCATATCTCATGCATACACGGTAAGTTTGTCTAGATCGAAAGTCCTGCTGACCAGATTAGGGTTTGCCCACAGCAATCAAAAACTCTGAGACCTGAGGGCATGAGCAGCGGCTTCTTGCAGCATTGTGAGTCGCAATGTCTGTCATTCTACCCGGTCCTCAAACTAGAACGTCCAAAGCACTTGCTGAGAATTAGGATTCGTGTTGCATTCTTGAGGGTAAACTATTCCAAAATGCCCAGGAGCAAAGCTTGTTGCAAAAACGGGTCTAGGATGAGGAACTCTTAGAAACGTGTGACGGTGATCTTTGTCCAACCTGCAAGAGTTCTTTTGCATCTTGAAAGTTCAGATATGACAGTAAGATTTGAAAGAACTTACTGCAACATATAGCATGGTACACTTGAACGCTGGATTGTGGATGCTTGTTTTACCCTCCAAGTGTTAGACAACGTGTGCCCCTTGTTCTTCTCCCCTCATAATTTGCTGTAGACATACCTACCTTGCCCATCCCTTAGGAAGGGTGCAATGCAGGATCCGATTGGTAAACCACAGAACGAAGGAACAGTATAGCAGGCTAGCCTTCCAGTCCGACTGCCTTTGGTAAAATCTTTGCATGTTTCAAGGCAGTTGAATCGAGGAAGCATGTTCTGCTATGGTTGCAAGGCAAAGGTAAATGTACAGTGGATTCATGTAACTAGAAGCAATGCAACATGTCCTCAGTCTGCATCTTTCCTCGTGCAGGCCGCCTGGGACCAGAGGGTAAAGGACGACTCCTTTGCCGCGAGGGTGAATCAGACCATCCTGAAGGCTGCTCTAAGAAATGAAATAACCGGGGGGCCAACCGCTGAGAATGCAAGAAGGGATGCCTCAGGGCACCAGGTAAGCAAACAGCTTGTCAATTTATGGCGTCCTGTTGTCAACCAGAGTAGGTATTGACAACAGAGATGGGGGTTCGAAGCTGGGGACGTCAAGGTTTTGAGCTTCTAATCTTTCCAGCTTTCTACTTCCTGGTTGCTGAGCGGAGGAAAGAGACTTGGACAGTATCTGCTTATTCATTCAAGAAACGGCAAAGGCAGGTAACAGATACCAACAGCTCTTGTAATGAGGGCCGAACGACACTCTTTTTAGTGAAAGAGCAGGGTGTCCAAAAGGTAACGCCCTGATGCCTTTGGTAGTCACAGGGTTCTTGACTATCAACCTGGGGGGTCTTGAGCTTTTGCTTTTTGTTGCTTCAACCTCTGAACACAGGAGGAATGCCGAAGGGTACATTGTTAGCCTTTGTGCATTTCTCAATCGTCTTGCAAACGAGGGGTTTATGGGAACCTCGTCGAAACATTTTGTCCTTTTGCTCGTTGAGCTCCAACCCAGTACGCTTTCTTCTTGTCAGGGAGAGGCCCTGTTGTCGCTGCCGCTGCCAGCCCCCCGGTGGGAACAGCCCCCTTCTCCAGCTGCCGCACAGCTCAACGGGGCCTGCGAGATTAGCTCTGCCTTAGGAAGCCATGCCACGTGTCAGCCTGACGTCAGCCGGGAGCCAAGCGGGAATGAGGCCGAGATCCAGCTGCCTGTCAGCAGGTTCGAGGGGCTACAGGCGTCAACTGGGCAGGGCAGGTCTAACCCCCCACTGACGATGCGCGCTATTAACCGACCGCACACCGCTCGGCCAAGCAGTAAGGGCTCCAAGCCTGGAGGGAGCACCGGTGTCATGGCTGCCCGGGCTGGTCACCTTACGGACAGGGTCCACGTTATGGACCGAACAGCTGGAGCTCGCCCTGAGAGAACTCCCTCTTCCAAGGTTGTGAATAAAAAAGAGGCGTGGGGCGAGAGACAGGGGGGCGCTCAGTCCCTCTCAATCAAAGGATCTACTCCTAGGGGAATGCAAGGAGTTTCGCGCCCAGTCAGCGGCTCATTGGGGCGGTCAAAGCTGACCCTCGACTTGACCAGCGTGAGGGTTACGGCCGGGAGTGCAACGCCCACGTACCGAACGTTCCGCATGCCACGGTCGCCAGCTGTCCGAGCGGCAGCCAATGTCCGGACGCCACCTGGCAAAGCGGCCCTCCAGCAGACGGCTTCCGTGCAAATTCTGTGCCTCGAGACTCCTCGTCCGGATGCAGAACCAGTCTCCTCGCCGCCAGTGGGGCCTGGTGGGTCGGAGCCCAGTTCTGAAGCAGCTGTCGAGGCTGCCCCCGGGACAGAGAGTGCGGCTGTCAGGCAGGAGGCAGCGCCTCCCGCCTTCAAGGAAGAGGTGCCAACGGAAGTTTTGGCGGCCCGGGCGCGGCTCGAGAAGGTCCAGGAGGACGTGGTAAAATATCCGCTCATGGCGAGGGTGCGGAAGAGCCGGAAGCCGGCGGGGAAGCAGCCCAGCCAGCCTGGGGCGCAGGTCAGCTTCGCACTGGAAAAAGTCTCGATGCTCATGTTTGGTTACACGCTGTTATCTTCTTCTGAGCTCGGTGCACGTCGTTTGAGTACATCCTGTGATATTCAGCTGAGCTCGAGCACGAAGTACGTAGTGAAAGGCGCTCCTCGACCTGACGGGATGCAGGGGCATCTTGACTATTCGACCAATTTGCAGAAGAAATCAAGGGGTTTGCAGGACGGAGGTCAAGGCTTGATGTAAAGAGTCAAAGCGACCTCGATCTTGATGAATGTCTTCAAAAACTCAGATGGGCCTAAGACTCCCGGCTTGATGCATTCAGCGCCCTCCGTTCCAAACGCCGTCTCCGTTAGAAAAGCTTCGTTTTCTGTACTCCACTCCGAAGCTCAAACACACTAAGCAAAGTCCGAGCCTTTGACTCAGAATGCGCTCTGCTGATCTCGATCGGGCAGTTCTCGAAGTGCAGCACACTAACATAATCCTCGAATCTCGTCATGAGACTCGGATGTCAACGTTGGCTTCTTGCAAAAGCTATACACCTCCGGTCGGAAAAGGGGACAAGGCTCCGCCTTCAGACGGCCCGTCGTTTGACAAAGCTGGAAAACACCCGTCCATCGACTCTTGAAAAGCCACCTGTCTGACATATTGCTTTTCAATCTGCAGATGATTCCGGCCCGGAACTCCGCCGGGCAGATCGTCGGCGAGGTGGAGATTCCGGCGGACATTGTCAACGGAGAAAACCGCGCGGCAGCCGTTCCTATGGTTCTGGACCGGAACGCCTGGAAGGGCGCCCGGTTGACGGGCCCCGAGGAGGAGAAGGCGCGGCAAGAAATGAGGCGCGCGTCGCTGCAGCTGTGGCGGAACGCGAACGGGGGCTACGTGGTGCCCAGCAAGGTGTGGTCCAGTACCTTTCGGTGCATTTTTTGGCGCCCGGTTTGTCGCTTATTTCCCATCACTTTCCTTTCAAATCCGGTTTGCAACTGTCGCGACCAAATGCGTTACAACCGAATCCCTAAACCGTTTTCCTTTTGCTTCACCTGAGCTTAAGTCTTAAAGGAACGCTCGATCAGGTATCCTGTCCATGGTCGTAACGCATTGGTCTTACGCGTCTCAGCACCATGCCAAGCAGAGCAACGTCAGCTTCTCATCTCGGGCGAAAGCCGCCGGGGCAAGAACTGCGGCCTTCGATACCAGGCATCTGATGTATGCTCCACAAGAATTGGTGCGCCTAGACACAAACGTGGGCTCTGAGCGAACACTCAGCTCCGCAATAAATCTTTCGAATCCGGATCCGAAAGCATTCGAAGTTCGTCCCCGGAACTTAGTATGCAGCTGGACACGTTTTGGACGTTTTCGACGCGTCGAGTCTCACCGTAGTGAAAGAAGGCGCCAACCTTAAACGACCAGAGACAAGCTTGCGTTTCTTAACCGCATTCCTGACACTTTGAAGGAAGCAGCTAAGTGGACCCCGTCAAGCTCCCGCCGGCTCCGCTTGCGACACAGGCGAAGGGATTGAAAAAACCAAAGCTTGGAGGAAAGCCAATACCTGGGAACGGTGAATACTACGCGGCGCAGTACCAACACGAAGGGCCTTTACTTCTAGCTTCGGACATCTTGAGCATCTCACCCTTTTTCGTTTCTTCCCTCTAGCATCGCATCATTTACGAAGGGTCTCAATTTCCAGAGTCAGACCTCTAAAGAACCTCACCACTCTCATTTCTTCCATCTGGCCAGCCGATCGTGAGCGACTACCGGGACCAGATGCGGTGGAGGCCGGAGGAGCAGGACCAACTGGACGACACTTACCACAGCCATAAGTCCGCATTCAAGGAGCTCATTGAGATGGAGCTTTTGTACCGGCAGAGGATAGCCCTCGCAAAGAGGGACATGTAAATTGACTAGGACGGCATCCATTGGGATGTCGTTGGGTTGATTGCATATTAGAGATCAGTAGGGGCGTTGCGTTGGCAGCTGGAACGCGCGACCAGTGGTGTGGCATCAATTACGTGCATAGGGATGCCCTAGTAAGGAGATACTTCAGCGGGCGTACTTTGCATTTATGCGGCAAAGGTGCATAGGAGCACAGGAAAAGGAGGGAAACGGACTTAGCGACCAGCTTAGGGCAACTAAGTAAATGCGGAGAGTTCTGACCCCACGATGTGTCAGTGGCCCGGCCTTGCACGCAATACATGAGAATTAGCACATGTATGCAAGGCAATCCAGCACTTGTCCTGCGTGCAGAAAGAGGAGTAAATATGAAGCCACTCGTTGTCCGGGCTCCCGCCACATAATCTGCGGAATGTCACGGCATAAGACGCGATGATGTTTGATGTACCAGAAAAGTTGACGTCTAAGCCATTCCATGCAACGTTTCGGATGCAGCCATTGTAATGATTGCACTCATGCACGACAAAAAAATGCTGGAGTCTAGCCATATGGCCGGTGCAGCATGTCATGTGTCGGACAGCATAACTCGATGGTGTCCTGTGCAGGTGCGCGCACGTACATACATACTGGACTGATCAGCTGTATACCTATATCCATAGACGGTTGCAATCAACTGGAGGACATGATTGAGCAGAATTTTAAGGAGTTTCAGGCATGACTCGTCGGATCACATGTGTGATCTTTTCTCAAGCTTGATGCATGCGGCGTGCAACCATGTCATATGTAGCTGGCATCTGAATCCAGTGATTGGTGCGCGGTGGCGGCTTGGCTTTATAACCAAGAGCTAGCTGGCGCGCGCGGCCAAGCTCTTCGAATTCAATGCATGCCAAGTGAGCTGAACTGAGACACATACGGCCACTGCAGGACTCGGGATTCGGCCGCATCTATAAGGTGAAATTTCATCGCAATAATTCTAGATTGTTGCCACGCTCCTAGTCTGAAATGTTTTCTTGCTCGTTCTTGATTTCTAGCTAAGTATGCGAGCACTGCAAGCGTTGTCTACCGGCCGGTCACTACATCTCGAGAATGAAATAAGGGCAGAGAATTGCGAGCTACACAATTTTGACACTCGTTTCCTGCATGACAGCTACAGACAGACCAGATTCAACCCTCTAATTCTGTGCACTATTTCACATCAAAGTTTTAATTTGCGGCCGCTGCTACAAGGAGGCCCGCCAAGGCAACTCCCAAGACGTTTAAAGACATTACGGGGGGCGCCGCAGCTGATGGCGTAGCAGCAACTGGGGGAGCGTTCCTTATTGTCCCATTGATCATGTAAGGGATGTTGCAGGTGTCGAAGACTCCCTTCGCTTTCTGAGCAGCGTCCGAGGGCTGAATGCGTTGAAGGAAAGATGATCAGACAGAGAGTATAAGCACATAAGTGTTGTTGCCGGATGGAGAAATGGTGACGTATGCAAGGGGAGCATGTATGACTCTGTCAATGCTCATGCACTTATTGTACAGCAGTCCAGCTAACATCAGAGTGCCCCCTAAGGATTGCGGATCCAGGTCGTATGTCCCGAAACTCCTAAGGCCAACGAAAATCAACCAACCCCTTGAAGGTTGCAACTTTGGCTTCAAACCAACCAACGAACATTCTAAATCTCAACTCCAATTGAAGCAGGGCAATGTCTTACAGAGGTGGCTGCAGGCGTTCCGCAACTCTTGAGAGGGTAGTATAAAACCAACCAGCGAACATCTTCAAGTCTTGATTCAGTCGAAGCAGGGCGACAACTTACCGAGGTGGCGACGGACGATCTGCAAGAGAAGGGGATGCCCTCCACCACTTGACGGCAGGTTTCTGAGCAGGACGACGCTTGGACAACGGCGTTTGTGGTGAGCTGAGTCAGCAGCGTCCCACAGGCGGCATAGAACGTCTGCAAAGAGAAGTTGGAAACTGAATGATGGAAGGTGAGGGACAAATAGAGAGCCATGTTTATGACCTCTTTTCGAAACTGTAAATCCGCCAAAAGGGGAATACCAAGGAATCGGAACTTTGAAAGCTAATCAGCCTTATGAGTGGGGGGGTGCCCTTGACCATCATGCCATCTTTGACGACCGCAGGTCTCAAACCATGAAGAGGCCAAAAGGATACCAAACTCCTGAAGCGCCTGAAGGATGCGGTAGGACTGAAGCAGACTTTTCTGTGCAACCTAGTTAGAACTCAGAGTTGCCTCCATGCAGTTGGTGGTAAAGTCTGAACAGTCAGATGGGAAGTTGCTGGACGTACAAGAAGATTTAGAAACAGCGATGAAAGAGAACATACCTCCAGGGGGGCAACTTGGAGGAAGCAGAGGGTGGGACACGTCGCTGTTTTCACCGTTTGCACCGCAGCGGTTTCATTAACCAGACCACCACGGTTCATGCAACTGCAGAGATCACAAGCGCTCTTGATTGTCAGATAGGGCTATAAGTGCGAGGAAGTCAAATGTGATCATGACCACATGTGAGCGGCGTACACTCCAGCGCCTCAGCTTCCATCCAGTGACCCGACCATGATGGGCTGGACTGTCAGCAGTACACATGGCAAGCAAGCGTAAGAAAGTGAACTGATCCCGCCTGCCTTTCCAAAGGACTCTGCAACCTTATCAAATCTTAACTGAAGCTACCTAAGTGTTGTGCTCTTCGTGCTCCACTGAAAGTTTCAAGGGATACAGTGATAACCTAGGAACTGCAGATAGCAAGCTGAACAGCACACCACCATCAAAAGTAATTTTGACAGTAAAGTGACCGCAGTCTCCTACAATGACATCACAAATAAGTGTCCTGTCGCCAGCGACCACCTTGTGCTCACCCAGCTAAGGCGTCAGAGTACAACGCAGCCTGGCACTGGTTGGTGCAGAGCAATTGAGACGAGTTGGTTGTCCTGTAGGCCACCTGAGCAGTGGCGACGAGCTGGAAAGGGCAAGACCCCCCACATTGAGCGGGAAGAGCAGAGAAACAAGGATCGCTGCAGGATGTGTCCAGCGCGCGGATGGGTTGCACGTTCAGCATGAGGAGCACTGCCCCCAGGAGAAGAGCTCCAGCGGTCATCTTCGATTTGGAAGCCATTGTCGCTGCTGGAACAATGCGGACCGGGACAGCGTCTACGTAGATCTGACGACGGCAGACAGTTGTCAGACCAACATGCCCGGCCACTGCAAATCCTGCAGGTGCTGCCAACGCCGACGGAAGGCAAGAAAGATACGGTAGTGCAGTATAAGCCAAGGTTTCATTACATACTACTATTACTAGCTCCGACTAGCAGTCGATGCGGTGACCCCTAACCCAAAACTATCCTGCTCGGCAAACCCTGTTCCCCGAACCTAACACCCAAGTTAGCCCGATCCGTAGGAGTCCGTTTATAAAATTATTTTTGTAGCTAATATGCTGATCTGCAATTGTCTGCAATCTCAAATGTATTCGAAGCTTCAAAGTTGTCGACCTCTGATCCTGCCCAGGTGGGCGCTTCTGCTTCTCTCAGGCCTAGTCAGGGTTCCTGGTACTAGTACCTAGAAGCAGCCTCTGGCTTAGGTCTGAATCCTTTCTGGCAGGTTCCGGTGATCATGTGGGGATCAAGCGTGGAGCCGAGGACGTGGTGCACGAGCTCATGCGTGTCGGTGGCGCCATAAGTGATTTCACATGTGAGTACGTCCCCGAAATCTCGGGCATCCAATTGCACTTCTCTCTGGGCAGTAGATAGGTATGGGCTAACTTTTTGCGTCAGTTTCTGTGCTGCATTTTACTAATATTTCGTCAGGAATTTCTGCTTCACCTTAATGTATTTGGCGCTGGTCCAGGAAACCTGATGTAGTGGTGGTGCTTGTTTCCATCAAAGTTTCTGAAAGGCGCTTTGCATCATTTGGTTGCGTTAGACCTTTCCAATTGTAGGACGTCCCTGTATTCTGACAGATGCATCAGAATATCTGGCCCGGCCCCACCTTATTCGCAAGAGGCCTATCATATACAGAACCTATTCAAAGATGCTAGAGTCGGCGGCGCTGCCTTCAAAGCACCCGATACATTTTCCCTGTTGAAAATCCATCAATTCGAAACAAGAGGGCAACTCAGATGGTGGTGGTACTCTTTTCTGACCCAAATAATTGATCGTTTGGCCTCACTTAGGAGACTAAACCTTAGTCAGCCCCAAGGTTGCTGCAAATCAAAAGGTTTCGCTCTCCAAACTTGCTGTAGGACGAGCCTGACTGTTTGTCCAACTTTTTTGCAGTGACCAAGTGACACGCGCCGTAAGTACTTGGAATTCGCTTTGTTTGGCAGCAGTCCACTCGCGCATTTTGAAGTATGGCTGAGCCTGTTGTCTTTCCAGGCTTCAAGGAGAAAAGGGTGCTTGTTACAGGTGAGACCCTCGGAGTTCCTGGCCTTTGCGAGCAATATGTTGTGACAGCGACACAACGGACTGGCAGTTGGTGTATTGTTGGCCTAGTAAGGGCCAATGGTTTAAGTCTGTGGCTTGTCGTCTTAAAGATTCATGTCTTTGATAAGACGTACTCTGAACCTTCTCATTGAGGCTTCCAGTATGGTTTGGAAGCAGCTATTGTTTCAATTGTATATGCGGTGTTAAACAGTTGAAGAAGATCAACTATATCAAGTGCGGTATGCCAGGCTCAGTGAAGCTTCATGAAGAAGTGAATGGACTGTCCTCTGGAACCTCATCATCAACTGAAACGATCCTGAGGCGTTCTGGAACCAACTCTGAGAGAACGTTTGATCTTGCCTGAATACGTCCAATGATCCTGAGGCGTTCTGGGACCAACTCTCAGACAATGTTCGAAGTTGTCTGAATTGTCAATGCTCCTGGGATTGAAGTTTCTTAATCTGCTACTGTATGAAAGGATTAGGTCAAGCAAATTGTCTCCTGTTTTGATCTCTGCTTAGGCCCTTAGGGACTTCGCTTGTCATGGTTGTATGGTTGCATCCTTTCATGGTTTTGTGGTTGGCGAACTGCCAGTATCATTGAACTTACTGAATAACTCCTGTCGCCTGATTCAGGCGGGTCTTCTGGGGTCGGTTTTGCGACAGCTCAGGCGTTGAGCGCCAGTGGGGCCGTAGTAACCCTCCTAGCCCGCAATGAGGAGCCGCTGAAAGCAGCCTGCGAGGAGCTGCCAGGCACGTCACACTACGTCGTGGCGGATCTGACGGAAGTAGCGCAGCTGAAAGCAGCCGTCGCGGATGCTGTGAGTCGATTTTGCTGGATCGCATCGATGAGAACATCTCTTTCGTTTGATGAAGAAGGTGGCAAAGCTTGCTACATTCTGTTGACGAGATGTCTGTACCGTTTCGCACTGAGGATGGGGTCGTTCGGGTCGTTCTGGCAGTGAGCAAAGACATGGAATGCAGTCGAAGCAAAGCTTCTGCGTAGGTGCACTTGCTGAGTCTCGTGGACCAATCAACCCACCTTACAGTTACCGAAATACATGTGCAAGTTTTTTACTCATCTGAATCAGCTCGCCCTCTCAGGAACTTGAAGCAGACCGATTTGCGGTGTGTGTGTGTCTCAAAACTGCGACTGGTTTCTAACCTGGTGTCCCTCCGTGTCCCCTGTGCTAGGTTCAAGTCATGGGCGGCCTGGATGTGTTGATAGCCAACGGTGAGCATCCCCAATTCAACTCATAGACCGTCAAAACTAATCCTAATGGATGTAGTTCGCCCAGCAATCATAGCCGTGGGAAGACCTGATTGACGGACCCTGTTAAGAGAGCAGAGACAGTTCAGGAAGTTAATCGAAAGAAACGTTAGACCATCGTTGGCTTCCATTGTTCGTCCACTTTGCACTTCCAAGCACCAACATCACATGGTGTCTTCCAGGAGCTAACGGCGGGTCCGAGTACCTGGGGCAGCCGGCATGGGAGCCGGAGTCCTTCACGAGTCTTCACCAGATACACGTCAACTCGTTAGTCACTCTGGCACAGGTTAGCCAACAAGGTCAGCTCCCCGGCTTCACGTTGTGTTCTCCCTTCTTGACAAAGATTGCATCACTTCGGACGCATGTGTTGTTCTATTGTAAACATATTTTGAGCTTGAAACGGCCCCTTATACCGTCCGTTTGAGAACACATCCGCTTCTCGTTTCTGTGCGCCCCATGAAGATTCACCGTAAGTAAGTATCCAACGGCGTTTTCGCACCTTCACATCCCCAATGTAGAGGCAACCATCTCGCGATCATGGCGCTCGTGATACAGGATGTGACTCTTCTCTCAAAGGAGAGGACAGGACTGTTTCCCATGAAAATCCAGGATTCAGACGGTTGAACTTACTTGGACCTCAGTCGGATCGCGCTGTAACAAGTACGTTGACAGGTCAGACGAGCAGTGCTTCGTCCGCTGTCATTCTCCCCTGTTGAGGGAAACAGGATGACATCGTTTCTCAATGGCTCTGACGTCGTTTCTGACTCGCAGACCGACATCGTTTCTCATCGTCTCAAGTTCTATCTCCTCTCGTGACTGGCAGGCGGCGTTGCCTGAGCTGATCAAGTCGCGCGGCAACATAGTCTCCGTCTCGTCGGCAGCCGCTGAGACGCCATGGCCGCAAACCACGCCCTACAACGTCGCCAAAGCTGCTCTCAACGCCCTTATTCACAGTCTCGCAATAGCCCATGCCAAGCACGGAGTGCGCGTCAATGGAGTTTTGCCAGCTTGCATCCACACCCCGCATCTAGATAAGGTGAGCCGTTGTCGTCAAGCTGCTAGAGTTCGCTGCAATTTGACGCAAGTAAGTCGAGAGTTAGCTTGTTCGGCCGAACTCGCCAGTCCGTACGCTGTTTGAAAGGCGTGGAGCGTACTTGAAGACGAGAAGCTCCTGTGTGCGCCTTGGCGGATCGCTGTATTGCTCATGTGCCTTGCAAAATAGGCTTGATTGCGTTTGAGCAAGCACTTTGTTCCGTTCGCCATTTATTTTAAAAAGACATGTGGTTCTTTTCTGGCGTGCAGGCAGCTGAAAAGAAAGGAGTCAGTGCCGAGGAGTACGCGAGCGCTCGCGCCAGGAGTCATCCACTCGGCCGGGTTGGGACGGCCAAAGACGTCGCGGGTGCCATTCTTTTTCTGGCGTCTCCAGCTGCCGCATTTGTCACAGGTAGAGCTGCTTCAACAAGCTGTGTAATTGTGAAGCGTGAAGCATCCTCACTGCCAGTCGTCTTGTACGCCTTTCAAATTTCAGACTGTTTCGTCCGCCGAAGAGATTGTTATTCATATCTCGTGCTTCAGAACTTGTACCTTCAAAACTACCAAATCATCGACGATGAAGAGACCAATTGGTATAGTTCACCTTTGGTTTGCAGGCGAACTTCTTCGAGTTGACGGTGGGCTTTCGCTAACAAATTGGTTCAATACACAAGAGATGATGAGATCATAAGCCGCCTGGTCAGAATTTCCAATCCCTGACCATGTTGCCCTTTTCGAGGCTGAGGGATCTTAGAACGCTGAAGAGTTGCTCGGATTCAAAGTTCATGCATCTTGAGTGGATCTAACTCCCTGTTCCCATCTTCAATCCGAGATTGCAGCATCTGGTGTGCGATCCTATTCTGAGCTCAACGTACAATGTAGTCGCATATGTACCCGTTGAACCGCTTACGACATGCCAGCGTAAGGTTGATGTAGTGATATGGCCAATCTGATAGGACGGTCCCCAATCGACGCTCGGTTGATTACATCAATCCTCGTTTCATGAAAAACGATTTCGTGCAAGCGTACGTATAATGATTGAATGTTAAATTTCTCTCAAGGTGCCTTGCCTTGCGAAGTCTGCACTGTATACTCTCCATTTTGAATTGCCCGGTTGCATGTGCGGCATGCATGCACGGTCGATAGAGCTGTGGATACAAAAGGTGTCCAATCAAGTGCCGGACAGCTTCCGACCGACGAAAGCGCAATGTTTGCAGAATTGTGCATATACACTGATCGAATCCACGAATCTCAATGCCAACGTTACAAAAGACATATGCCGCGCTGATGCATGCAATGCGAGAAAGTCGGAAACCGAATCTTGATCATCGCGTTAACGAAGTGACATACCCTTATAGACCCTCATGCCATACACTGTTTATGCGCATAGCATGGTGCACGAAGCTGGTGGTGTGACCGCGGTGGACTGTTGCTTCAAGGCCGATACTTGCCATTGTAGATGGTGGTTTGACCACCGGTGAATGCTTGCTTCAAGGCCAACATCTGTCCAACTAGGCGCATGACTGGTGCTGGGCGACAGTGCCGTGCATATGACCTGATACTCAGACGCGTCACCCGTCTCAACCACAGCCGCCGAGAAGTCGATCTACTAACGACCTGTCAAAAGGGGTTAAAGAAGTTAGTTGGGGTCATTGGTCATGAACGTAGTGTAAAAGGCTATTTCGGAAATGAGCTACGAATCGTCATGTCTGGTTCGACTCTCGGTTTAACTTTACACCGCAAATTGAAGAAGCTGCGCGGTCTGCACTGTAATCACAGCGGTGCACCCTGGCTGGTACTGTGAAGTGGGCGCAAAGTGATGATGAGACGACCGGTGGCCACAAGCAGAGTCGCTCCGCTCGAAATGCACCATCATAGTGGCAACTCGAAGGTGACGGGTCTGATTGGGCACGTGAACAGGTTGAAGAAACGCTGTAACCGCAAGGTACTTGATGTTTCCACTGACGCGGACAGCTTGACAAAGACCTGAAAAAGGCTTTCCCGACACAAATGCCTACCAAATTGGTCCGCTACTTTCACAAACATATACTTTATTCCCATAACCGCATGTGCTGATCAAATGAGTTCTCGGAAACTCAAGGATCACTGCAATGTGTCGTCAGTACTGTTTCGGCAGGGAAGGGAGCGGACTGACGCTTTCAAACAGAGGTTTAGAGTCTGACAGGTCCCTAGCAGAGCTGCCGACTTCAAACAATCACTTCAGTCTCCTGCCTAGAAACAAGAATTCGGAGGGTGTTGAAAGTCGCACTCACGTATCGGCTCAATCAACCCGCTTTGCTGGTTCAAAAGGGGTTCGCCATGAGCTCCTCAGCGGCATCCGGCAGCACACGCTGCAAGACGGGGAAGACGCCGTCCGTCATGAACGTCATAAGCGTCGTTTCAGACGACGGCACTGCTCGATCGTTTACAGAAGCAGGCCACTTGAACCGAATTCCACCTGCAGTTGCAAGGATCGTGATGCACGCTGGAGGAATGCCGAAGGTGTGGAAGCTTGTGGTTAAGCCCCTGCGTGCCGACAAAACGACTGCGAAGAGACAGGAGAGTCATCCTTATGGGACCCAAACGACACGCAATGCTTCCCTACTTCTGGAAACAATCGCATCACTTGCCGACCGAGGAGCTTTGCCGCCCTCGTCCGCGTAGCTCCGCATGCAGCCGAGCATCGAGTGACTGATCGTCATTTTTCCTACTGATCGGGTGATTTTGAAAAGTCACCAACAGCCGGATATTCAAAGGCGTACCTTACAGTTGAAGTGCGTGTAACACTGGCGGCCGTAGGTCTCCAGCGCTCGCGCACATGTGTCTCACCGTCACGAGCTGCGAGCTGCCTTGTTTTGTGGCGCCAGGATCAGAAGCCACGCCAGCACGGCCCAGATGCCGTCCTTCTCGTGGATGTGGTCCGAGCCTGCAAAGCAACAAACATAGGAGAGCATTCAGAACAGAAGAGAGGAGCACAAGCGACAAACAAGCACCGGATTGAAACTTGGTGCGCGGCCACAGGGCGACCTGACATCTGGCGGTGGTCGTCGATCTTCGGCCCAACCGAGAAGCAACAAACGGTCCCTTGCAAACAGAAGACATGAAAGGGTCGTAGGAATTACGCACGGCAGCGCTGCAAGACTTGCGATGCCAACAACACGTAAGTCATGCAGGCATAGAGTCTCAACGCTTCCTTCAGTTCCAGCTTCCTGCATTTTCCGTGGCTCCTTTTTCCACCTTTAATTGACTACTTCATCCGAGCCCATGCGATTGCGCCCTCTGCCCCGCTTCACGCTTTCTCTTCTTCCACTACAATACACCGAGCTTTGACGTGTCACAAAGGAGCTTACCCTTTTCAAAGACCTTCCTTCCAATGACCGAACAGAAGCCGGAATCCAGGAGAGCTCGAGGAGTCCCCACTAAAGAGTACCTGCACCCAATAGGAGCAATTGATGGACCCTGAACTGGAGATTAGCATTCGGCCTCCTGACCTGACTGGTCCTCATGAGATGGGGAACTGCAACCAGTCCGCTTTTGCCGATGTTTTAGATGTGATTGAAAATGCATCTGAAGCATAACACCGGCTACTTCTCCAGCCTCAAAAAATAATTGGCTACAAAAGCTTTATGCTTTAAACTTTCTTTGCAAGAATGGGATACGAGTCCGTCGGTTTCCTTCGATCATTCAATACCATGTTACAATGACTGCCAAACTGATTTTCCCGCATTTTGGATCCGTCACATAGCTAGAAAGACTCCTGTAATGCAACCCTCAGGCAGGATGTCCTTGGAGTTTTGCGAGTTCTGACGGTTCGAAACCCCTACCTTTTCGTCAATACGGCGGACAGTTTGTTGCTTCCAGGGGCACCTAAGACTCGGAGGGCGTTGCTTTGAGTGCGGTGCCCTCTTTCCTGGCCCTCCATTGTCGCTTTGACCTGACGCTGTCGCATGCCTTGCAAAGACTGTCCAGACCATCGACGGCGCCTGGTACCTTCTTCATCTCAGCGGGGGGCTTGCGCAGTTGGCACACCCTGCAGCGCTTCATCATCGGCTGCACAAGAACGCCGGACTTCTTCCGTTTGACATACTCAAGCCGGTTGTGGTCGCTGCAGCAGATCTTGCAGGTTGGGTGAAGGCCGCTGCGAGCTCTCTTGCACGACGCGAAGTCGTCCGGGGGCTTGACCTTCCCGCAGCGATTGCAGCACTGGGGAGTGTCCGCAGGAGCTTTGGCCGGATATGTCTTGCAATACAGCGCTACGCAGCCCCGGCAGCGCAAGTTGAATCCATCCTTTCTGCTGATGTCCGACCCGAAGTCACGCAGCTCCTTCACAAGCCCGCAGCGCGAGCACTTCCGAGCCCTCTCCCAGGCTTCCTCGACACTCAACGTGAGCTGATGATTCTTTGCGCCAGACTTCTTTGCTCTAAGAGCTGCGGAGCACGCGCGGCACTCATCCTTGTGCAGCTCGACGTACTTCCTCATTTCAAAGTCGCACAGCAGCTTCGCATGACCGCACCGGGGGCACACTTTCGTGGAACCATTGTCAGGCCCGACTGCCGATGCCTCCGCTTGTGCGTATTCTAACTCTTCTCTCGCTTCAACAGCGCCTTGTCTACTTGAGCAGATTGGCGTCTCCCGTCCGTCCGCCGCAACTCGAATGACAGGCGCCAAGCAATGCCTTCTAGCCTCTGAATGATTGCTAAAGAGGCTGATTCTACAGATCAGCTTGCAGCGATGCTGAGCAACCAAACCCCCGGAACGGCTGATGCCATTGGTGGCACAACTAAGGAGCCCCTCTTTCCACCTACCACAATTAGCCTTGCCGCTTATGAGAGGAGTGCAGACAAAGCGAATCGCGAATGCTGCTTCAGGTGCTTTGGCGGGAGCCAGTGCAGGTCTTGCCGTTGCAGGCGCCACCATAACGTTTGCCATGAATACGAAGGGCGTCGAATTGCACGCAAGGCCGCGCTTCCTCTGCGCTGGTGCCGCCCCTCAGGCTCTTAATATTATAAGTTTAATAATATCAGCAGTTCTGTTCATCATCATGCAATGCAATGCAGAGAGAAGCCCAGTTCTCACTGATAATAGCCAATCAAAACCCAATCCTGATCACATGGTCATTCCACGTGCACTTTGAACGAATCAGAATCAGGTGCATGAGTCACCGCGGCCGCGCGCCTGCCAGCGCGCGGCCGCGTACGGTTCTCCTACCTTTATGTATGGGCCCCGTATGGGCTGGCTCAGCCTGGCTGTCTGCACCTCGGCCAAAACATTTCGCGTGTTCTGAATGGTCACATTGATGGTCTCCCTCATTCCACTGCAAACATTAGACTTAGGTTGCCACGTTACTTGTAAAGTCAAGAGCTGTCATGGCTTGTCTGGAGCCCGCAAATGCACCTGAAGCTGCAGCCAGCTTCACTTCACGCTTCTCTTTGATCGCAAACTTCTGAATCCTTGCAATTGCCTGCTGAACAGACTGTGTCTAGAATATGTCCTCTGGCCGTCGAACCTCCTTCGTTAGTAATCAAGCAAAGGCTTTGCTGCGGTTCAAGCTCTATAAGGGCCCCGGTTCAGTAGCTTCGAAGTGCTCCTACTCGCACAAATGATTCGCCGTTGCAAGCAACTTGAAGACGTAGACGTCATCCTATCGACAAAACATTTGTGATTATCAATAGATGCGGCTACCATATACGGTACGGTCAGAGGGGACAATAATATCCGGCCAAGCTGGATTGGGATGACCAGCATAGGTTGCCGATGCTTTCTACCAGCAATGAAGCTGTGTGGATGCAAGTCATGGGTAGCTCCAGCAGTGAGTATTTTCAGAGATGGCATGGTGTGCGCGGCTGACTGACGCTTGCAATCGGTCGAGGCGGTTCAGTCGCTTGCATGAATAAATTAATGTTGCACCATCAAGTGAACTTGAATCATAATCGTACTAGAATGAAGGACGACTGCTTGATCGGTGAGGATAGTATGCATATTTCGTTTTTTGCTTACAGTAGTCGGATATGCTTGAAAAGAATCTTACAACGGCACCCAAATAAGCTGCGCATCGCACGTGTTTTCTTCGTCTTCGGCTGTGCTGTTTGCAGCATGCCACAGCTGAAGCTTTTCTAGCTGTTATCTAGACTCCGAGCCCCAGTTCAACACGTTTACAGCCTTCGTATGTTGGTTATACAACAGCTTACTTTAGAATAGCGCACTAATCAAACTACTGGTTGTTCACACACTATTGAGTGCGAGGTATCCAACACCTGCAAGCTTCCGTATGCGCTACCTTGTTTTGTATCTCCCTCCCTGACGACCCACCCCTCCCCCAATTGCACAGCCCGCTTCTATACACAACGGTGCGACTGACGACAACCTTTCCAGTTATGATCCTGACAACCCTGCCATGTGCGCGAGTTTTACCTTTTCAAACGCAAATGAATATTAGCAGCCAACACAAGTTTCTACAGGTTATATGAAAAGCAGTAAGAGCTGCGCTCGTATGCTGCCTGTGCTGCCTAAACCGTCACGTCCCCGCCTTGCGCCTTGACCAGCTGCCGCATGCGCGCGAGCAGCAGCTCGAGCCGCCGCGCGAGGTGGGCCGCGGTCGGCCGCGCGGCCGCGTCTTGCTCCCAGCACGCCTCGACGATGTCAATCAGCGGCTGCCCCACCGCGCGGCACTCCGCGGGCCAGGGGTAGCGGCCGCCGTCCGCCAGGTGGAGCCGCAGCTCCTGAAGAAGACGAGCGAGAGTTTAGGAAGGGGTTTTAGCGGCCGATCTGGGCATGGACAGAAATTTGGACATCCAGTCCTAGTGACAAATCTCCGAATTGCGAGAACGAAGTTTGATTGGTAATCAAAGTCCCGCCCTCTTCTAGATAATTTTCAGAGACTGAAAGGCGAGCGACAAAGAAAAGCTGCATCCATTGCGATGTCTTGCCGCATCCACTTTACATTTTCGAAGAAACGAATAAGATTCGACTCGACGACGGCAGCAGGGGATGCACTATGGACGGCGTTCATTCTGCGCTTCGTTTCTGGGGTCACTCACAATGTCGAAAGTAAAGCCATCGGAGGGCAGCCTGCCCGTGACGAGCGTGTAGAAGGTGACGCCAGCCGCAAAGATGTCCCCCGTCATGTCCTGGGACTGCCGGTCGTGAGCCTCCGGGGGGCAGTAGCCAGCGGTCGACGTCTGCCAGGGAACAGGATTACAGCGGTTTGAATTTGAGTTTGCACGCTGGCCTGGAACGCACAATTTGTTGAGCTTGCAAGATATTCGCTTGAAGGGGTCCAAAATACGGTCTAGTACACTTCTGTTAGAGACGATAGCAAAGACTTCAAAACATTAAATGCACTCATATCTCGGCGAATCATCTTCGTAAGGAACCATCTTCGCAGGAGCGGTGCAGATGTAAGCTGCCTCCAGCATCTTTCCAGCACGAAGGAACGGCGTCAAAAAGACACTTATTTTCCTCCAGACAATCGAGCAGAAGTACGACTGAAAGGTCTTTGTATGTTGAGAACTAGTTCCAGCCAGCGCTCACCACTCCGCTGGCGGCGGCCTCGTGCGGTCGGAGGGCGAGCCCGAAGTCGCTGACGCAGGGCACTCCCCCGAGCAGGTGCACGTTGTCCAGCTTGACGTCACGATGCACCACGCCCGCCCGGTGGATGTCCCCGACTCCTCGAGCGATCTCCAGGCCCAGCCACGTGGCCCAGTAGAAGTCGGCCGCGCTCGCGAGCACCCTGCCCGCGACGAAGAGCGGCGCGGCCGCGTCGGCGAGCGGCAGCAGGAGCGCGACGCGGCCGCGCACCAGGGCGTACCCCGCGAGCGGCATCACGCGCGGGCCGCGGCACGCGTCCATGAAGCGGGCCTGAAAAGGGAAGCGGGGCGACTTCTTTTTAAGCTGTCGTCAAAACGGATAGATTGCAAAACACTTTTTCGGGAGACATTAAGAATCGTGAACGGTTTTAGCATATCAAACAGGAGCCCAAGGACATCACGAAGGGCGGACGAAAGCCTGATCAGCACGTTCGAACCAGAACCGCAAACGAAGCTCTTACGTCTCGTTCGAAATAGGCATTGCAAGACCGATAAGAAGGAATATCTTTCAATCCAGTCGGCGGAAGAGAGTTTTGCGGATAGATTTAAGCCGCTGAACGTCATTGAAGGCAAAACTTCTTGCTCACCTCGTTGATCTGGTTGTTCAAGTACCGCCCGTCCTCTCCCGGCAGCTCGACCTTCATCGCGTAGTCGCGCCACGTGCCGGCCTCGTCGGCAGCTCGCACGTGATAGACCACTGCCTCTCCACCCTGTGATTGAAAGAAGAAGACTGTCAGCGGCGCGCACGGAAGACATTTCATCTTCGCAAAGATCTTCTTGGGGCTGTTATGCAATTGTGAGGAGCATCCGCCCGAAAAGATGGCCTTTCGTGAGCGTACTGCTTGCGCCGTCGCCAAAAATGCCGAAGCTCCTCAATCTTCTGAAGATTGGAGAAAGCCTCAGTGAATGGACCGAAAGCGAGAAATTGCAAAGATCAACCAGAGAGTCAAGTGTAAAGGCTATCCGTTGCTGGATTTCAGACGAGATTTATTTCGGCCGAACTCGCAAACCTTCTGCTCCTCGAGAAATGCCAGACACGCATACGGTTGATGTCAGTTCAGGTATAAAGTGTTGCGATGTTCACTGAAGACGTCAGGAACAATAAACTTACCCGGCCGAGCTCCTTAACCAGCTTCCACTTGCTGACGAATTTGGGGGGGCACGCGAAGTCCGCAAACAGGTGGTCCAAGGGCCCCTGCGAGGGAAATGAGAAGCAAAATGAGCACATGGTCAGGAGATTGGTGGCAGCTTCTGACGTTAGAATGATAGCCTGGGAGCAGAAAGTAGGCGCTGTGGCCTTTGAGATGCTTATAAGCCGCAGAGAATCCAACTTTTGACTGCCAGGTAAAGAAGAATCAAGGGAGACACGCGAGTTTCAAAACTATCGCTAGTTCCTTTTTTGCAGTTCAACATTCCAAGAAAACAATGTCCTTCCCTTGGCGACACAGACATGAGAGCTATAACGAAATTCAAGTACATACTACTGAAACTCGCTCAAATCCCGACCCTGAAATGTTGGTTGCAGTTTCTCACCTTGCTCGGCCGCTGCTCCTCAGCGCCGCTATCGTCTCCCCGCCTGCCGACTTGCGCCTCCTCCAGCGTGGTGTGAATCGGCCCCTCGTCCATTTCTGCCGCACCCTCAGCCTCCCCCCTCAATTCTGCCGCCACAGGCTCCCCCCAGATCGTTTCTAAATTCCCCTCTGCCGTTCGAACCTCTTCCACCTCCTGCTCCCTCGCATCAATCTTTTCGATCTCCTTTTTTTGGATGCTTTTTGAGGACTTTTCTGTTGATTCTGCTTCCGGTTCGAGGGACTGCTCTGGCAGCGGGGGGTAAGAGGCTCCTGAGAACGGGTTGACAGAGGTCTGTGAGAACAGCATGACGTTAGCGGAGGCTGCCCGGGGGATCTCGATCGCGAAGGCGTCGCCTGAGAAGAGGCCGACGGGGGTAAGATCCTGGGGGCTCTGCTCCGTCTGAGAATCAGTCGTTTGAGGCACGGGAGCAGGCTGGAACTCAGGAGCCTGGTTCTCAAGGGGGGCAGGGGCGGAGGGCTTCGCAGCCGCGGATGACGCCTGTGAAAGGATAACACGTTTGCTTTAGCTCGCGGTTCGTTTAAACATTGATGAAGTGAAGCTTCCAAGAGGTTGTAAACCGGGAAGGGAGTAACACATGTGAGCAAATCACGTTGCTTGACTCTGACCTTCTCCCCCCAGAGATTGCTTTGCTGAATGAAGAATTTTTTCTCAAGCTTGGAGTAGATGCGTTGGAAAACCAAGTGACGACCTGATACCAGATTTTCTATGTCTGACACTGGTTTTAAACTGCTCCAGCAAACACAGTGCAAACGTTTTCATGAGGTTTCAGCACACCTAAAAATAATACCAGGATCTCAAAAAACATTCCACTCCATTGATTTCACCAGTAAATTTACTCTGCTTCAAACCAAGAGCAGCTTTTAGCCACTTGGTAAACAATAGGAACCTAAACAAACATGAACAGCCACAGAATCTCTATAATTCCAGAAAGCCTTGAAACTCGACCAAAATTTGGTTCGTACGAGTTACAAAGAGAGATACGAGGCTTCAAGGAAAGCAGGTCAAAAGAACAAGAGACACAGATCGATGTCATGACTTTCCAACAGTAAAAGACTGTTAGTGAGTATTAAACCTGATGGTTTCGAAGGAAAAATCTACAAAAGATTGTCTGTCACTACATCTCACCAAAAGAAAGATGCATCATTCCTCACTCCTACAAGATAAAGTGCATCAGGCTAACACGTTTCAGTTTGTTCAAAAGTTCTGTCTTCAGAGGTTTTTTTCATGAACAAACAACAAATGCCAAGTCTGTCTGAAAAGGAAAGGGCAGCTCGAGCAGACTCACCGGCTCAATTTCTGTCTCTCCTGCCTCGAGGAACTCGACCTCAGCCTCCTCCTCCTGCCTCCTTCCTCCCTCTCCTCCCTCCTGCACATCCCCCTCCTCTCCTCCCTCCTGAACAAGCACCCCCTCCTGCTCTCCCTCCTGAACATCCCCCCCTGAAATCTCGCCATCATCCACCAGCGGGGCCTCCCGTGCATTCTGCAGACGCTCCCCCCCCGCTGGGACGACCTCAAATCCTGTAGCTGCGCTCAAGCTGCTGTACACGCAGTCTCTGACTGCGGCGTTAAGTGCAGAGGCACCGTCAACGCAAAAGTCTACTAGTGTCTGGAAACCGCAGAACAGAGCCTCCATCTTGCTAAGCGCTGATCACAACTACTCTAGGCTAGCTCGTGAGCAAACTCGCAGGGGCGCAGCACGCAACGAAAGCACAAGCACGTCGCTAATGAGGGCGCCAGTGCGCTCGAAGCTGTATCTCTCTGTAGCAGAGAAATGAGGGCATTGTTGACGAAGCAGAAAGTTTCGTGTCATCATTCATGCAAGCTCGAAGTCGCGGCACAACGCGCAGCGCGGATCGCGCGGCCGCCGCGCGTCGTTTAGGCCGCTTGCGGCCGGGCCGCCGCCCGGCCGTTCAAGCTGGTTCAAGCCCTGCCTTATGCCCTGCCTCCATCAGGGCCGAGAACCTCAAACCTTGCAAGTGCTAGGTACACACCAGCCTAGACGGTACGGTTGGCATGCCCGCACGCGATTCATGCATGGGCCCATCAACTTGATCTACCGTACACACGTCATCAACCAAACAAACGGGTTGATGTTTGTATGTATGGTTCATAGTCATGCCAGATCACAGGTCGTGGGCGCGCGCGTTGCATGTGTAAAGTTAGGGCGCGGGCCCTAAACTTATCTAATGATATACATTTGTGCGCAGCCGGCTTGGATTTGATTAACCCTCTCATACTTAATCTGTAATTTCGGTAATTCTATCTTCGATGCTCAGGTGGCTGATTTAGTGACGCAAATCACATGCCAGAAGGCCCATGCACTTTGTAAAACGGCGTGACATGTCAGTTTCATGGATTGAACATGCATGCCATGTGAGCCTCATCGGAATCTACATGCAACTGCGACAGGCCTCGACAGCCGCCTCTGTATACCACGATCAACTCAGCGCCAAAGTACCCAAACGTCGTTCAGTGACGACGTATGGTAGGAAAGGTGTGTCACTGTTGATAGTTAAAATAAGTATAAGAATCCACAGGCATGGGCAACAGCAGACTCGCTCCGACAACTCAAGCAATAAGCAGATAGATCATTGTTTTTAGTCAAGGTTTCAAGAAAGGTAACCAACGGTCACCAACTTTCCAGGGTCAAAGTGGCCTACTGTAGCACGCGTGCCAGTCTGCTTGCTTATTGTGTGAGAGAGTGTTCAAAATAAAGGTTCGTGTTCGACCTGCGATATGCTAGGCATCTCCTATCATACTCAAATCGCTCTCATTTGACTTAGTCTGCCGCTCTTTCTGGTCCCCAACTTGAACAGCCAACTTCGAAGTTCAACGAGCGTGATATCGGATCAACCCAGAGCAACACTTTGCATCCGCTGCGCCTCAAATCGCTATACAAGCCTATCATCAAGTTAGTAGTTAGGAAGTAATTTCAGCTGCCCCTAACCGGCAAGTGATTACATGATATCCGGGCAAGCACTCCAATCCCGTCTCTCGCGCGCCTTCCAGTACTCCCCATTGAAGACCCATGCCGCCTGCCCTTCGTCCTTCGCCGTCTTGACGTTCACTTCTCCCGGAACGGCCTGCACGTCAGAAGGTGGCGTCAGGATGCGGAGAATCTTCAGTGAGTTTGAAGCGGAACCTTCAAACGGTTCGACCAGAGTAGCTTGTAAATCAGACTTTGTTTAATGCTTTAGCCACGGAAGTTGCTTCAATAGGCTGGATAGGACCCTCCTCTCGGTGCTATTGCAGCAAGACCGACTGAACTGACAAGAGAGGGCTTTAGATGAACGGCATTCTTCTGCGATTAAACAGACCCGTGTGACTGTTGCCGCACTTTTCGGATCATTCTAACGCGGTTGCTTTTTAGAACACCGCAGTTCCCAATTCCGATCAAAATGTGAGAGAAGGAACGACAAGGCCGTCTTCAAGGCCATACCTGCGGCTGCCAGTCGATAAGAGCACCACTTTCAGGAGCTTAAGGCTTTAACACGAGATCCGGCCTAAGGGCGGCATCCAGCGCCGCTTGCGTAGCCGGTTCGGCTGCTGCGGTTCCTTTTCATTCACGTATCCAAACGTTCTCATATGTGAACCCCCAGGAAGAAAAGCAGACGGCCAAGGCCCAAAAAACATCACAAACGGGCTCTAAACGAAACGCAGAAACCTGCAAATTCCTGCGGTACAGTCAACTTCTGCGCACCTGGGTGAACCAGCGGCCCTGCCACTCTTTGCCCTCCGCCTTGAGCTCCTTGCGCGTGGCGCGCTGCTTCTCCTCGAGGCGCGCCTTCTCCTCGTTAGACCGATCGTGCTCGCCATCCTCCAGTGCGCGCTGGTCCGGCCGCAGCCGCGAGTCTGTCGGGGGGAGCTCCAGCGCCAGCTGGGGAGTGATCTCTGCAAAGGACAAGGTTGGAAGATTCACACAGAGGGGCAACATCCGAGAAGGTGCGCGCTCACCAAGGGCGTCAGCAAAAGACAGCACATCTGAGAAAGTGCGCGCGTCCAAGCGCGTCAGCAAAAGACAACCTTTTCCTAGTTAGGGCTCTCTTTACTATCCGCCAAGTTTGCTAATTCGGGTCCCAAAGACTGTCCGACCGACACTGTCTTGCACGCGGACTTTTCAGGACGCGACACGGCCAAGCCGTTTTTGATGACGAGACTCTCGCGAGCAGACTTCGAAGACCTGACGCAAAGCAGGTGCAGCAAGGCAATCTCACCGTTGAGCGTGATCGCAAACTGGGTCATGCCGTACTGCGAGAACGAGTCTTCGACGGGCGGGTTCGCTTTCCAGACTTGGAACGGCCGCACGAGGCCCTCTGGTTTCCCGGGCTCGGGCGTCGCGTACATGTCGCGCATGAAGCTGCCCGTCAGCGTCCACTGCAACTCCCCGCGGGCGTTGTACACCTGCGCCGGGGGGCTTAAAGTCGCTCCTCTAGTTGTCTCTCCATCAACTCTGCTTGAATGGCTGGGTGACTCTCGCAGCCTCATTAGTTGAGCAGATGAGCAGAGACAAACGCTCAACCTGAGGATTTGGACTTGGTCCCTTTTCGGAAGTGGGGAACTCAATTACGATACGATAATCACAGATGAAAACAATTTGAGGCCACCGCCGAGATGCGCAGAAAGGATGATTCTTGGATCAATCAGAGACACGCGGATTCCACCCCGGGAAGAGCAGCGACTTCCGTTGTGGGGACGCACCTTTCCGGAGATGGCGCTGTCCTCCTTGCCGCTGGGCTTGAGGAACTTGGTGCGCGACGTGTCGCCCGTGCTCAAGTTCTTGACCACCAGCTCGCCGTGCTGGTCCAGCCACATCTTTCCAATGAGCACGTTGTGCACGCCGGTCGCGACCTTGTTCCACACGTAGTGGTCCCCGTGCTTGGGAAATTTGGTTTGCACTAACCCGAGCGGAACCACCTCCAGGAACTGCCCCCAGAACTTGCTCGAGATCTCAATCTCGCCCTCGCAGGTGTAGGCGCCGTCGGTGGTGGACACGTGGACAGCCGTGATGGGCGGGTGGTGCACGACCTGCGGTTGGGAGGTGGCTTCGGAAGTTGATTTAGGTGTTCACTTTTGCGACAAGAATGATATCAACGACGGCTTGAAGGGGTGTCTCTTCGTGATGGCGATGGCCAGGGTGGGCAGAGGCTAAAGAACAGTGCTCAAAGGGGCAAGAGTAGACACTGGAAGTTTTGAACCACAACGGACCTGAAATCGTAAGAACTGCCTCTTTGTCTGGACGACGCAATCTGATCACCATCACAGCACGTCTCAGCAAGATCTACTGCCTAAGACCGTCTTAACCTGACAATCCGGACAAACCACAGTCAACGTCAGCTTAATGTCCCAGTCTACTTCCTCTTTGAAAGCATCGGTACGACTTTCAAACGACAGTTCTTGCGAAATGCCCCCGCTGCCCACCTGTTCGGCGATCAGGCGGGTGCGCCCATCGGCTGACTGCCACTCAAAGGTCTCCCCAAGGAGGGGGTTGAAGGGCTTGGACACGCGGTTGAGGGTTCCCTCGTAGGCTGTCACGGCAAACGCAGTCACGTACAACAGGCGGTCGACTGAGGATTCGCAGGCGTTGCCTTTGTCCAGCAAATCTCTGCGAGCCACGAGGCAAGCTAAGTACGTCAGCAGAAGCGCTGGGACTGGCAATCAGCGTGACTGCTGGACGTAAAGGGGGAGGGTGGTATACGACTAAGAAAGAAAGCAGTCGGAGTGAGCCTCGTCTCCACGACGCCCAGAAAGCCACAATGAATCCATTTGAACGTCAGCCGTACGGAAGAATAAAGGGAAGGAAACAGTACTTTGGGCTGTCGACAGACGTTCAGTTAGCAAAACAAGATGAAAGAGCAGGAGTGGCCAGCGCAACTGCGCAGGCAACAGGCCGGGAGTATACTTCCAAGTTTGTCAAAGTTCCATGGTCAAAAGAAACTGCTTTCCGCAGCCCCACCTGTATTGCAGCTCCTCCGCAGTCCTCTGCAGTCCAGACAGCGGCTCGTTGATGGTTGCGGGCATGCTGATGCGAGTCAGGTCCTTGCCGATGGCGTCCTTCAGCATTTTCCACACGTTGATGCCCCGGTGCAACGGCCGGGCCGCAGGGAGCCTGAGACCAAACATAGGCACCACTTGTGAGAACAGAGAATAAGCACGAAATGCAAACATAAACCCTATATGCAGACCTTTTGGAACCTCCAGAAAGATTGCACAAGTCGAACTGACCAATTAGAGCAAATGTGTGCACAAACCACCAAACCGATACGGAGCTTCTTGATTGCGGCAGGCTCTCAACGAACCTCGACCTTCCCTCACTTGGCGCAACCAAAGACAAGTACTTCCCCGCTGTCGGAGAGAAACCTATTCCATCCGACCTCAATCTCCAGGTTCCAGATGTCAGTCCCCGGAACCCAAACGTCCCAGTTCCTACCTCTTCCTGGGCACATAGCTGTACGGGCCCTCCTTCTCCTCCTCTGCGTCGGAGCTGCCATCGTCGGGCGGCTCATTGCCGATGTCGTCCGGACCGCCGTCCACGATATCCTCGTTGGCATTGCGTATCAGGTAGTCGCGCTGGTTGAGCACCTCGAGCGCCTCGAAGTACCGCTGCGAATAGGGAGGAAGGATTCAGGACTTTGTACATTAAGGTATACATCCAAGGCGCGGACTTGCAGAAAAGGGCATGCCGCTATCTCGCCATAGATTGTGACACAAATGCGAGCTCATGAAGCAAAGTGTTCCCCTCAAGTAGGTTGCAACCTTAGTAATCCCACCCTTAGCAGCTGCATGAGTTCGACACGGCCTCTTTATCAAAGTTTGTCGAAATGAGTACGTTGACACCTGGTCAAAAGATGCAAGATGCAAGCTGATTCTGCGATCTGCGTGTGCGTCTTCTCCAAGGTTTGTTCATGTGTTGCCTTCTTACCTCTTCGCCGTCTGGAGCTGTTAGATTACCATCGTCTTCGCTGAAAGCCCCTTCATCGGAAGACAAGTCCCCTTCCTCCCCCTCCGTGTGTACAAGGAACTCCGTGGAACTCTGTACGATGACAAAGCCAAGTGAGATCTCAGAGCTGGAGGTCAAAACGTGGTTCGAGAGCGGTTCCTTTCCCTTCTTTCTTCCTGCCTAAGACAAACGTTCACATTTTGAACCTTTCTATTCCGTGTATACAAATACTACTGCGGGCAAAGTCCAATGTTGACGAGGGAATGTGCCTCCGTTGTCCCTGCTCAATAAGGAACTCAACAGCTCCTCTAAATAAGACTCTTTACAGCAGCTGTCTCCTTGAGATTGATTGTGAAGTACGTTATCAGCATCTTGCCAAAAAAGGATACTACAAAAGGTACTACCAAAGTAGAACCTTCGACGTTTCTACCAGTCCGTCTTAGCCAAGTGCCTTCAGGCAGGTGGACCCTTCCAGAGAATGTTTGCCGCGTAGCTATCTGGGACTCGAATATCGCGCGTGCCCGATCTATCAGTAATCAGGAGACCTTTTGTAATTGATCTGCTCTGTGAAAGTCTCCTCAGCAACGCTTTCTAAGTTGCAAAGCAACTAGGTACCTAGTGGGACAATTTGAGACCCTGAGCCTGCACTCAAATGCTCCTCAGTGCTTCGTGTTACGAACTGAGAACCCAACGGTGTCGCAATCCTAAACAGACGGACATAGGGAAGATACTGAGGTCACAAGAAAGTCGCAAAGGGTGTTGCAAAACCATAAGCTAGGTACCTTACCTTATGCGGGATGCCCAGCTTGGCCCTGAGCTTGTGCACCTCACTGCGCATCTTCGGCAGCTGCGCAACCGACTTGAGCAGCACCACATTCTCCGCCTCTAGTTCCATCACCCGAATCACCTCCTCCCTCAGAATCTCCTCATACGAGACCTGCAGCCTCTGCCAAGTCCTCTGCAGTGGTGTGAACTGGCCCCCGACAGGCAGCCCAGTGCCCATTCCCACCGGCACGCTTGCCCCTTCCTGCGCTTGCTGCGACTCAACCAAGACTGCGGTGGTAGCGTCCTCAAGAGCATCCGGTTTTGCGGTCCGGAACCGCTCGAGCTCAGGTTCTGCATTGCTGGGAGGCCTTGTCTCCGAAGGACCTGCCTGCGCGCCCTCCTCGTGGATCTCAGCACTCAGCCGCGAGGGGGCCTTCCGCGAGAACGCCTCGCTGTCAGAGAGCGCGTCCTTATGCAGCGGGGATTTAGTCGCCGTCTTGGACCGCCCGTTTGCCTCTACAGCAGGTTTTGCAGCCAAACCTGCGCCGTTGCCCCTGCTGGACGATGCCTTGGAAGAGGCCCCAATGCTGCCGCTGAGGTCACGGAAACTCCCACCAACGTCATCGCCCTCGTCAGCGCTGACGTCGCCACTCCTGCGCAGGCTCGCCTTCTCTCCTGCCCACCCGAAAAAGCGCGCGCTCCTCCCCAGGCCCCCCCCCCGACTGGGGCTTGTGGATAAGGAGCCAGAGCCCCCCCTGCTGAGGGGTTCGTGGTTCTGCGAGTCTAGGCTTCTCAGCGAGGACTGCGAGTTGTTCTCCGGCCTTAGCGCCTTCAGGGAGCGATCCAAAGAGCTGAAGGAGCTGGGGTCTGTGAACTGTGACACAACCGGGGCTGTGTCGGATGAGAGCGAGAGGCTGCTGGCGGCCCCCAGGAAGACTTGCTGGAAAGAGTGAATCTGGTTCACAAAGGCTGCGGACAGAAATGACGATTAAAACGATTAGATAGGTGGAAGGGCGATTCGTCAACAAGAGGAGGAACACGACCAACACGAGACCTGTACTTGATACTGCTGGTCATTCACCCCAGCCCCAAAGGCCCTAGTAATTTAGGGCTCAGTGTGAGAAACACTTGCCAACTACCACTAACAATTTTCCGGAGATCATGTTTAAAAGCAACAGTACTGAGCCACCTCAAATGGCACACTCGCACCTCAGAAACTCACGAGATAGTGCAGAGGTTTTACAGAGCTCTGGGATGTCAAGCTGACCTTGTTTTTCAGGTTCGAGGCCTTGTAGCCTCTCCAACATACGAGAAGTCAGCTCCCGCTCTCTTTCCTGCCATTCTGCAGTCTTCTCCTGCAAGACAAGTGGGACTCGATACTTACAACCTCACTATTTCATTATACTGTCTCCTTTCAGCAGATGGATGTGCCCGTCATGTAATGTCAATCCAGTCAAGGAGCGCAGAAGATTTCAACAAGAAGCGTCATTTGACGCAACAAGAGTCGTACAAGTCACAGCGCATGGGGCACCGGCAATGTTGTCTTCAAAGTCGTGACTGCAGAATGCGTACCTGGATGTCTCTCTCCGTGATCAACTTGGGGACCTTCTGTGTTCCCCTGGCTGCCCTCTCCTTGATTTCCTTCAGCTGCTGAATGGACTCAAGGAGGTGGTCCACCCATTGCTGCATTTGCAGTAGGGGAGAGAAGCTAAGAACCTTGAGAGAGAGTCAGGCACTCCTTCAAGCAAGGAAGGACTGCGAGCAATGAGCGAAGTGTCAAAGACGCACAGCATTCGAGGCTTCAACCAACCAAAGATGCAGAGGTACGATACAATGAAGTACCGCATAGCTTCCACAAGCGACCAGCTTCAGAAATGTCTTGAAGACTTTTCTATAATAACCTTCTCAAAGATACCGTGATGAAGGTCAATCAATTCCCGATGATGCATCTGCCGCATTTTAGGATATGGCCTCCTCACATCACGGAACTCTCGGGAGATGGTCCGGAAGTGCCGCATCCCTGCCTTGGTGACGACCATGAAGTGGCGCTCCTTCTCCAGCCGGATGATGGAAGCATCCTGCGTAAACAGAAAGGAATTTGCATTAGGATCTTCTGGATTCTGTTCAAGCTACCTTCTGCTGGTTTCGGAGCTGCGTCTAAGAGGAGGACCATCCGGTTAGAAGTGGTTGGCTTCAAGTAAAAAGAAAATTCCTTTGGGGGAGCATGTGAAAGAAAACCCTAAAACCAAAGAAACCAATCAGGTTAGAGTCAGCTGCTCTGATCAAAAGCACGAGACCAAGGATTCCTACCTGGAGATCGATAGTGCCGACGCTCCTGTTGTCATCATTGCGGTGATAGAGAAGCACTCCTGGGGTCCGTGCTACACACAAACGACGTCTCCACCTGGGAGTAAGTGAAAGACCTGTGGTCAATCACCATCCAGATTCAATCCTGTGCACTTAATGGTGCACATCGCCCACAAAACGACCAGAAAATGTTTCAAAGTCTCGCTCAACAACCTTGAAAATTTTAAAAACAGGCCCGAGGGCTAGCACACTGACAGCGTTGGAGCAAACGGTTGAGCTCTGACCACAAACAATTGGCCAACATCTTAAAGATGGTGTTTCCTGAAGCTGCACTGCAGTTGCTCCTTCAGATCTTTTTGAACAATTTCTACCCTGTCGAAATCTCCTCGTCGCTTTGAGAACTCACCTCTTCCAGTGGCCCACCCACATCAACAGGAAGCCCTCTGGCGGCTGGCCAGTCTCCTCAATGCTATCCGTGTTATTCTTGTAGTACCTGCCAAAGCACCATAAGAGATCCAACTTCACAACATCATTTCGGATTCATTCACAGCAATACAATCTCACAACCGGTAATTCACACCTACAAGCTCACAGACTGGACTTGCATGAACAACTCAAGCTCCAGATGCAACCTAAAAGCCATGAGTTCCTTACCTGCGCGGATCGTACACCTTCCGCTTTCTAATTCGCTCTGGACTGTGGCTGTCCTCGGCCGGTAGTGAGTTTGACCTCCTGTGACGGTGCTTCTTTGCCTTCCGCACCAATGCAGAGACTTGCTCTCTAGGCTTTGCCAGCAGGGACGGAAGGGGAGAGTCCATCTTGTATGCTTCCGGGCAACTTGAAGTGGAGCTTTAGGACCTACTTGCAAGTAGCACAACAATAACTTAACTTGCCTTCCCTGAACTCTACAGGAAACCTTCCTCAAGCAGTTGTGTCCTCAAGAAAAGAAAGTCGAGCGAGAGGGACAACTCCGGTAGCACATGTACATGTATCAATTAGGCAATCGGACAAAATCAATGCACCCATACCAATTGACACTAACTCAATGTGAACGAGCACTGCTTTAATGCGCACGGCCCATTCACAATTGTGCATCTCAACCTTGATTCTGCAATTGCTTCAATGGTTGAAGGCTGCGAGGCGAAGAAGAGAACCCTTTGATCCAACTACACTCGATCTCCAGAGAGGCACAACCCGCATACTGCCCTCAATCTGCCAATTCAAAATCGCCATGAGCTCTTTTCTTCTGCGCTAAAATTGGCCCAGAAGCAATGCGGGAGCGACAATGCCCATGCCAGCTTGTCACCAAACATGAACTTCGGAAGGGCCAGCCTGGGCTGTGCCATGATTTTCGAACGATCTGGGGCCATCGCAGAGGCTGGATTCAAGAACGCAAGCGGGTTTTGCGGTAATGAGTCAGAGAAGAGGGGCTGAAAATGCTGAAGATGTTCGTTGGCAGGATCTGCACAGAGATTCAGCTTGATACGGTTTCGCAGATAGGTAGCAAGATTCCAATCAGCACTGGCGAAGGATTTGCAACCATATGCCATTATGTTGTCAGCAGCATACGAGGCCCCACTAAAGGCATACGATTCTGAACAGCCGGAAAATTTAATTAGTCGTTGCGCGAGTCTGTACCTTTAAAAGCCGGTTGTCTGTCTTCAAATGCAAGTCAAAACGAATGAAATGCGGCTGCTAGTGTCAATATCCTGTCCTTGAGGTTATAACTTCTTACGCACTTCCGAGGAGATATTATTGAAGTTTTGGGGCCATATGCCGCTAACTAACCTGCTTCACTTGTAGGAGTTCGTGGAGCCGGGACAGACCCCCGGTTGACCTGTGGTTCCCCGAGCAAAAATGCTTGCACGGCCTGCCGCCTGTCACCCCCTAATATTACCCCGGCCTGCTGCCCGGCCATCTAGGACGGCGGGGCTTGAGTTTCCGCGGGTCCCCAAGCCTGTTGGGCGCGGCCGAATTGCTGCGCGCGCGACGGCGACCGGCCCGGGCCCACTGCACTCCCAATGTCGCATGCGGGCAGCAAGGGGCACATAGCTGCCGAAACTTTAACACTAGGACCGTAGCTAAGTGTGACCATATGGTAACGCTTATTTTTTTCAGAAGTTACGCAAAAACCCTATGAAGACACTGGATATAAGTGCTCACATTACTCCTGGTTATTCTAGGGGTTATGGTTGAAAAAGTAAGTGTGATAGGCAGGTTGAACTCCAAGGCCAAGTGCTTGCTGCCAGCACATTTCAATAAGAGGTCCCAAAACCCTAATATGAGGGGAAATAAGCGTGACCATATGGTAACGCTTAGGAAAAGCGGTGGTTTTCATACCAAACCTACACGGAAACTTTTCAACCTTGTCAGGGGCCCTTATTGGGTCATGTTCAAGTTCTCTAAAACTTGAAACCTCCAAAAACCTCTGTGACGTCATCAGCCCAAGTTGCTAACAATGGTCAAACAGGAGACGTCAGGCTGGGGACAAATTTGAGGCAAAAAACCCCTGTGAAACCCATGTTAGAATGACGTCAGCTGGTTCCTTTTGACCAATGTCGTTCCTGGGTATGGTTAGGGGATACCTTAGGGTCAATGTTGACCAGCCATAGTCCAAGGGTTTGGGTTTTTGTATAAACCCACAGGGTTTTACCCAGTCAATACTTAAGCGTGACCATATGGTCACGCGTTACCATATGGTCACAGTTACGGTCCTAGTGTCAACTTTGGCAACTTTCGAAATCGGACACCGGACGGTCGTTGTCCGCAGTCCTTATTTTGGGACGCGGTTGGTACCGGGCCTGCTTTTGCCGGACTAAATAATGCTCGGGTTAGCCTGCAAACCACATTAAAATCCTAAGAATAGTGACTTAGCCGTTAGTAGGAACCCTAATCTGAGAGCAGTCACAGGAAAGGGAGTAACCCTAACAAACCGTCACAGGAAGTGGCGTAACCCTAACACACTATCACTGCTTTGTAGCGCGAGACCCTAAGGTCACTAGGAGTGCCCGGTTGCTTACCACTCGGACCGTACGGTACTGAGGACGGTACCGGACTCGGCCCGTGAAATGTGGCAGCAAGTTGGAGTGTGGAATCTGGATCCTGCGGACGGTACACGATCGAACGGTGACACGCATATGACTGTCCGCAGTCCGACGTCCGATTTCGAAAGTTGACAAAGATTCGGCAGCTTTGGCCGTTTTGCATGCGGGCAGGCAGGGCCGCAGCCCAATGACTGCTTATATATCAGCTTTTGCCCGAGCTGAGCTTTGAAACCGAGACACCTCACGACATTGTAATTTGTCTGAGGATCGTATCCTCCGGGCTTTGACAACGACCGGGATCACGTCTTATAGGATCTAACAATGGTAGATGCCATGATGTTGTCTTTCAATAAGGGTCAAGCCAGTGGTCCATTAAAAATTCAAACCGTACTAAGGCAGCTTCCACTGGCAACATGGCATCCTATTATATAGGATCCGACGACTGGCAGCTAGAGCCGGAGTACTAAGATGTCCGCATGCTTCTACTTTTCTTCGAAGCTGTTGCAGTGCGGTGACACGTTAGTACCATTCAGAAGATTGAAGCAAGTGAGTCGTCAGTCGATCTTTCAACGACACACGTTTACGTTTTTGGCGCTTTCTCCCCAGCTTAGGTGTGGACAAACCGGATAGTACGTTGCACTCGATTGGCACAAGGAAAGGGATCAAGCTAGCTCAGAATGATCACATCAGACATTGCATCTCTTCTTTTCAGGTCGATACAGATGTTAGCACTGCCTACCTCCGATCGAAGCACTGCTTTGGGTGCCAAATCAAAGACGAAGCTTCAAAGCTCTTCAACCTTCATGATCAAATGTCACATGAAGGTAGATTGCATGAAGCAAGTAGCGAAGCGCATTACGAAGGATCCCGGCCATTCCTGCTACCACTGTGACCGAGTGTGTGCATCAGTAGTGCTGACGTCTTCTGTTCCACGTTGTCAGCCCCAATTTGTGCACACTACCTAGGCTTCTATTCGCCTTCAAGCTCGGAAAGCAATCTAACCCTATCCGCTCTTCTGCTCGCACTAAGAAGCCAAACCAACATCTGATTGCAGAACTGCTAGTCACACAGGTTCACCGTGGGCAATGACGCCTATCGAAGAATAAGGTGTTTTATTCGAACAAGTTGTCTCCATAAAATATTCTGCTGGAATAAGTTAACGTCCGACTTGACAACAAGGGGGGCAGGCCGGGTGTACACGAGATGTAAGCCACAGTGCCCCTAGCCCTGCTGGCCCAACGAAGATCACATCATTATCCCCGACCCGATCCTCGCTTCAACAGCTGTCCGTGCTTAGACCCACGACCCGCGACCCACGACGGCTGTCTCCATGTTTCATCTTTTCATGTTTTCTCTTCGTTTCCACGTTCATCACCGGCCATTTTAAACGCTAACCGGCTGGACATGATCCCCTCTCTAAGAACCGTCCCCTTCCCTTGCGCCGCATTGCCCATTCCTCTTTCCATTCATCCCTCCGATTACCGTTCACCTAACCGCGCAATCGACAATGGACTCACTACGAGACATTTACAACAGGCGGCGCAGCATCGCGGGCAGGCTCCAGGCCGCGGCCGCCCTCGCCTTGAGCGCGTTGCGCGCGCGCGCGGTGTCGAGCAGGGTCGTCGACGAGCGTTCAATTCCGTGCGACTGCGCGTAGAACTCCAGCAGCTTGCGGTTGCCCACGCGCCGCGAGAAGATGCTCTTGCGGATGCTGCCGTGGACGCCCCAGTTGGCGTCGACCTGTGGGCGAGCGACACGTGGCGTCAGCTGACTCGCGCCCACGAGTTTGGAAGTCCGAAGATTAGTCTTGACTGGCGCCCGAAAGCATCGGAGGGATTGACAAGGTTCGTGGGGTCTAAAATAAAGATGCCAGAAACGGTCCAATGATTCCTGGGGAGAAAACAATTCGAAAATGTTTCCATCAGAGAAAGTTTAATGAAACGTCAACCTTGCCCCTTGGCCGACGGTGGAACCGACGGCTGTGCACACGGCGACACTCATTTGGTCATTTCGTCCTTCTGAGTTTCGACTGTCGTATTGTCGAAAGCCCGCCCTCACCACTTGGCTGATGCTGTAATCGACGGCGGTGCTCATGATGGTGACGGCTTCGTTCTCCGTTAGCGCGAACAGGTCCATCAGAAAAGAGCGCGTCTCGTTGAACGCGTTCTTGAAGGCGAGATTCAGGTCGTCGCCGAAACCGGGGGAGCCAACCGTGCTGGGAACCGGCAACTCGTCCAAATAGTTGAGGTAATTGTACCTGGTCAGGCAGGGTGAGCAATGGTTGTCGAGCAGCATCCTTTAGGCAAACCGCACTAGGAAGCGTCATAAGGTTTGGCAACATCAGGGGTTTCCGTGACTGGTTGAGGCCCGCACTACGCTCTGCAATCAGATTCGGAGTTCGCCCGCCCTTAACCAGCCCGTCCTTACTGCCGGCTTGTCACACCAATTGAGGTAGGTTCTGAGCAGCGGTAAATCGGATACCTGGCGACAAATCATTGTCTCTCTAATACAAATAATAAGAACGAAAGACCCAGGACGAAAATCGATGAAGTTGAAATCAACCTTGATGTCTTGCCGAAGTCTGTGCGCACAAAGTTTGTTCTCAGCAGCGGGGACACACTCTGAAAACGCCTTTGTTTCCCCATGTACTCCACACGAACGGCAAAACAAACAAAACAAACCAGACTCTGGAACAGTCATTTCTCGTTGCAAAGTATCCCCTTTAACGGAGAACAATGGCCTTCAAGTAAAATTCGCTTCGAAATTCGGAGCTCACCCGTGCACGACGTATTCGGTGGCGGTCTCGAGCAGCGGGAAGGTGAGCTTGCTGACTTCGGGCGGCAGGTCCGCCTGCTTGATGGTCGTGATGCGGACCGTGACCGTCATGGACGTCTCGATCGCGGTGCCGGACAGCTCGCTGTCGCCCTGCGAAGAAGATGCTGACGTCAGCTTGTGACGTAATCCGGGTGGTGTGGGGGTGCGACATTGGTGCGCAACACTCAACTGCCAAACGAGAATCGGCTTCCGAAATATCTCAGAAAACTTCGGATCCTTTGCTGGTGAAGGTACAAAGAGTAAGCGCCAGCAATGCTTTGAAGAGGAGCTGTTGAAGAGGTCCGACAGAGGGCGGCCATACGCACACGTCAACGTTCGCTGCACGCCGTTCATACCGAGTCTTTGCTCTTCACGTACGATCATGCTGCCCCGTCGAATCTAAGAAGGGCCTCAACGCCTCGCGCAGGGGGCAACCTAGCGTCAACTCTTTGAAACCACAAAGTTAGGCCCTATGGAGGTTAATTCGTGAGCAGGTTTCCTTCGACTCTCACCTGGGCAGCGTGAGTGTCAGCAATCACGAACTTAGCACCGGGCTCCTCGATTGCTGCAAACAAGAGAATACGTGGCTCGTTTTTCTTCAAAAAGAAGTCCTGGCAAGGAACGTTGAACAACCCTCTTGAGCTTGCAGGGTTTAAGCAGCTACTGACGGGCAAAGGAGTCTTTGTTTTCATGCTCCAGAGGACGCGTCTCTTGACCGCGACCCTTTGCGATCGTGAACGTTTGCATCCTGCGACTGGACTCCGGTTCAAAGGTCGATCCGAGCCTCTCAGAAGTGCTAACGAGGTCCCCGAAATCGAACGTAAGAACCGCCCAAATCAGCAGGCGACCAACAGGTGTGCTTACTGTAGTACATGGTCGCCCCCGCGCCGATCCTCCAGTCGTCGACGTTCCCTCCAAAGCGGCTGGGGGGAATGGTGTTGGCGCCCATTGTCCCGTTAGGAGCGCCCTTAAGGTAGTTCTGGCCGTTTGCAGGCATGACACCTGGCACAAATGCAGCCTGATTGGTTAAGGCCTGCACCTATTTTGAACGTGCATAACAGGTGGCAACCGAGAAGAAAGTGGTTGGCTGTAGCATGATCAAGTCGCCGTTGCCGCACCTGTATCTCAGCAGAACGTATGACCGGTTGGCTGTGTCTCGTCTGCAGGCATGGTGTTTTGGGTCCCCTATCATTGAATCGGCTGTGGAAAGAGTCAACGGTTGCTGGCATGTTTCTTGCAAGTGACGATGTTTATATTTCAAGGGCTCAAACGGTTCCCCATGAGAAGGAAATGTGAAACCCATCTCCCGTCCCTGTAGAAATGTCCCCGGAAACTGAATCCTTGCCTTTCAGTGGCTTGACTTCGCGAGTCTTGTAGCGCTTTCCCGTTTAGGATGGGTGTCTGAGCGGCTATAATACGTACGATTCGCCCCGAAAAGCGACTGAATGGTGGACATTTGCACTGAAAAATCGAATCTTCGAAGAAACTGCCCTGCTGCTCGCTTTCTTACCCATGACTCCGGTGTGCGGGCGCAGGGGGATGCGGAAGTCGAGGTCTGCCGCCGCGGTGTATGCGATGGGGTCACTCTGTACATTGCGAGGACGGGCTGGATGAGACGATGCTGGCCTTTCGAAAGTGCATTTCCGTGAACCGCCTCTGATGTTTCAAAAACGTACGAAAGCAGAACATCGAACTTGCCCTCGACAAACACCCGAAGGAATGCGACGCTAAAAAAGCCGAACTTAGCAGAATCAAGCGAAATCCACGGGGAAATAGGCGTGCAAAGAGATGTAGCGAAGCGAAAGGTCCTCAAGAGGTGCTTTTAAATTTTAGAAATTTTCCCACGCAGTGACACGCTCTTTCCCAAAAGCTCACACCCCAAGTGAAGGGGTTCAAACGAATAACAGGACCCGCAACGCACCTGGTTCAGGATTGTCTGGAAGCCTACGGGGTACGTGATCTTTGCGTTGCTGTTCACTCCATAGCTGCAAAACACAACAGAATACAATCAGACAAGCCTCCGACAGAGCTGAGCCGAGCTGCGATCCCTGCGTTCATGCAACCAGAGCAAGAGTGGCTCCTTCAAACTGGCGGTTACTGTAGGACAAAAGAGCCGCCGTGCTACTTACGACGTTAACCCGAGTTGAGCCCTTGCAACAGGGACGAAAAGAAAGAAGAACCGCAGAGCACCGAAAAACTGCAGAAGCGAGCACCTTGTTGTTCCAATTTGGAGGTCCATCCACCAGATGTGGATTTCGGTTAGTTACATATCACAGGCACAACGTGATCAGCCCACTGGAATGTCGTGACGGGCGCCAAAATCGGGTCAGCAGTCTGGATCTTCTGAGCAGGTGTTTTAAACGCAAAAGTGGGAGGACTTTTGCAAGGGGGTAAGTGCTCACTCGACGGCGTGCGGGACGATGACCCCCCCATCCACGTTCTGCATGGGCAGGTTGCCGCGGCCTGCGGGGTCGATCGTTTTTGGCACCGTGAACTGGTACTGGGGAGTCGCCCTGCGTCAGCGTGACGTCGTCGTTTAGCGTCTCATGAATCAAAAACGCTTGCCGCATTCCACGAGGGTAAAGAGCATGCGACGGCCCTTTTCCGTACCGAGACTGCCGTCGATACCACAGGGATCAAGGAGTTGCTAACAACTGGAAAAGAAGCACAGCAGTGAGCTGGCATCACAAACCAAACTCCTTTAACAGAGCAGATCTGATACGACCCTTGGGCCTCGTTCTACAGAATTCGTTTCTACGAGACACAGGATCTTAGCGATCGCTGCCAGGGCGCAGGAGAAGGCTTCCAAACCGAAGCAGAAAGCGGCTCTTACCACCAGCCCTCCTTGTCCTCGTTGATCTCGTATACGGTGATGGTGGAGTCGTTCCACGGGGTGCCGTCACGGTGACCCACGTCGGGCCGCGCAATGTACCTGCAATCCGACCCAATCGCTTCGCTTCTTAAGTCTCGATTTTACGTTGAGTTACGTGTATGTTGAGTTAGATCAGTACCCCGGGCACAAACAAACTAAAAACCTAAACCCAAATTTAACGTGCTCCGCACCCGTACCCACCCTAAACCCCCAAACCAACCCCACCCGTCTCCCGGGCATGACCTAACTCAACATAGCCGTAACTCAACATAAAATCGGGACTACTCTTCGCTTTGAGGGTAACGTCCGTGAAAGCATTGAATGACTTCGACGCACGAAGAACAGCTTCGCCCTTTGCTTCGCTCGCCTGCTGAAATGCTAGGATTTGTTGGCTGGCTTAAGAAACAAGCGGTGCTTCCAACCAATGACCAGGTATACCGCTTCATGCCATCAGGAATAAAAGGGTTTCCCAGACAATGGTCGTCGCTCTGAAAGATCGACGAGGACACTGCTGACTCGGCGAACAAAGCTTCATTGATCTCCACAAGCACAGAACATGATCACTCCGAGGATTGGTGTCAACGAAGGTTGATTCGGAGAATTCCTTTCTCCAAAACGGCGGCTTTAGATTCAAACGATGTCCGAGCAACTCACCCGAAGTTGGCGATGCGGTTCACACCGTAGCACTTGCCGCTCACCGGGTTGAGGCGGGGCTTAATAGACAGGATCTCCACCTGTAAGGATTGCCGAGCATGTCAACAGATTGTCAAAATGCGTCATGACATATACTCTGCCACCGAGACAGACTTTTTGAGATGGCTGCTCCTTGAGGCAACTTGCAACAGCTTGCAACCAAATACTGTGCAAACTTCAGAAGTCGAGATCCTGACCACGTTCACATTTCCCACGCACCTGAAGTACGTCGCCTGGCTCCGCTCCGCAAACGTATATTGGCCTGCGGGAAAGAACCATGACGACTTCAGAAACCGGACCGCCCAATCTTCGTGTAGCTTGCTTCCGTACTCTGTGGAATCTTCAGTAAAGACTGGCATGCCTACTGGAAGTAGAGTGCCGCTTAAGCTTAAGAACAATCGTATGAAGCAAAGCGTCGGATTGCAGGGCAGAACCTCGCCCCAGCATAGATCAGCCGGAATTCTCGTCAGGAAGTTCCATCCTGCCAACCAGGAGAGAGGAAAGCTGCCAAAAAGCTGAAGCAGAGAACTTAGTGCTTGTTGCTCCATCAGACTCCAGAACATTGTCCGTATCCAGTCGCAGGCAGACTTCGTTGTAAGCTCCGTTTTGACTCCGCCGATATGCCCCCAAATTTTCTTGAATTGACTAACGGGCATACTTATAATTGCTAGGAAGCTCATGTCCCAAAGCTCGATCATCGCCATGCCTGCGCTTGATGGACGTTCTTACAAACCGGTACACGTGGCCACAGAGTGACACTCACCCGGTCACGATGTGAGCGCCAGACCCAGGATATTGCGGTACATTCTTCTCAGTGACACTTGTATTGGTTGGCCTGCACGATCAGAAGGAACCTCCAGTTGGTCGGGAGAAGGAAAACTCCGTCCTTTTTCTTCTCAAGCAGCTGCACACCGTCTGAAAAGGTGGACTTGATGCTCTTTGAGGCATGCATACCAACCAGCATCTGGTCCCGAGAGAAATTGCAAGGTTCGATTTGTTTTGGAGGCCAGTTGTGTGCATCTAGCCAGAAGATTTTCCACTTCTAACGGCCCAGAATTGCAATGATGCACTTGCTGAGAGCCAAAAGGATTCGAATTTGCCAATAGTCCAAAAGAGTCGTCCATGTTTTGTGCACTCGGGGCGCGTACGTGTGAATACGGCGTTCTGCGCAGGGAATCTTCTGAGCGAGGGTAAGCTTTTCACACAATGGGGAGGTTTCATATTCGAAATCCATCTGCCAAACAAAGGAGAGCAGTTTTATGACACTGACTGTCATACAGTGCTATAAAGTATCAGCACACAGGCCAAGGCGCCACCAGACCTCCAATGCTCAATAGGTCATAGCAAAAGTGAGTTGCACGCATGTTTGTAGATGCCTTTCCAAAAGTCCTGGGTTGATTCCACGAGCTGCTTACCAGTAGTAAATGTCTTCAATGCCAGGATCACCCTGCAGTAAGAAAATAGAAGCTCTGGATGAGAAGTAACTGAATATGCAGCGCATAGGACTTATCCCTGTCTTCTTTGCTTTGTTTTGTCTACTTCAAGATTCAGGTCACCTGCATCTAAGAATAGGAACCAGAGACCCCAGGACAGGGGGGCTGCTTGACAAGTCCACATTTTTTATCCAGCAGTTAATCGCCATGCAAGCTGTGCTGTGACACAGGTTGTGCAAAGTTGCGGCACTACGTTGCACCTTAATACACAGGTTATTTTGTCTTCTGTAGTCACACACACTGTCAGCTTGCTGGATCAGTGACTGGAAAGACATTCTCAGAGAGAAAGAGAGTGGTACTTTGACATGAAGGCATTTGGAAAAGTTAATGGGGCCTTAGAATGATACCGCAAGCTGACCTGGATCATTTTGGCGTACTCGTTCCCCGCCTCGTGTGTGATCACCTCCACCGTAATGATGTCCCCTGACTGGACATATGCAACAGGGTCCTTGAAGAGATCGTAGAAGCCCCTGCAGTTGATAGTAAAAGGCAATGTCTTTGAGATGGGGGATGATGAGAGAACGATACCCTTTTGTTAAAAGAAGATTGGCTGAAGTGATCGTACAACATAGTGTTGCGATCCTTCTTTCGACCCCAATGATCGGGAGCTTCATTCAAAGCTCAGCCATTCAAATGGAAACTTTCTGCACAAACGACGGTCTTTTGGAAATGCTGAGGCTGCCGCTGGCAAATAAAGATGGAAGCAGAAAGGGTTCTGTTGCCGTACAGACTTTGTTGGATTCCAGTCTTCAAGTGTAATAGGAACATTCACATTCAGAGGACTTGACTCTAAACATGTCCCGCCTTTCCTGGCAAGAGAGCTATGGTCAGCTGCAGTTCAAGTATCTGAGGTGAGCCTTTACAACCCTGCCTCAGATCTGAAGAATCGGTGAGGTGCTCACAGACTGAGGGGCTCAGGGGCAAAAAGAAACTGATTGCAATGCACTTCAAGGATGTGTTGAAATGTATGATGGCATCACTTGTGAAAATTGTTCAGAGCAGCATTGCTTGCATCCAGCACACAGACATTCAATTCCAGGCCTTGTGACGGAGATGATCCACCCCGCTCTGGCCAATGCCATGAGATCCCCATCCCTTTCACCAGCGGGTTATCATCAAGGCCATGTCAACCGCGCATTCTCCAATGGTATTCCTTTTCTAGCAGAGTAGCACAGTCACTGTCCGCCAGACTTCCATCAGCAAATGTGTAGAAAGATCTGAAAACCAAATCGAGCTCACCATCTCACAGTGTCCTTGTTTGCAGCGACATATCTTGTGGACGGCGCAGAGCAGTTTCCTGGAAGGACCGGGCTGGTGGGGGCCGCCGCAGGGCCCTGCGCGAGCGCCGGAGCTACAAAAACGCAGCAGATCAGGAGCGCGCCAACCAAAAACAGGGCCCCGTTGGAAGCAGCCATGGCTAAGGCAATTGCGGATCGCTTTGCAAGATCGTGGCGCGCAAAGTTGTTTGAGCAAAGCAAGGATTGCAACCGGAGAGCGTGGCGATTGAGCTCAATTGGGCTGGCTGGAGCTGTTTTGCTTCATGATTGGACAAGATGATGGCAATTCCTGCAAGTACCGCATATGCACAGCTTCGGCAGTATTTTCCCTGAATTTTGGCCCTGCATTTTGGCCTCCTTGTTTGAGTTCTGACAGTGGATCCTGTGGCTCCTCCGGTACAAGGTCCAGGTGGCAGGAAGTGATCAGGGGTCGAACCAAAGTACAGAAGAATCAACAATTCTGCAGTACAGTTTCTATCCTGTTTCTACCGCTATTCAAGCTACCGGTAGTAGTAGCACGGGCTAGCTCAGGCTGCTGATTTTAGCACCGCACAACCTCGGTGAGTACCTAGCAAACGCACGAGTATCGTAGGTATAGGTAGGCTGTAGCTCCTTTCAGCGTGCTGTACTTGCCACACAAAGCCTACTTCTGTAGACTGCATTGCACTGTGCACACATTGTGCAGTAGGTACTACATATCACCTACCTATCTGTGGTAGCCTCCTAGAGGAGCCTGGACTTGACAACGCAAGCGAGCATTTCGGCTTTCCGTCGCCGCTTCTCAGCCTGAAATGCATTTATGACGCAGCTACCTTACTGGCTTCAAAACCGCCACGATTGCAATCACGTGGTGCACATGGAGCACCAATCTTCCGCGGTAATGGTCGTACATCGGATATACATTTGCTTCTACCGTTACCATAGGGTTCTTTTAACAAGGAGCTGGTATACACACTGCTCAGTCTGCTGTAAACAACCCAGCATGTGAGCTGACTGCGTACAGCCTACAGCCTCAGGTGACCGTGAAGAACGTTCTCAGCTCTGCAAGGCGTTTCTGCAAGGCGCCTGAATTGCACTGGTAGAGCAGAGATCTAAAAGTGGGAGATGATACGGAGAAAAGGCGAGCATCGTCGCAACAGCTTGAAGGCATGACCAGCTGAATGCTAGTGCTGTGATTCTGAGCTAAAGAAGCAACCATTGGTACTTGTATCTCAACAGCTTTGTAGTATCTGAAATGAGCGGTCCAAAGCAGAAGAAGGTGCTAGCGTCTCTGCCCGGGGCGGGCCCAGAACCCATCTTTGAGAGTGCGCGCTTCCAATCGAGATTTAGGGTTTTCACCATTCTTTTCACCATAGGGGCCACTTGTGCGCTGGTGACGTCAGACTTTGGGGACAGGGACCATGTATTCAGTGGGGTGAGCTTTCTCTGCTATCGTTTCTTATTCTTCAGTATGATGTTGGTTCTGACGGAAGTGGTGGTTGTGTCTGTTAATATATCTAGATTTGAATTAGATGCTGGTCTCCAAAAGTGTTGAAAAGCGGCTGTGACACCTCATGGTCCAAAAGGTGGTGTGATATTGGAACCTGTGGACGATTGGACATTGTCTTTCGAACAGAGTTGCAGACTTTGAACCGAGGGCCACTCCAACCTATACTCTTGGATCAAATTGCGATCTGACTTGGTTTCAAAACGGTGGTGGTGTCAAAGGTTCTCTTGGAAACGGGCTGCGGTTGACTGGCCTTGGGTCTACATTGGCTCGTGAATGTGGTGTATTCTGAGAAATTTGCAGAGATTGTCCCGTATTGGCCTTGGATGCTCCTTGTTTGCAACTTAACCTGATGACCTTCCAAACCACATGCTTGACCAGAATTCTAGTGTCAGCGGAACGTGTTCAACGTTTCTTTACAATCTCATCCGGCAAGTTGAAGGTATGGCTTTGGGCTGAATAGCTGAGGGTATTACTGCATTTTGGGAAGGCTCATCAGGATTGCGATTTGCTTTTATTGAATTTCCTCTCACCATCATTGCATTGGGCACGACAAGCGGATGGTGGTGACAATTGTCGTCAATCCCAACAACTCTGGTTTTCAGAGGGGCATCTGTGGCTGGTGAACCTTATTGTGCCACCCATATACAAGAATAGCGCGTTTTGATTTATAGCCAGTCCCTTTTGCATCAATATAAGCCGCGCTGTCCCATCAAATGAACAGAACACTGTTCCGTTTCTTGCAGGTCAAGCGCTTGATCGGACAGGGCCTGGACCGCTTGTTCCAGTTGGACGAGAAAGATCTAGAGGAGGTACATAGGCGTGCAGCAGAAAAGCGGGCGCGTGGCGGGCAGCTCTGAGTGGCATCTGTGTGGCTCTGAGTGGGTCCCGAACACTGCTGCAACTTCCGACGCCCAGCTGCTGTCACAAAGGGGCACTTGGGGCACGGCATTCGAAAGATTAGCAACAACAAAACGTTGACAGCAGAAAGAGTCTGACTGCCGGATTTCTCAAGCTGAGGGCTCATGCGCAAAGCCGCAAGGCTGGACACCTGTCACCTTAGTAAGCATGAGATCCTGACGATGGACTAGTTCCCGGAGGTCAGACAGCTGTCAAAGACTGGGATCAGCCAGGAGGCTTCGTGATGGGCACGGTAGAGCTGTGCCGACTCAGAGTCGGCTCACTCTCGGGTCTCGGTGCTGAGGCCGAATGTTTGGCGGTCAATCAAAAAGAATCCATCCCTGGGGGGCTTAGATGTAGCAGTAAGAGTAACTCCAGTTTTGTAAAAGCTTCTAGCGGACTGAGGGCAGCTTTGTTCGACAAGCAAACAGCGCAAAGGACAAGGTGTCTTTGCGAAAAACATCGAGGAGCTCCCCTTGGATTAACAAACTGGGCCTACCTGGCCGCAGCTGGTGTTCAGGTTTGTCGATTCTCAAGGGGAATAGTAAGCAGCACTGGTTCTTACAGCAGTGGTCCTCGTCTAAGATCAGCGCTGAGAGTCTCAGCTCCAGAGAGTCCAGCAAGCACTGTAGAGATTGTCCCCAATGATAAAACCATACCAGCAAGCAGCATAGAACTGCGACAAGAGGATGAGAAGATACAGAGGCTTCGAGAGTGGCTCCTGCAACTAGGATGGGACGATTGCGGGCTCGCTGTTTTCGGGGGAGGCGTGGGAGGCTATGCTGCGTATGCGAAAGAGGAAGGCGTCGAAGAGGGAGACGAGATTGTGAGAGTGCCGGAACCGGCGCTCATGACTGTAGAGGTGAGGGCTCGTATCTCTTCTTTTTGCTTTGAACCTGGCTTCTTTAGAGAGTGAAAATCAAAATAGTATGCGGAAGGCTGATGAGATTTGCGATCTGTGGGGTCGATGTTTCACACAAGTTCGTTATGGAGGGAGCGAGTTTCTTTTCTGCCTGCTTTTCTACTTTCTTTATCGGCAAAGTGAAATGACGTCGCGCGTTTAGACCCTTTGGCTGGTGATAAACAATCCAGTCTCAACAAACGAGTGCCTGAAACCGTTTGCTGCATGACAGGCAGGGGAGGCAAAACCATTCCTTGCCAAAACCAGTTCGCCCATGACAAGAACCGGTCGTGTGGCTCAGAAAGCCACACCATTTCTGCTTTGTTCTGCCATTGTCTCAATGCAGTACTGAACGCTTACGATCCAATCTGATCCGAACGCTTACGAAACGATCTGATCCGAAAGACACAATCCCTTCGTAAACGAGCCTCCGATGTCGTATCCGACGTCAGTGCTTTCATCGCAACCGGTAATCGAGAAAAATCTGTCTCTGAAATGGCGCCTGATTCTTGCAGACCGCCGCGCGCTGCCCCCTTCTCGGGCCCCTCATTCTCGCCCACGGCCTCACCCCCTGGCAAGCGCTCTCCGCGCACCTCCTTTGCGAACGCGCATGCGGGGACAGCTTTTGGGCGCCGTACGTTTCTGCGCTCCCGTCCGAATCGGACATGGAGTGGGCGCACCCGCTGCTTTGGGCGACCGAGGAGAGGCGTGAGTGGCTAGAGGGGTCGCCGACGCTCGGGGTGCTGGAAAACAGGCTCGAGCAGTGCAGGTATGAGCTTGTGCTGTGCATACGAATCTCACTCGTCGAAGGCGAACGGAAAATGTAGGGCTTGTGCCAGGGTGCCGTGTCCTCTTCTGTTCCGCAGTGATGAGGCCGTCTTATAGCACAACCACGGATTATGCTTCCTTTTTCGAGCGCTTCGAACGTGATACTTCACGGAAGACACAATCCTGCAAACGCCCACTTTGAGCTTCAATCTGTTTCTGATTTCGTAGGCTCTACACTTCATAGCTTCAATCATCCATCCGCAGAGTCTGGCGCAATCTTTGAGCTCATGATCCGTCGTTTGTCGATTCAACTTCAGCAGGAAATTGTGTGGCACTTTTTTCTTAATCATTTACCACCCGTCACCATGAAGCCGACAAACGACCACCATTTATGATCAGGTCAGACTGGGAGGCGCTGGAACAGGCCGGTGTGTCCGCAGCCCTTGCGGACGAGTTCGGACGGGACGTCGTGACGGAAGCGTCCGTCCGGTGGGCGGCCGCGATCCTTCTCAGCCGGTCCTTTTCGCTAGACTTAGATCTTGACAGGGACGGGGTAAGCTTATTTTCCTTCCTTCTCCTTTCTCCCGTTAAATATTTCATGGTTCGCGGCAAGGCTTACTGCACGATTTCCGCCTTCTCCTTGGAGATGTTCTGACAGGTTTGAAGGTGCTCTTTCCGGTGGAATTGCTAGGAGGGTAGTCCTGAACCTTTGGAGTTGACTTTCTCTGTGAGAACGTGGTATCTCTTGTGGCCTGAGTGCCGCCCGACCTTGGCATACCCAGTTTGACTCCGCGTAAAGGATTCAGAACGTTCCCGCTCATAAACCGACTGCTTCGTCTGGATACCACCCACCGTCATCCCCTCGATCGCTGTTCCTCGAACGCTCGTGCAATCTTATCGTAGTTCCTGTTTCTTCTCTTCGGTCCCAATTATGGAAACCCATGAAATCTTTCGTTGCAGCCAAGGCTCGCGCTCGTCCCGTGGGCCGATCTCCTCAACCACAGCAGCGAAGCGACCGGGGCCTCGTGCCTGGTGTTCGACGACGAGACACGTGTCGCCACCCTGAGGGCCCACACCGACTACTCCGCCGGTCAGCAGGTCTTCGATTCTTACGGCCCGGGACTCTCCCCCGGGCAGTTGTTTCTTGACTACGGGTTTGTCGACTGGGAGAATGTACCGGTTCTTGTGGAATTGCCGGCGTCAGTTCTCGGGAAGGTGAAGGGGAAGGCGAACCGGTCGCTGCTGCGAAGAGTGGGGCTTCCACAAGGTAAGCGAGCGGCGATGTTCTACTGAAGATGTCGTCTCTTTCATAGTTGGAAGCAGGAATGTCGCTGCACTGGAGTACGTTATGCTTGAAGTTGGCAAAGCAATTCAGAGCTCACCTTGGAAGACTGTTCCATTGACATGCGGTTTTACGGCTGGCGCCGCTGATGCTGATATCGCTTGCTAAGAGTGGGCCTGAAGTAGATGAGGACGGAAGGATTCAGTGAACAAGAACGCATATCCGACGCTTTTCTGCAGGACAGTCAATCATTGCTGCTCGGACGCTACAGCTCGCAGCGTCCTTCCATCTCTTCGCTCTTGTACAATCTTCAACCGAAGGCAAACCTCCGAGTCGGTTCTAGTCGAAGATTATTATTTCCGACCACGTGGTCAAAGCTGTAAGTGCAGAAGGCCAGCGGGCGCCCCGTAGACACCAAGCGGGGTTTTCCAGCTTTCTTTTCTTGCAAGACTCTGCAGGACCAGCACACTTTCAGAAGCATTTTTAGTACTGTCGAAACATTCCAGAATCATTCTTGCCGTTATTTCTGCAGAGAGCACGCTTTTTACCCTCTCCCCCTCCGGTCTCGACGACACTCTGCTCGCGTGGACGCGCGCGGCAGTGGCGACGCCGGCCGAGCTCGCGGCTGCCGGATGGACGCCCAAGAACTGCGGCCCTAGAGCCGCAGCGCGCGCGCTCGCGAGCTTCGCGGAGCCAGTCGGGAGGCGGAACGAGCTGCAGGTGGGCGCGGCGAGAAAAGACCATCTACTTTTTTCAGTGCTGCGCCATCTGTCAGCCGGAATAGCTTGTCGTTTTAGGTTAGGGGCTTCTGGATTAGCACGAGATAACGACGGACATCGACAGAAGTAGGGACTCGACGAATTGTTCTTGGTTCTTGCTTTTTGTGGGACGACGAAACGGGGGGTGTCAACTTTGTGCCGGCGCTTTTCTTTGTAGTATCTGCAGGGGCACGGATTGGAGTCTTGCGTGCTGATCGACTCTGCTAACTCTTGCTGCTTGCTGGTAACATCAATTCCCGCACTTAAGAGGTATTGGAACGAGGCTTTCGGTGTGTTTCCTGAGGGCTGGTTCTGCTGTTGATCTCAAAAGGGCCCGCGTGAATTCGCTTTGGTGCGGGGACGACTGACCAAATCGATCCAACCCGTCGTTCGGCCCCAGCTGTATAAGATAGGTGCACAGAGGGTGACTTATTAATCATGAACGAAAGTTGCGAGAACTCTGAAAGGGATGTTGAAGGAAATGCCGTCACATATTTGAAAGGCACTGTGCATTTTCGTCACCTTACATACATAAAGAGCTCTTTTTTCGCCTGTGGCAGGGTAGCTTCTGCAAACACACCAGATCTCTAACTGAATTGTCGTTTTACTACGACCGGAATCAACCCTCACAAATTATGTTGTCTCCGGTACATCAGTGCTCGAGCCTTTTTTGGTCGACACTTCTTCGGTAGACCGGTTCGGTACCCAGTTGCGAAAGCTCGTACAGTGGTCTTTCTACTTCATGACGTTAGCACTGTTTCTGCACGCTGCAGGCACTGTTATTGCTGATTCGGGCGTGTGACGAGCAGCTGAAAGGGTACCCGACCGATCCACCGGGGTCGGACAACGGTCAACGTGATACGGACGTTTCGGACAGCAGTCCTCGTCTGGTTGCCAAGAGGACAGCAGAGCAATTGCAGGCCTTGGAGCAGAGGGCGATTACCGGAGCGAGAAAGTGGTTATTACGGCAGTTGCGAGTGGCGAAGAAAGAGCCCGAAAGCGAGAGTGAAGTTGAGTAGACTCGATTGAGACGACCATTGGGTCTTGAGTGTGGAACGGAAGCGATGACTTTCGCCGTGAAAAGACCTGACATGTGATTCGGTGGGGGACATTTGAGTCCTGTTGCTTCAGAATTTGAAGTGTCGTGGGCCTCGGGTGCTAACATATGCACTGTACCTTCATCCAAACCGAGGATTGTCCATACGCGTTGGAAGCCATATTTATCAGTCTATTTTGTCTTACGCACTCATCAATTATGCCATGCACTCGATTGCTCTCTAGTAGCACGGAACGTTGAATCAGTCCCTATAAACGATGTTATCGACCAACTGATACCCCCAGGCGTGCATTAACCACAGCTAGGGATCGCGACCATTTTTGATGAGATCCGTGTACCCTGAGGGTCACGGATCTTCTGCACTGCCTGGCACGTTAAATTGAGATTCGACCGTCATGATGAAAGATCGATGCGGATCGGCCGGAGCGCGATAGCGCAGGTAGACTGATCGAGCGCCTTATAACGAGAATTTGTAGTTTTGGTCGGACAATTCGAAATTGATGACGGAAGAGCTTGAGCTAGTCAATCACGCATGTTCCCATGTGCATATATATGCAATGATCGCTCATGCGTCGGATCATGGCAGTACGTATAGCTAAGTTCACATGCGTGATGACATATACAACTGAGCTAGTCGCAATCATATGGGATTCATATCTTAGAATCAATTGAAATGCGATATCATCGGATGCCGCGGCACATTAAGCTCAAGCCTCATTTACGCGGACATCTACGGAGCTCGTGAAACGTCTGTACGATTGGACCATTTGCTAGTATACTTTTCATACAGTATTGAAGGACATAACGTAACGGGAATGCATGCACGCAGATTTGCATGTAGGGCCGGCTATCAGTACAGAGCCCGGACTCGACTGGCTAGCAGTACCTGCCGGACAGCTTGACAAGAGAGCTGCCAAACGTACATACATGGCCGTATACTGCGTAGAAAGTTGCAAAATCTGAATCATTCTCTGCCTTTCAATTATCTTGTATCGAAACTCTTTTACTGGCTACCTGGAACTGCTGAAAGTGCGTCGACGCTTTATCATCACCCAAATCTATGTACACAGGTGGTTCCGCCCTCCGTCGCTTGCGGGGCTTGACATCCACCTCTTCGTTTCCCCCACTTTGACTTCCAAATGGACCGTGCTCGAGAATCCGGTCCAGCGTTTGCGACTCTGGCTTGACATCATCACCTTGCGTGCTCATACCCGCCTCGCTGACTTGCGAGTACCGGTTCTGACTACCGAGACCCACACCGCCGGCTGGGTCTCGTCTGCTTTCCCGAGAGCTCGTTGAGGGAGCCGGCATCTTTGTCCGGTTTATGAGCGCAACGTGTTCTGGGACTGCCGGGTCAAGGATCTTTCGGAGCGCTAGGATGCTGACGGTCTCATAGCGCAGAGTGAGGGTGATCTTAGCTGCACCTGGGGCGTGTCGGAAGTGCACTCGTCGGGGCTGCACCGCTCGGTAGATTGTTCTGCCAGTGCTGGCTCCGAGGCTGCATGAACAAGACGCAAATTTCAGCCTCTGCCGCCGCATCGAAAAATGAAGTAGGGGGATTTCATGGCTTCGATTGGCGGAGTCTGCTTTCCATGGGAACCCAGGGTCACCGGCCATTGAATGAGGACAACGCCCCAACATACGACCAGAAGCAGCGAAAGAACACAGTGCGCGGTCAAGGGCTTGGCCCGCGACGCTTCACTTGATTGGGAGTGTTGAGTGCTCAGATCGATCGAGGTGGTCAGAACAAATCAAAAGGCTGATGATCAAGAACCACTGTAACAGAGGACCAATCAAAGAGACTTCAAGCTGGCCCAATCAGACTAGCTGCTGCCAGATGCAGACCCCAACCGGCATGAAGCACGTTTCTGGGCCTCGAAAGTGTACCGACTCTGAATCCAGAAAGTCTCCAAAGAAGAGAATATAAAACAGCGTCTGACGCAATGAGACAAAGGCATGAAGTGGGCAACCTGGGATGGCAAACGCCTGATGTTATAAAGGTACATCCAAGCATGGCTTTCTTGTATCCTGTCGTTCTCAGAACGTATTTCACAAAAATCTTGGTTCTGACTTCGTGCCCCAAGCACTGGGCCCTGCTCAAAGTGGCCGGCCGATGACATTGCATAGACGCCTCTTAAGGCAGCAATACAACATTGCAGACCACGGAGTAAGACGCCACACTCACCTCGGCGCCAGGTAAAATTTCTTCCCGTCCGGCAGCTGCTGCATGGACGGCGCCCGCGCCCCCTCTCCTTTGTGCTTGTCCAGGCCCGCATACTTCCTGCACCGGTGGCACTCCCCTTGTCCCGGACAGTCATACGTTTCTGCTGGGATGAACACGACCTTGACGCTCCCCAGGTCCCCTGTCCCATGACCGCCGTCTTGGCTGCCAGTGTTGTCTTCTCGCTGCTGAGGCGCAGCAAACACAAACGAGGTGACCTGGCGGAAAATTCAAAAAGAGGGTCAGCTGGGGCTGAATGAATGTATCTCCTGAAGAAAGAGTGTCAGCTGCGCCCGAATCTATGAACTTAGAGCAGGTTTGTAGATGACTGGGACCTGACGCTGCTGCTGACTTGGTTAGATAGGCAGTAAGGGGAACAAGAAGAACAGCAGACGCATGCTGTGACCTTCACCCAAGCTGTGGTTCATATACAGCATGGTTGAGCAGAATGTTGAGCAGATGAGTCGAAAGTCCGTTTGATTTAGCTTGCTTCCATCCTAGAAATCAATTCCTTCCAAAACACTGTGACCGGCAAGCCCCCGAAAAAACCTTAGCCATTGAGCTCGCACGTCGCAATCAATCTTTCCAGACCCCTCAATGGGAAACCGATACTAACACCGATAGATCTATGTAAAGAATCACTTCCACAGGCTACAAAAAAATCAGTATAGCAGCAACATCACCTTCCGCCAATCGCCATCGAGTCTGAACCCGTCAAAGCGGGCGCTGTGGCTCCCCCCAGCTTGAAACTTCTTGGAGTATCCCACGCTCTTTCCGTCCAAGTAGCAGTCTATGATCATTGGCTGCGCTGGGGGATCTCCCCCGCCTTCTTGACAGCGGTAGACTCTGACAGCGAAGCCATCGCCTGGCTTTTGAACTGCCGCATAGAAGGTGCGGTTGCTCTCAACCTCTGCTATTTTGGACAAGCTTGAGTCCAGGAGCTCGATGCCATAACACACACCACCAGGGCCACGTACTCTCATCTTTAGCTTTTGTTTGTTTGTTTCTGTTTTCTGTGGGGCAATCCTGAAGCAGCCTGCTCAAGCTGTCCAATCAGCCACACCAAAGAAACAACCTTCAGATGATGCTTCCTCTCTGATTCAGTGAAGCTGCCTGACCCAAATGCTCAAGGAGAACAACCTGTGCTTACTTGTGATTACGAGCACGCCGTCATCTGTTCAAAGAATTTGCTGGGAAGGACCGCGGTTTGTACTGTGGCTGGAAAAAGCATGTCTTGCCTTGCTCACTATTATGACAACCTTAGGTCATGTTCCTGTCAAAGATAGAACAACCTCCAACTTCTTGAAGCGGTCCCCGCTTTGCTTAAGTCATGGTGCTAGCTAATGTTCAGGATCCCTGCTAACCCCTGGGCTCCTCCCTCTTGCGTCGCACATGTTCTACTCGTGAGTGGAACAGAGAAGCCATTGCATGCCTTCTTGCAGGGCTTCTGCTGTGTACTCCCGCCAAGCAACGCGTTCAGAAACAAACTTGAAGAAGCCCTTGAACTTGAACTTGAAGTTGATCGAAGTTCACAAGGAGCCCTTGATACCGTTGGACTCTTGACGGCTGGGAAGATTTTTTGGAACCCTACATAAAGTTTGGACCGCTAGGAATAACTGCACCCTTTATCGGCCAGCTCCTATCACCGGCCACCTCGACAGATAAGTAACCGAGTCTCGATCGACCGAGTTTCAGACTTCGGTCGCGGCCGAAAACCGAAGTTCAAATTCGGTCTTTCGCCCATTTTTTGGCATGTTGGGACATTCAGAGGACCATGAAGTTCTTGCTTGTTGGCGACCAAACTTGGTAGGCATGTTGGCCAGGTCAATATCTAACCCTGGTTTCAAACCCGACTCAAATTGGCCAAGTCTAGTGGGTTTGGCAACCTTATGTAGGTGGCCGGTAATAGGAACATCAAAAAAAGGAGGGAAATATTGGAGCAACATTTTTTGAGCTTATACTGTGCCTAGCACTCCGCGTTTTTGATATAAGTCCCTTATATGGCTGGAAAGAGAATTCGACGAGCTTTCTATCCATGTATCACATGCATATAGAAAAGTGCTCGAAGGTCGAAACACTGGCGTCCAAAGATGAAGGTGGCCGATAATGGGTGCATTTATTCCTAGATGGCAAGTCTTCGGCCGCCTGAGATACCGGTACCTAGGTATATGTATGGAAGCCTGTGCATACTTGCCTACTCCAAGTACTGGGTGTTCCGCGATCTAGTTCGGGGTTCCCTTGTGACAATCGACGGCTCCGATGAAAGTTTGACATTTGCTGTGACAAAGACCGATGCAAAGAGTTGGTTTTTAGCTGGGCACTTGAATCCTACAAAAAGCCTCGAAAAATGAGTGGGTTGAAGCCGTGCAAGCCGGCACTTAAGGTTCTCGTATTGCTCCTGTTCCCACCTCCTTATACATATGTACGCCCCAATTTCTTTATAATTGCTTGTAGCTTCTGGGCAGCACGACCTTTTTAATTACACACAACATCGAAGTGTCTTATACTTGATAACCCCCGTAAAACAGCTTCACGGTCACGTATACAAGAAGTTGTTTCTGCCTTATGCAGCTACAACTCTAGAGATTCGAAGTCACGTTCTGAAATACTGTATCAAAGAAGTCGCCGCATTCTAAATGCTGGTCATCGCTGAGAAGACGCAAAACGGTTGGAACTTGGTGCGGCAAGATCACGCGCACGCTTATCAAGGTGACTCTCGAGTCTCATGGTCATTGTGAAGAGCATGCGGAGTCGCAGCTTCGACTCTTCGAGTGGATTCTTGCTCAAATTGGACCAATGGCAAACGGATGCTGCTGAAAATTGAGGTGGAGGGTCATGCTGGATTCAATTTGCCCTTCTTACTTAGGTAGTCAGACGTTCAGGTTGGACAGCTTTGGTGCTTGGTGGATCTGATTTCCAGACAATGAGTTGCATCTGATTGCTGTGCCGATGGAGGAGAAAGAGCTCAAAGTAAGTACTTTGTGACTCTCTTGAGCAACTGCGTCCCATAAAGTGTGCACTCTCTCTTGTCGTCAGATGTAAGCGTTATTTCTGTCTTCCTGCTGGTCAGCTCAGCTCAAATCCGAAGAGGCACGGTATGTTGAGAAGTAGTCCTCACTTTTGTTTGATTCAAGCATCAAACAACGCCGACTGCATCTATTGCTAGCACCAATCGCCAGCGATTTTTATCTTCATCTTGCCAATCGTTAAAGTTACCAGCATGAATTTTGAGTGCACTTTTGTTTTCGCTACTGCAATTCAAGATTTTCAAGTTGCTGCTTTCTGTGCAGGCAATCCGTCCTTGATCAAGCCCCAGTCTGGGAAGTCTGAAGGACTGTGTTTCTAGGAAAGAGCGTTGCAGGGTGCTCCAGAGTTGTGTTTGCCCATTGCACAGCACAAGTTTTGGTTTCGCCCTGAGCACGGCGCACCACCAGCGCTCTCTGAAGTTTGCAGATTGCGGAGCTGCTCTGGTGGGGTAGTCTCAAGTTTTGTCACAGTGGCTCCGGCTGTTTGATCAGTTGCACATGGTCTACAACTGCACCCGACGATGTGGTTGTCGCTTGCAAGTTAGACAGAGGCGTCCTGGTCTTTGCTAAAAGAGACGGCCCTCAAGTAGTCGACAACATGAGCGAGGGCAAGCAGGGCGAGGGAGGACGCCTTCTTGCACCTAGAAAGTCCTCTGAGAAGGCCCCCGACTCGGAGGTTGTCACCTACTCCAGAAAGAGGAAAGCAGGCGCCGACGATGCCACAGACAGAAAGCTTGTGAAGAAGGAGGCAGACGAGGAGCCGCGGAAGCCTGAAGATGATTGGCCGGTGTCAGCTTACGGGAGCGGCAGGGAGGCAGCAAGGCTGGCGATGCAGCGTGTGAGGGAGCAAGCGTCGTCCAAGAAGGGTAAGAAGCCTGCAGGGAAGCAGCCCGGGGGGGGCGCTGCGGATCTGCAAGCGCGTTTCTCTGGAGCCGCTTCGGAAAGCGGTGGAGAGGATGGCGTCCCGGCCAGAGAGGAGCCTGAGGGGGATATTGCTGTGGTTCTGGGGGGCCCTGCTGAGGAGGGGGTGAGCAAAGGGGCGCCAGCTGTGGGGGCAGAACTAGAAGGGGGACGACGAACACGAGCGAGCGTCGCCGCCGTTGCTTTGCAGAGCAAGGGGAAAGCTGGGAAGGGGCAGAAGAAGGTTGAGCAGGAGAAGGCTCAGCCCCCCGGTAAGGACAGAAAGGCGGGTGAGCAGGCGTCGCTCCAGGGGGGCACAGTTGGGCGGGGTCTGTCCCCCCGACTGGCTTTGAAGAGATGCGAGGATGCGAAGAGCCCAAAAGCAAGTGGTGGACTCACCCCCACACTTGGAACGAGGCGGGGAGAGGTGGCCGTGGAAGGAGGGAAGCAGACAAAGGTGGAGGAAGACAGGGGCTTTTCTGAGGGGATTGTCAAGAACGAGAAGGGCCGGCCAGACTCTGCCGATGAGAAGAGGGAGACGCGCCAGAGGGGCAGGCCCAAGGTGGAAACAGGGGATGGGGATGTGGTTTTTGAGAGGGAGATAGCTACGCCAAGGCAGTCAGCGAAGGGGAAAGCGGTGGAGGGGCTAAGGATGAGCCCGAGGGGGAAGAAGGAGAGCAAAGCAGTTGCTGTGCAGACCGGCGCTGTGATTATGCTTGAGAAAACGAAACCGCAGAAGGTGGAGGGCAAGGAGGAGATTGTGCTGGAACTGGAGACTCCAGCCGAAACAGGCGGTGCTAGCGGAAGCGGGCTGGAGAAGCCAGACGATGAGGTGGACGTCACTCGGGGGGCTGAAGAGGCGAGGGAAGCTCTGGAAACGGAGGGCGATGACAAAGATGTTGATCAAGAGAAAGAGAAGGAAGGCGGGAAGGAGGAGCAAGAAGTGGAGGCGGTGGAAATGCCAGGGTTACCGGAGGCACCTGGAGGCTTAGCAGAGGCGCCGGGGAAGGAACTGGGCCCTGAGCAAACGAATGATAGTGAGTTGGGCATCTCGCAAGGGGACGGGGCAGGGGCCCCTGAAGATGGGAAAGCAGGTGTCGCAGGGGTCCCTGAGGAAGAGAAAGTAGACGAGGAGAATGGGCCGGAAGCGAGTGCGCCGGTTGCAGAGACTCCGGAAGAAGTGAAGAGTGCGACTGAAAGCACGGAGGCATTGGCGACGGGAAGTCCAAGCATAAGCCAGATTGTGGCTGAGAAGGAGAGCGCAGCGCAAGAAGGGGAGGGGGAGGGCGCAGGAGACCGGCCCCCGCCTGTGAGGCTGACTCGGCAGCAGCTGCGGGAGCGGAAAGAGTCCGGTGGAGCAGGGTGCGCCAATCCAAAGGAGGCGAGCAAACAGAGTGATGCTGCAAAAGAGACGATATCGCAAGGCAAGGAGCCTGTCTTGGAGACAGAGTCGAAGGAGCGGGAAGAGGAAGCAGAGGTTAGAGTGGACTCAGGCAGCGGGTTGGCTGGGGTTGTGAAGACGGAAGAGGCGAGCGGAGCGGAAGGGACACCTGCAGAAAAGGGTGGGCAAGGGGTGGAAGCGGAAAAGCTTCTGGAGGCAGCAAAAGAGAAGCTCCCGGTTGACGAGAAGGAAAAGTTGCCGGTTTCGGAGGTGAAGGCCGCTCCTCTGAACCCCGCCACTTGCCCCATTTGCCTGAGGACGTTTCAAAGTCCCAAAGCTATGTACGGGCATCAGCGCACGCACGACACAGGCCAGCGGAGCAGAGTAGAGAACCCCAAAGTTGGAGTGAAGCGGACAGGGGCACCGATCGCTAAGGCGCCCAAAAAGCCGGCCAATGAGGGCACGGGGAACAAGATTGTCGGGAAGGGTGATTCCGTGGGCAGAGTTGAAGTGAAGAAGGAGGCTGGAGCAGACGTCAAGAAGGTGGCGGAGAGCCCGCCGACCCGAGTGCTCAAGAAGCGGAAAGTGACCGAGGTTGTGGTGGAGAAGAAGCAGCCCGAGAGTGCGCCGACTCAGGTGGCGAAGAAGCCCCAGGGAGTAACCGGGGCTCCAAAAGTCGGGGGTGCAAAGGTTGGGGATGTGAAGCCTGGGGATGCGAAGCTTGCGGTTAACCCCGGGGTTAAACCTGGGGTTAAGCCTGGTCTTGCAAAGCTTGGGGAAGCAAAGCCTGGGGTTAAGCCTGGGGTTAAGCCTGGGGTCAAGCCGGGGATTCAAGTGCTCAAGAAACTGGGGGTTCCGGAGGCCAAGGGCAGCGCAGGAGGTGAGGCCACGTGTCCCATCTGCCAGAGGACGTTCCACAGCAACAAGGCCATGTATGGGCACCAGCGCGCGCACAACATTTCCGAGGGGGTGTCAGCGGCAGTAAAGACTTCGCCTGCAAAAGCTCCCAAGACGAAGAAACTAAAGAAGGCGACGCTCGGGAAGGCGCCGGAGGGGGCACCGCTGCTGAAGAAGAAAGCGGCGCTCGGAAAGGCGTACGCGAGTGGGCAGTTGAAGAAGCTGGCGGCGGTTCTCCAGAAGCTGAAGAAGGGGCCGGTTGGGAAAGGGTTGGTGAAGCCCAGCGGGACCCCGGCTAAGCTGAAGCCGAAACCGGAGAGCTCCGGGGGCCCCGAGACGCCGGCGTCTCCGGCCACTTGCCCGATCTGCCTTCGCACTTTCCAGAGCCCGAAGGCAATGTACGGGCACCAGCGCACGCATGACTTGGACGAGAGGAGCAGATTGAGCGGGGTGGGGCTCCCAGCTGTGAAGGTGAAGGAAGGGCTGCCCCTGCGGAAGCTCAAGCCCCCGGGTCTGCTGGGGAAGAAGAAGAAGCTCTCCGCGGTGGCGGTAGCGCCGGGGGGGCTCGTTCGCAAGAAGCCGCTGGGGGCCCCGTCGGGCCCGAGTGTTGCCCTGGCGTGGAACAAGAAAGACGCCGCGCAGAGCGTCTTGCTGGCGCAGAAGAAGAAGCGCAGTGAGCCCGCTCCGGCCTTCAAGCCGACCTTAGTGCAGACAGAATCTCAGGACGAAGGAGTGGAAGAAGAGGGGGACGGCCGGGCGAGCCTCGACGGAACCGAGAGTCCGGCACACACCCCCGGGAGCATTCCGACGTGCCCCGTCTGCCAGAGGACGTTCAAGAGCCGGAAAGCGCTGTACGGCCATCAGCGCACGCACGGCGGGGGGTTCGCGGTGGCCGTGCAAAAGAAGCTCCGCTTGAGTCGCCCTCCCTCGGCCTCCGGCATGTTCAAGAAGAAGCCGCTCGGCGGGGAGGGGAGCGAAGGCGAACAGTCCCGTTTCGAGACGCTCAGGAGCCGGGTCAGAGGAGAGGGATCTCTCGCCGAGGGCAGCGAAGCGGGGGCTTCCGAAAGGCGGAGCGGACGGCTCCCCGTTTTCGAGGCCCTGGGGGGTCCAGAGAATCAGGGAGTGATCGCCGGACCTCGCACCGTTCCCCACAGCGAACTTAGGGGGGCGAGAATGCAAGGCCCGATCTGCCATCAGGGCCGCCCCCCCCTCCCTCAGGTGCGTACCCTCATCAGCGCCGAGGAGGCGCTGGCCGATTCGGGGGGGTACTCGATCAAGGGCGTGATGCAGAACCCGACCGCGGGGAGCCTCGTGGGCTCGTGCCTGGAGTGCCGCGGGGGGGTGTTCTCCGAGGGGCGCGCGTGGCTGCGCTGCGGGGGGGGGTGCGGGCGCTACATCCACCAGAAGTGCACGGCCCGCCCGCGCATGAAGGGCCCCCCCGGGGAGGGGTACATCTATGCGTGCTGGGACTGCAGGGAGTGCCACAGCTGCGGCGTGCGGCTGTTGGACGCGCCCGAGCCGGGGCAGCACAAGGAGCGGCAGTACACGCTGTGCCCGCCGTGCGCGCGGCTGTGGGCCATGCACAACTACTGCACCGCGTGCGAGAAGGTGCGTGCGGGAGTTCTCTTTTGCTGGGCGTTGTCTTGCATCCTTTGTCTTTGCGTCTCGTGCTCACTCCGATCCTGGAATACGCAGCTGTTCATTGTAGGCCTTTGAGGGAGCTTGCAATGAAAACTTCTTAACCTGTCTGACGCCTTTCGTCCGCTGAAAGCTAGCCTTCCCTTGCTACTGAGCTCCTTGCAGGCATCGTGAATCCAATGCTCCTCAGGTAGCAAGGTGGCAACTTGTCTCCTTACTTGTTTGCCCCGCTCCACCTATTCTTCAAAAGCTGTCCGAGGCAAGCTCATAAATTATCCCTGCGTACTTGGGAGCCATGACCTTTCTTCTCAGTAACGGGTTTTCCTCCCGCAGGTCTATCACGACGACTACGTGGGCGAGCCGATGGTCCAGTGCACCATCTGCTTCCACTGGTGCCACGCCGCCTGCGAGGGCTACTCCAAAGATCAGTACGCCGCGCTTGTGGAAGACCCCAACTCCGTCTTCCACTGCTCTCGCTGTCAGTCCGGCGCCCGCAAGCCTGCGCCTCGACCGATCTCTGAAGCGGAAGCGATCGCCGAAGCAGCGGCGGAGAAAGCCGCGCAGATGGGGGGGACCAACAGGCTCGGCCGGCGGACCCCCGGGGCAAGAGCGTCGATCTTTGACGCGCCGGTAAGAAAGACGGGCAGCATGCAGCAGCTGTTGACCGAGACGGGCCTGGAGACACGCGAACGGGTCCCCACTCCCAAAGCGAAGGCGAGGCCCAAGTCTGCACCGAAGACCCCCGGCGCGAATGCGTTCTCGGAGGATGGAGGAGATCTGGCGGTCACGAACCGGCCGTTGGGAGCGGGGCTGCTGCGCCCGGGGCTCGTGACCAACAGCCCGAAGCGCGCGCGCAGCAACGCGGCGATCCGCGCCAGCAAGAAGGCGCGGGTGCGGACCGCGTTTCAGGGGTGGGGAAAGAGCCTGCAGGGGGCCCCCCCGCTGTCGCCCACGACGGGGCTGATCGCGCCCGAGGAGCGGGACACCAGCCGGACGGGGCGCCGGATCAAGACGCCTCTGCGCCTCGTAGAAACAGACCCGCTCGAAGGAGGGGAGAACGATCAGGAAGGGTTCGACGGCGGCGCGGCGGTTGCGTCTACCCCCTCCTGGAAAAAGAAACTTGCGGCGAGCGTCGTTGCGGCGAAGCTGGGCCAACTAGGGAAGGTGGCTGGGAAGCGGAAGCGCGCAGAGGCGGAGGCGGCCGATGAGGTCATCGAGGAAGCGGCGCTGATCGGGTCGCTCGTGCGGAGACTGAACTCCCCGCTGCCCCGCCCGGCAGATACTCCCTCCAAGCAGGTGGGTTTTGCCGCAGAGGCTACGCAGAAGGCCGACGCGAGCCCGCAGAGGGATCCCCCCAAGGTCGTGGCGAAGCAGAGGATCCGCCACGTGTCAGGCGAGGGCCCCTGGTGCGGCGACCGGCGGCACCCCCCTCAGGCCCCGGTGCGCTTCTCCAGCGGTGCGCTCTGCGCTCTCGAGTCGTGCAAAGTGTGCGGGGGGCTCGGGGACCGGGACGAGGACGAGTACCTGTGCTGCGTGGACTGCGGGGAGGCGTACCACAGCTTCTGCCTGGAGCCGCCGCTGAAGCGGAACGAGAAGCTGCGGGAGTTCTGGCGGTGCCCCACGTGCAAGCTATGCGACGTGAGCGCTCGAGCTTTGCTTCCTTTGTCTGAGGCGTGCGAAGGCAAAAGTGTTGCTGTTTTGATTCCGTTTGGCAGGTTACATGGGGACCCGGTGTCATCTGACTTGCGCTGGGCTTCTTGAGAGTCGACTTCTATAACTTGGAGGCTTGGATTCGACTTACGTAACTTGGAGGCTTGGATTTGCCTGGCTTGTCTGAAACAAGGTTGAAACAGGCCACGTTCTAGAAGGCCAAGTTGGTAACTTGCCAGCTTCGGAACTGACGGAACCGATTTGTGGACCAGGCGTGTGGCCAGATCGAGGATCGAGCGTCCATGATTCTCTGCTCTCACTGCGACGCTTCCTACCACGAGGGTTGCCTGGACGAGAGGTCAACTCCGAACGAAAAGGTAGGCGTCCCTTCACCTCTTCTGTTTCTATGTTGTCCCTTCCTGGGCTCGCGGCAACTTCAGACCTGAACAGCGGTTGTTTTTTATGGTCGGTATTCGATTGCGGACGGAGTCCGGATGTTCAAAAGTATTCACCGTAGGTGCCATTGGTGGACTTTCTTTACCTGACACTATCGCTAGCAAGTACGGAAACATCGGCTTCACAAACTGAGAAAATCAATCCTAGCACACAGCCTAATAGGTCTTGCACCCCGCCCTTTTCTGCAGCAACGCAAGCTTGGCTGGATCTGCCCTGGCTGCTCGTCGTGCGCGTGCGGGACCACGCTGGGCCTCAAGGCCTCCTCGATGCGCTGGTTCCCGCGCAGCGACGGTGGCGTGGTGTGCACCAAGTGCCTCCGCCAAAAGTCGCGGGGACACCTGTGCTCAGTGTGTCGGACGTCGTTCGAAGATGCGGCCGCGAAGGGCATCAACGAGTGCGCCAAGTGTTTTCTGAAGGTGCACAAAGGTGAGGGGAAGATGTACTGAATGAACGTCCGTTCCTTTCGGGCTGGTAGAGCTGGTTGGGCCCTGTGGGGAAATAGATGGTGTGGCCGGGCGGATGTCTCGTTCTGCTTGCAGCTGTGCGGCTGACGTCCTTACTCAGATTAGACATCAGCAACCAAAACCGTTGCCAGAACATCCTGCGTCGTTGCCGGTCTCGAAAGTTCATGCATGTACGCTGTGTCAAGAGTCGTGACGCTGATTTGTTTGCTCTGTCACTCTTTATATACTTGTGAGATCAGTTGTTGTAACACCATCGCTCTCCGGAACAGGCTGCGACCCAAGTCGCCAGACGCCCAAGCCAGGCGCCGCCTACCACTGCCCCTCGTGCCGTAAGTCCGGAACGCCCAAAACCGCGTCTGGTGTCCAACTTCGGTCTACAAAGAAGCGCCTCAAGGGCGCGCCTGGTACCCCCTCCGCCAGACCCAGCCAAGCCGTCGGGGGATCCCCCTTCCGCGGCAAAGTGCAACCCCCGACGCTGATTGTGGAGAACCCTGCCGCAGAGGAGGGCACAGCATCCTTGCAAATGGACCCGAGCCTGGGGGTCGGGGAGCTGGGCTTGACACCGGGCACAATGGCCAGGCTGGGGCTTGACTCCGGGTTCGGGACGGCGTCATTCGCGGAGGAGCAACAGGAGCTGGAAGCGGACTCGGAGCTTGCGATGCTGTTGAGGACCGGTTCGGACGTCGATCTTGCGAGCATCGGTGGGGGTTTGCTGGGTTCGCTCCAGAGTCCCGAAGGACTGGCGTTTCTGCGGACCGGTACGTCGGACGGAGGCGCTTCCGGAAAGGGGGGGGAGCCACAGACGGAAGTTGCGGGAGAGAGCAACGAGCAGGAGGGGGGTCCCGCAAGACCAGGGACTGCCAAGATGGCGGCGTTCAAAGTACCCCCCCTGATCGTGAACAGCTTCGTGTCCCCCGGGGCGAGCTCGGGGAGCCCTTTCGGGATGCTTTTCTCGCAGCGCTCGGACCAAGTTGCGCTGCCCAACTTTCTGCCGGGGCAGCTCGACACGCCGAACGTGGCGGGGTCCGGGCTCTGGAATAGCCCGCCCGTGGAGGCGCCACCTGGCAGCCAGCTGGACGCAACAGCTGGCGCCGCCGAGGAAGGAAAAAACGGGTTGGGGGGGGCGGACACGCCGCGGGGGGGTGCGCTCTCGGCCGAGGAGAAGCAGCGGGTGCGTGAGCGGCTGAGCCAGCTCGACACCCCGACGCAGGTCCGGTTGCAGCGCTTCCTGGAGGCGGAGAAAGCGAAGCAGGACGCGCAGTGGGCGCAGGTCGAGAACTTCATGCAGAAGCACAGCCGGCTGCAGGCGGAGCGCGAGAACGCGGCCCTCCGCCCCCCCGCCCTGAGCCCCCCGTTTCGGGGGGGTCCCAGCCCCGGCCCACTCCAGGGGCTGCTCGTGTCCCCCTCCCAGCACGCGTTTCTGCCGTTGACGGCAGAACAGACCTACCTGAGACCGGACGCTTTGGACCACCATCCGCTGCTCAGCCCGCCGGACCGTCCGGATTCCCAGGCGCAGGAAACGGCGTTGCCCCCAAGAAGCGGTTCCGGTCCTGAGCCTGCTGGGTACTGGGAGGGCCGGCCCTTTTACCGCGAGCTCGCGCCCCAGAGAATCCCCTTTCCGGGGGGTTCCGCCAGCCGGCCGATGGGCCCCCCGTTTGCAGGAAGCGGCCCGCCGGGGCCCCCATCGCCAGCGGAAACGCACGGGCGCCAGATTGAGCTCGCGAAGCGAATGGCGACCAACGCGAACGCTGCGGAGACGTTTTTGAAGAAGCTACCGCCGCAGCTGGCGAAGGAGCTTCAGGACCGTTTTCCCGAGGGGGTTCCCCCGAGCGTGTTGTCGGCAATCGCGCAACACCTGGTGCGAGTGTCGACCATGCAGCAGCAGCAAGCCAGCCCGCACGCGCGCCCTCCTCCCCCCCAGGTTCGCTTCCTGCCAAAAGTCAGCTTGAAATTCCTGAAGTTCGTGGATGCCTTAAGCCGTGCTGGATAAGCCTTCGTTTTGCGTGGTTGGAACCTTTGCACTTTATACAGAGCCTTGTTTGGGAGCGCCTTGTGTCGTATTTCCCCTTGCTTCCTTTGAAAGTTGACTTGCGAAAGTGGGGTTGCACAGAAAACATTGCCTTGAGGAAGACCCGCTTCTGATAAGTGCTCTGACATCTTCGCAGCAAGTATCAATGTCGATTACGCAATGCTTCGTAAAGAGGCGAACCTCGCTGGATGGCACCCTTTTCAACCTTGTCATACGTGTCCGCTTTCCTTCTAGACCCGGCTTTCCTGTGCTGAGAGGCTTTCAACTCCCTCCTTTTCCAGGGACCGCTCGGAGCATCACCCCTGTCGCCAGCCGGCGTCCCTTATGTCGCCGACAAGAACGCGCTGGCAGCCCTCCAGATGCCCCCCCCAACAAGCGTTGTGCGCAGTCCACGAATGGGGGGAGCCCAGCAGATGAATGTTTCGGGGGGGGGCAATGGGTTGCTCCGGGGCCAGGCGCTGAGGAGTAGCCCCACATTTATGGCACAGTTCAAAAGGGGGGGTGAAAAGGGCCAGTCGAGAGCGCAGGCGCCCTGGAATGGGGGGTACGGAGGACAGATGGATCCGTCTTCAGCGCTGGCCAGGATGGCTGCGGCAAAGAGGACGATGAACCAGGTGACTTATCGCCCAATCATCTGTTGCAACGCAGTGTTCTCTGCTCTCCCTCGCTTCTTTTTGGGTTGACGTGCGTCCAGTCTGGGGGTTCTTTAAGGCTTTTGGTTTGCAGTTAGAGTGATAAGCAAGCTTCCTCTACTTCAGCAAAGCTGCAGGTACAGAAGAGACTGTACCTAATGTATGCAGAAAATTCCTCAGAAGGAACGAGGCTAACGACTCATCTCGCTTTCTCCTTCTCCACTCAGCAACTTTCATCAATCTTTTGCCATTGCCGTCCTCCTTTCTGACGACGGCTTCATGCGCAATAAGCAAAGCCCTGGAAAGCAGCACCATATTCCTCCCAGCACGACCACAATTCCCTGTTCCCAAACCCTCTTAATCCTTCTACAGATGCCGAGCCCCCCCACCCTGGATCGCCCAATGAGCCAAGGGGGAGCGTCGGGGCTTTCCGTCCCGGGGCCTGGCTCCGCCGAAAGAGTCCTGACCCAGATGGCGCCCCCGAACGCGCGTCCATCCCCTCCTCCGAGCGAGCCGCTGACGCCAATTCAGCTGACCCCGCAGCAAATGGTCCGCAAGGCTGAGGTTGGTGGCCACACTTTTACTTTTTTTTGTTTTAGAGAGCGCCCTTGCAACACCTGGTGAGGCCACTGAATTGCCTCCTGGAAGGATGCGAGCGTGTTGTATTAACCTCCTTACAACTCGAAAAAGAACGGAATGTTGGGCTGTGAGCTACGAGGGTTGCTTGCTGACAGCATCTTGAGTCCTTTTCGAATGGCTTCGTGAAGCCTTAATGAGCATCCTTATGCGGCACGTTCTTGATCACCCCAAGGACTGTATGTAACAGAGTCTGGGTCCCCAGTGGCGACTCGGCCGTATGATTCAAGGATAAACAAAGTTCTCCAGATACGGACCGCTTTTTCTGAACATGCTTCAAAGGTCCGTCTTTTGTCCCATGCAGCTGGAGCAGTGGGTGACCCAGAAGTACAACGAGTTGGTCGAGAATCCCGACAGCGTGCGGCGCCTCGTGCACATGCACAACTCCGGCACCCTTCCCCCCGACGCCGGACCCCACATCGCGGTCCTGAAGAAGCTCCTCTCCGACCAGCAAAAGGCGTCCGGAATCCAGGCCAAATACACGGCGCTCATTCTGGCGTGCCAGAAGGAGGCGCTCGCGCACGGCGACCGGAAACGCGCGCAGCTGGCAATCCGGGGCCTGCAGCAGAAGCAGGAGGAAGAGCGGCGGCGCGCGTCCGCCGAGCAGCAGAAGTTCATCCGGCACGAGGCGGCGAAAATGGCGACGGACGTCGTCGAGAAAGAGGCGCGCGCGGCGCGGGGGACGCAGAACAAGGATTCGTTCCCCGGGGTGTTTTCGGCGTCCCTGTTCCAAGGAGGGGGGGATCCCTCGGGGGAGTTCCTGGGGGCCGGGCTGCCGAGCCCCGGGCTCTTGGCGAGCCCCGAGAGCTTCTTCGCGTCGGGGGGGTTTGGTAGCGTCGAGAAACTTTCAGGGGGCCACTCCGCGTTGAGGGGGGAGGCGGCCCGGACTGAGAGCCCCGACATGTTCGGTAACGGGGGGCTGCCAAAGAGTATACAAATGTACCCCCGCAGCGTGTCGCCCGTACCGTTGGTCCCCGTTCAGCAGAGCTCCGCTGAGAATCCGTTTTCCGGGGGGGATGTGACGCCAGTCGCTTCTGGGGGCCTGCAATGGGAGTCACGCTTCAACGACAATCAGCTGGAGCCACTTTCAGGCACTGAGCGTTCGGAAGCATTTTCAGGCGCCGGGCAACAGTATGGAGAGGGAATAGTGCAAGAGAGGGAGAACGATGTATTCAACCTGCAAGGGGACCGAAGCTTAAAGAGGAGAAAGGAGGAGATGAGAGCGGTCGGGGGGAGTGGAGAGGATGGGCCTGGACCTAAGCGGCTAAGTGAACTGCGTGATAGCCGTTGCGAGGGCAGCCCGGTGATCGCCCAACTGGGGAGGAAACCACTCAAGCCGGCAGGCTCGCTTCCACCTCCGGGGAGAAACGCCCCGGGCGCAGGCGACGGCCAAAGTAGTGCAGCCAGAGACGGCCACGTGGCAGCGTTCCAGCCGGAGGATGTTCGGGTAAAGCAGGCCAGGAGCACAGAGTCGAGCGGTTCTGATTCGGAGGACGAACCACTGATTCTGACGGCGTCCAAGAGGGCGCTTGGAGTAGGAAGCGAGCCGCGGTTGGTGAGGGATCCCTCTATCGGGAAGAAGGGAGGGCTGCCCGGGGAAAAGGCAAAGAGGAATCTCGGCGGATTATTGTCGGAGAGCGTGGTCGCGGAGGAGGAAAGTCAGCTGCATAAGGAGGCGGCCAGGTTTGCAGAACAGCCAGCGGTTTCTGAAGCTAAAAAGGTGAGCAGAAGCGAGACTTGTGAGTGAGGTTTGAGGCTGTGTAGAGGGAGCATGACCCCGAAAGAGAAGCGGTTGAACACAGCTTGTTTCAAACTGCATTGTCGACGGGCTCGCTTGTCTTCGAGAGCTCTGCGGTCTTAGGGACTCTAGAAAACATATCTGGAGGTGCATCAACGTTGGTGGAAAGGTTTCTGGTCATCTTGTTTCGATCTAAGACAACCAGTATTGAAGTACAGACGAGTGTGCAATGGGGTTCAAGATTCTTCCGCACATTGCTTCGAATAGCACGTGACCATCAGTCAAGTTGCAGAACTCATACGTTCTTTATCGGAGGAGTGAATCGGTTGGCTGACATCGAATTCAACAAAGCGCCCAAGATAGTGGAGAACGTGCTTTCAATCATCTGTTTAATACCACTCGTTCAGGAGCCGTCTTATACGCTTCCAAGAAGCCCACCTTATGCTTCTCCTTCCCGTCTTTCTACAGAAGGGTTCCGATAGCAGCGCCCAGAAGGACCCTCCCGCGGAAGACGGCAAGAAGGCGAAGCGCCGAAAAGCGATCGGCGCGTCTGGGGAGCTTCTCCTGCTCGCCCAAACGGCCCGGCAACAGTTGACACAGCTCCTGAAAGCGGAGCGCGATTCGCAGGACCGCACAATGGCCGCGCTGTTCGAAAGCGTCGGAGAAAAGCGCATCGCAGAACTAGAGCGAGAAGCTCGGGAGAAACTTAGAGGGCCCAGCGAGCCGGGTTTAGAAGCGGGTCAGGAAAGTGGGTGCAGCGGGTTGGGCAAAGAGAGGGCGGATCTCGTGGTGGGCGGATTCGCCGTGGAGGGGGGGGCGCTGGCCGTGTCTCTGCAGCCCCCTGGGACGGAGGTCGAGTTCCACAACGGGAAGATCAGTGTGGTCAAGGAAGAAGCCGGCGAGGGGCCAAGCGGGGTTTCGCAACTAGAGGGGGGTGAAGTTTTCGGCCAACCAGGGGGAGCGAAGGGGTCCAGAAAGAGAAAAGCTGCGGAGGGAGGGGAGGATGGGGATGGCCCCCGCGCGAAGAAACAGCGGTCGAGTCACCTGCAGATTCGGCAGGCGGTACGGGCGCAGATGCCGGTGAAGCCCAACAAGGAAGGTTCCAGGGGGGTCGAAGTGCCTGCGGGAGCACCCGGGGGAGCGGAGCCGATGTGGAGCGAAAAGTGGTGGCTGGATAAGTGGAGAAAAGAAGAAAGGGCGGCCAAGGGCCGCGCGCGCAGGGGGAGGATGGGGCGTCGTCAGGAGAAGACGTGCCGATCGGTCGAGCTCTGATGAACAAGGGTAAGCCTTTGGCGTTCATGAGTCTTGTGTAAACCAGCTCCAAGCGAGGGAAATGTTTAGTTGCGATCTGACATTCCTGGTTTGATCGGCCCGATTCCAAAGGACGATCCTAAAGGGCGATATTGCAGGCTGATTGGGTCAATGGACGAATTGCTTCAGGAATGCCGTCTTGAAAGAGGCTATTGATGCGTATCCCCCTGCCTGGTGGATGCGACATACTAGTCTGACTTAGCCCACTGTCATTAGACGAGTATTGCATGGATCGTCCAAGTACTTCCGCTCACCCTCATTGTACAACGTTACGGACCTTCAAACTCACATTGGAAACATTCTTTCTCCAGGTGTGGCAGAAAAGCGGCTTGGCTCGAAGAAGAAGCGCCCGTCGCACAAGCGGTCTGCGACACGCACCTCTGAACCCCCCTTCAAATCGGACCTCCGTCCCTGCACGCTCTGTCGGAAAGGCGCCCACGAGGGTGGCGCCGGACGCTTGCTTTACTGCGGGCCCGCCACGTGGGTCCACATTAACTGCATCATGTGGGCGCAGCACATCCCGCGGCTGCCAAGTGGCGAGCTCTGGTTCGTCCACTCCGTGCTGCTCCGCGCGTGGAAGCGGCGCTGCTCGAGCTGCGGCGACTTCGGCGCGAGCGTCGCGTGCGGTTCGAACCACTGCGGGGAGCGCTTCCACTTCCCGTGCGCGCTGAAAGCGGGGGCGGCGTTCATCCAGGGGGGGAGGGTCTACTGCGCGAAGCACGCGACTAGGGAGCGGCTGAAGCGGCTCCCAGTGTTGCAAGGCGACACGCACTTTGCGCGCCTGCGCGCGTTTGTCGAGCCGTGGTGGACGCGGGAGAGGCCGACACGTGGCAGTCGGGAGAGCTCCGAGCAGAGCGGGAAAGCGGGTCAAGAACCGGGTCAGAAAGATGACCAGGTGACCGAGGTACTCGAGGAGGCGGGTCAATCCGTGACCGAACAGGAAGCGGGTCAGGAAACGGGTCAAGCTGCTGGGCCCGCACAAGCACAGGTGCGCGCAAACGCTCTCCAGGAAGGCCCCGACTTGCCGGCTGACAGCAGCGAAGCAGTGACAGCTGGTGGCGGTGGAACGCCAGCTGTTCCGAACGGTCTGGACGCCGGACAGCCGAACCCGGAAGCGGACGGTCGGGTGCTGGATTCGGACGGGCGGGAAGTGAAGAGGGCCCGGTTAGATGAACCCGGTCAGAGTGTGCCGGCTGCGGAGATTGGGAGCGGCGAGTTTGACGGGAGACGACCGATGGAGTTTGAGGACCCACCAGGGGTTTCGGAACCGCAGGCCACTAGCGCAAAGGCCACTGCTAGCGTGGGGCCTGTTCACACCGAAATTGGACCAGAGCTGATGCAGGTTGATTCGCAAACCGAGGGGACTGTGGATGTCTACATGCAAGAGGAGAGGCCTATCGGCGTAGCCCCGACCGACGGCGCTGATCCCCTTGGGGGGGATGAGAAGCACGATAGCGGCCCTGTCTCTGTCCCCCCTGTTGATAGTGCGAATGCCCCCCGAATCCTCGACGTGACTCTGCCAAGAGCGGACTCGCTCAGGTTCGAGTCAAACAGCCCCCGGCGATCGCCCGGCAGCTTCGCATCGCCGATCGCGGGGCTGAGCATCGTCAAAGGCAAGCGCGCCAAGCGCAGCCGGCTCGAGGACAGCTGGGGCTCGGGACAGCTCCTCCCGGGGGGTGCCCCCCCGGCTAGAAACTTCCCCCCCCGGGAAGAAGACGACCCGGAGGTGCCCCCCGGGGAAGGCCCGGGCCTGGTTCAGTTCCTGCGGGTGGGGGCGCTTTCCGTGGAGAGCTTGGGCGAGCTCGTGCATGACCAACGGGGGTTCCACTCGCTAACCCAGCTTTTCCCGGTCGGGTTTCGGGCGTGGCGCGTGCACTGGAGCACGCAGCGCCCGAACCAGCGGTGCCTGTACCTGCTGGAGATAGTGCGGACAGCATATGGGCCGCTATTCCGGATCACGGCCTGGGGAGAGGTCGGCCGACGGAGGGAGCCCGAGGGGGCGGCGCCGGTCAACCCGCCGATGCATCCGATCACGGCCTCGAGGTGGGTTGCTCTTGAGGTTACGAGTACGATTGGATTTCTTTGCAGAAGACTGCCGCTTCGCCGAGCTCAGAAAGTTGGTTCCCAGCTTGTGATAAGAATGTGGTACAAACACACTTGCCAGTGATTTCTCACTTCGCTCAAGTAGCATCAAAGACCTTGACTGATCTTTGTGTCGTTCAATGAATTCTGAGCTCAGGCCATGGCATCCTTTAACCTTTAAACGGCCACGCATGAATGCATCCCCTGCGGGATATGCGAGAGGCGAAAACGGGTCAGCACAAACAGAGGAAGGTAGTCAAGAAGAAAGAAATATCCCTTAACTAAGTTCTGACCCACTCTTTCCGCGCAGCCTCGACGAAGCGTGGGCCAACCTGGACGACCGCATCTGGGCCATGCGCCGCAGCAACGGGGTCGCCTGGAAGCGCCACCGCCGCTTCTGGGGGGCTGCCCACAGCAGGGGTTTGAGCCCCCTGTCCCCGCGAGCCGCCCACATGTCGCCCAAACCCCTGAGCCCCCACTTTCAGCACCAAGACCAAGGCCCCGCAGCCTGCGGCGCTTGCTGCGGTGCGTGGCTGTTCGGGCTGCACGTGTGGGACGTGTGCAAGCGCCTGGAATTTCTGCCCCGGGCGGAGGAGTGCCCCCGGTACAAGTTCCGGCACAGGGAGGAGCTGGTCGGGAGGTACGCACCGGTCGCTTGGTTTGATTGTGTTGAACAGGATAACGCAAGGTTTCTGACTGAGCCGCGCATGGTTATGTGCCATAATTTGGTGCCGGTTGTTCAAGATGGAAGTGTGGTTCGCAGCACTTCCCTCTCTAATTTTATGCTTACGCTGGAGTTACCCGAAAGTATTCATTGCCTCGCCGCCCTCATCAACTCTCTAATCGCTAGAATATCAGCTGTGCCCTCTGCAAAGATGCGACGTCCTCCTCCGCTCCAGGAACGCACGCTCACTTGAACCTCATTACAGTCAGAAAGCTGAAGGTCGCGGAATGTTTGCTAATGGCGGAGCCCTGGATTGGGCACCTAGTGGAGTCCTTGGCCGCTCACTCCCGACACTCCAATGCAACCCCTAAAACTGATCTGTTTGCTTCTTTTCCTGTGTAGGAACTTGAAGCTCGCGGAATGTGCACGCACGGCGGAGCCGTGGATCCGGCACCTGGTGGAGCGCACCGAGGATGACATGGCGGCGCGCGTGGCGGCCGTCAAGGCCGCGCAGCGCCGGACGACCACTGCTTTCCAACATGTCGTCATGGTGAGGGCTCACCAGAAGCTTGTTCCAGGCAGCTTTTGCGAACGTCTGTTCGCAGGAGGCCTGATTGTTGAAGCCTTTAAGGGGAGCTTGTCTGCCAGAGCGTTTCCGCCAAAGGCTTGTTTGCCGGAAATAGAGGAGTCCGAGGTCGGAGTTTATGTCAAGTAGATTGGCTTGCTTGCAAACTTTTTGTGCGGAAGCATGTTTGGTAGAAGCTCAATCTGCTAAACAGAACACAAGACGCCAGAGCTCACAGCGCCACGAACAAGTGGGTCGGATCGACGCGTGCATTGACTGCCAAATCCAAACGTGACAAATGTGAACGTTCTTAGTCTGGAACCTTGAAATGTGGTGTTCAGGACGACCCTGCCAAGGACGTCTCGACGAGCCGCAAGGCTTGCTTTTTGTGCGCACCGTAGGAGCCCACGAATCCCTCTTCATTGAGTGCTGAAATCTTAAGCCCCAAGTTTGAAAACCCCAAATGTCAAAATATGTTTCGGCCTGCAGGATGACCCCGCCAAGGGCGCCTCGACGAGCCACAAGGCTCAGTCATTAAGCGCCCAGAATCTTTTACCTAGAGTGGTGAAACGCCAAGCCCCACTTCTCAAAATGCAATCACTCAAATCTTATATATGACTTTTGCCGCAGGACGACCCCGCCAAGGGTGCCTCGACGAGCCACAAGGCGGACGCGATCGTGCACATGCCGGCGGCGATGCAGTACCGCTCGATGCGCGAGAACCTCAAGGCGCGCGTGCGCGTGGGCGCGAGCGAGATCCACGGGAAGGGCCTCTTCGCCAAGACCATGATCATGCACCGCGAGATGGTCATCGAGTACGTGGGGGAACTCATCCGGCCAAAGTAAGAAGCCGCTTCTATCTGTTGACGGTCCGTTGGACTGTCTGATCCTCTCTGTCTCTTTATACTGGGAACGATTCCGAAGTGATAACGTTACTTCGTCGAGGTGCTGAATTGGTGCTGGTGTGGTTTCATTTGAGGTTGCATGGCTTGTAACTAACATCAAGGAAGCTGCTTGACTGACTCGACTTCAGGTCTTGTGCGGAATATGAGGTTGCATGGCTTGTAACTAACATCAAGGAAGTTGCTCGACTTCAGGTCTTGTGCGGAACCAGCTTCCCAGCGCTTCCCTTACGTGCAAAATGAAGACCATAACTAAAAACCTCAGTGTTTGAAGACAATGATGTACCGGCAAGTTCTCCTCTACACGAACTCGGTCATGTGCGAGAAGCAGTACTGCGCAATACATGGAAATCAATCTTCATTCCCGTAGCCCACTTCAAAGACCATGTCGGAAAGCTACGTGCCCGTACCCAGCCCTAAAACCCACGATTTCGTCCTCTGCAGGATCTCGGACTTGCACGAGAAGCAGTACCGCGCGCAGAAGATGGGGTGCCAAAATCCTGCCGTCCCCTCTGACAGAAACTTCCGTGCTCAATCTCAATCCCAATTCCGGCAACCTTCTTCTTCCCAGGATCTCCGACATGCGCGAGAAGCAGTACCGCGCGCAGAAGATGAGGTTCTCTTTCTCCGGCCCTTCCCCTTTTGTGCACCTTGAAGACTATGATGGGAAGTTTAAAACCGGCGACTCCTTTCTTTGCAGGATCTCCGACATGCGCGAGAAGCAGTACCGCGCGCAGAAGATGGGGTGCTACTTCTTCGGCTTCCCGCCCAGCAAGCAGGACCACCTGGAGGACCTCGTCGTGGACGCGACGCGCCGGGGCAACGCCGCGCGCAACATCAACCACTCGTGCGGCCACAACTGCGTGACCAAGGCGGTCGTCATCAACGGCGTTCGCCACCTCATCGTCTTTGCCATGTAAGCATGTCGGGGGATTTCTAGTGTCTTGAGTAGTATTTGTCTACCGAATCGTCGTTGTATTCAGGCGTGGGCGGAAGGGGTGGTGTCCGCTTTCCTTCCGCTCGGTAGGCGGAACGGAGGTAACCCTGTCAAGGCGTGAGCCACATTCTGTATTTGACCTTTCGAGGGGCCTCGTTTCCTATTGGATGTTCGGACAGAGTCTGTAATATCCAGTACCGTACTCATGCATCTTATATTCTGGCTTACTTTGAAAGAAGGCCGTTGTGCTCGTCGCTGTGAAAACGGATTCCAAGATACGACACTGCGGAGTCCTTGGAGTAAGCTCCAGGAGAAGCTGCGTGACTTTAGTTTCGGCCTGCTGTTTAGGTGACTCCTGTCAACCCAGTCTCAGTGCCACCACAAGCTTTCTCAGATCCTTGGCGCTAAGATTATCCCGTCCCTGTGCAGACGCACCATCATGCCTGGCGAGGAGATCACGATCAACTACTGCTTCCGGAGTGACCCAACGGAAGAAAAGGTTCCCTGCTTGTGCGGGTCGGTGAAGTGCAAGGGCTTCCTAAACTAGGGCTACTGGAGACAGGGACACACTCGAGCAGCACATAACGGTCTCGAGGTCTTGACCTTTAGAAAGCAACAGGCCGTGACAATATAAGGAGTCAGGGACAGTTCGAGTCAATGGGAATTTATAGTGTCCTCTCTAAGGCACACGAGTCGGTTGCCTACAACCGTGCAATCTCACACTTATAGTCAGCGTGCTGCATGACAATCAATTCGTCGGTATTTGGTGTGCTTGTTACACATGTCGGTACAATTACTGCATGACATTCAATGGATATATATCCAGCTTGACGTACCTGAAACCGCGTCCGACCGACGCGTGCTCGTTACATGCAAGTGTAGGAAGACACACAGATCTGATCGGGACCCGCGATGGTAGCACTCAAAGCTCGGACTGCGCAATCTATCTAAGTGTAAGTTCGATCTGGGCTGCGTGCGACGCTGCCATCATGCACGCGCTCGTATGTAGGCAATCATGCAAGCGGCCCTAGCAATTCCCGCGTGACATGCCGTCGAATTAACACACCGTCCACAGTGCTGGCATGTCGATGATCATGCATATGCAATCCAAATGATCAGCACTGCTAGTGACATGTATGGACGAATCAGGCGGCCTGACACACGGCCCACATGGTCCGCAATCGAAGCTGTCCGCTATATGTGTGCCGACAGTCTGCGACGCATGTATCTCGGTGGCCGGCCTGCCCCCGCCAGATTGAAAGATCTGCCTCTAAACGTGTTGACAGCCGCGGTGCCGTAACAGAAAATTGAGTTCGCACTTAAGTTCCATCTCGTTGACGACTCCTGACAGGTTGCTCGATGTACTACTTTGACAACGTTCCCGGACCCAATTTCGGATGCAACTTCTATCTAGAACCGGTCTGATTCAAAGGCCACCTCCGCCCGAGCCGTGGCATCGCCGTACCTAGCGAGATCCGGCTCTTTCCGTCTCGACCAATAGCTGCGACTTGATCCACTGACCCAAGCGGTGAATGAACTGCGGACTTTGCCCGAGTCGGTCCTGCAAGTTGACCAGTCTTTCAGTATTTGAAACTAACGTGAGCAAGACAAGCGGACCAGCTTGACGATGAATCAAGGCAGCCTCAAAATTAGCCCTGATCGTATTGATCGCACCTCGCCAAAGCAAAGGCTGCTTACAACGCGCGCTGGGTGATAAAACACAACAGCTTGCAAGAGGACATCAGCCTCCAAAAGGCGTAGCAAACGGAGTTTGTGTGATGAATTTACGGCAAATTGAAAAGGCTTGTAAGCTAGGAAGTAGAGTCAGAAGCAGTACACGCTTCGTAGCCAAAAAGCACAAACCAAATAACCCGTAAACCTGAAAAGTAATCAAGTAATGCCGTGCAGGCTAGAAAACGTTCCAGGAGTATGCACTGAAACCCGCCAATAATTTGGACGCTTCAGCCGCTAAGAGGCCTTGTTGAGTGGACAAACGGCTTACCTCTTGGAGCGTTTCCAGCTTCTGGAGCGTTGGCAGAAGATGCCGCCCCAACCGCCGCAAATCGTCCGGACTCCCGACCTGGTGCAGAAACAAAAGTGAGCCACTTGATGTTATTGTATACAGAATGCCCGCACATGTGACAAGATTTTTCCAACGCCGTCGGTCAAATTATTGAAGCGATTCAAAGGAAAATGCTGGGCTTTCTCTGCGGTTTGAAACGAAGCCGAATAGTGATACAAGAGTTTAGGTCTGGTCTTGAAAAGGTACATGCAATGTCAGACACAATGTGTTCCGTTCCATGCCAAAGAGCATCGCTTTCCCTCATTTCCTGCCTTTGCTTCCGTTATGTTCCCCTGTAGAGTCGACGCTCGTTCCCATTCTCTCCCCCCACTCACAAAGCAAGTCGCTCAGGAAAGCGCACACGTGAAGCAGATCCTGTGGTAACAATCCCCAGGCACTTTGAAACAGAACCAAAGCAGTCGAGGTCAATCCGTGGACACTCAGCGGTGGGAGATCCGATTTGGTGTCAATCCCCGGGCACTCACTTGCGGCTCGGTAGATCCAGGCCTGCTGTCCTGGAAGTGCTTGTAGATGATCTCCAGCCCGTGCTCGATGATTGACACCAGGAGTGACACTTGGCGGCCCTTGGACGCGGCCGCGGCCGCCATCTCTACGAGCGCCACGTGTCGCCTGGTGGAGACAACGCACGAGGTTTAACAGACTGCTGTGAGGAGTTTCACAAAAGTAGCGCTAGATTGCTGGGAATGAAAGACAAGGCGGCCTTCAACGAATACTGGTGTGATTTGTCATGGAAGCAGTTCAACCAGAGGGGGCTCTCGAAGGTGGTCCATTAATCTCCCAGAGATGCACAATCTGCTGAAAGTCTAGCTTCAAGGAGCAGTCAAACGGCCATCCAAAGGCACCTCCCCCATTGCTTCTCTATAGACACCCCTTTTAGTGCATGGAGTCATCTCTCCCTCACAGGCCCTCATAACCACCCCTACTGAGTTAGCAAACTCTCAAGGGAAAAACTTTACAAACGAAGTCTCAACTGAAAAACTTTACAAACGTGCATAACAGCTCACCGCTTCCGTGCAGAGTCTCCCCGCGCATCGTACTCGTGAGTCCCGTATGTCTCGATCACCTTCAGCAGCTCCGCGCGCGACGTGTCGTTGACTTCAGAGACCTTGTTTAGCAGCTGATGCCCCTCCTGCGTCGCCGCGAATACGTCCGACGTGCTCTGCTCCAGGACGTCCGCAATCAGCGCGAGGGTGGGGGCGCGCGATATGCCGTTCTCTCCGTCCGATCTGGACGAAGGAAGAAAAATCAAAACCGGGGGGCGCGTGAGACGCCGTTCGCGCCGTCCGATCTGGACGGAGCGGAGACGAGAAAAGTGGTTTGCAACAAACCGGCGAGAAGCCAACATTCTGCAAACAAACACGTCCGACGTTTTCTTGCTCTACGACGTCGGCGATCAACGCGAGCGTGGGCGCCGACAATGCGCCATTCGCGCCTTCCGATCTGGACGGAGGAAGAGAAATCAGAATCTTTCAAATTGAAGCTTTGCAAAGGAACAAGTTTGACATGCTCTGCTTCAGGACGTCCCCAATCAGCGCGAGCGTGGCCGCGCGCGAGACGCCATTCGCGCCGTCCAACCTGAAAGGGAGGAAAAACTGACGGCTTTGCAAACAAACCAAAAGCATCCAAAAGTTTGCAGGTGAACAAGTCCGACGTGCCCTGTTCCAGGACGTCCACAATCGGCGATGCGCCGTTTGCACCGTCCGACCTGGAAGGGAGCAAAGTTCGTTGAAAAGACTTTGCCGTAGGTTGAGAGCAACTACCTTGATCAGATCTGGACGAGGTGCTGGCGTGAAGCAGGGTTTAAAGGGACTGTATTCGCAAGAAAGCGCCGGGAAAGGAGCATGAGAGATGCCCTCCGGGCCGAGCTTTAATGCGGTAATAGGCGCAAAAAACAAAGATAAGTTAATCGGTAATAATCACAAACCATTCCGACACCTGCAATCTGCAGCAACGGCGCACTTTCCCAAGCGATGCTTGGTGCTCCCATTCCAATCCGAAAGTCTGCTGGGCACAGGCAGTGCTTATCCGCTTCCGGGTCCTAACCCTCCGCTTAACCCGTCGGACCCAGTGCTTGACCCTCAAAGGATCCTCACCTGAAGCAGTGGAATCGCTCTCCCGAGCGGTCCACAATTCCTTTTAAGTACGTCAGCAAGTTGTTCCGCACTTGCAACACTCCGTGGCGCAGTCTCCGCAGCTCGCCGTGTTCCCGGGGCGCGATGATGCCCTCCGGACCCGCCGACTTGCGCACCGCTTGCAGCCGACGCACGTACTTGTTCTACAGAGAAAGGAACTTTAAGGTGTATAATCCAGGTTTCAAGTTGAGGAGGTGAATTATGTGCTTGAAAAGACGCTTGTAGGACTTGCGGACGTGCTCAGCCGGACGGTCAACTACTGAAAGGTTCTGAGCTTTTCAGGCAGACACTTTGTGATTTGTCGACTTGATTGCTATCTGATCATGCTTCACGACTTCTTGCGCATCGCTTGCAGACGAAGAACGTACGGCAAGGGAGAGCATCGAGACACAACCATGCAGGGGTACAATATGAATTCTAGTGCTCAAGTAACAAAGCGAATGCCTCCAATCGGTCAGCGCCAGAGGCAAGAAAACCAATCTCAGGTTCCAACCCTGTTGATCGATTTGTGCATGCCAGCTCCAACTGGGCAGCATTAATCAGCTCCCGCATCGAACGCAGCCCTAGTACGCAGTCATCTTGCGAGAAAGCTTCAAACTCCAGGGACACTTTGAAGTCGACAAATCACTTGGAGCCTGCCCAATATCGAGCATATTATGTTTGATCGGCCTTGAACCTGCGTCATTTTGCCCATCGTTATCCGTTCCGGTCCAACCCTGAATAAAGCCCTGATTATCAAATCTTTGCTGACCTGCGACACAGCGTCGAGGCAGAAGAAGTCGATGCTCCGGATGAACATGGGCGCCTTGAAGGGATCCCTGTCGGTGCTCATCGACGGCCAGATGCGCCCCACCAGCCACGTGGCAAGCTGCAGCTCCTCCAGGTCAGCGCTCTCCACGATCCGGACGAGCGTTGCCGCGTGTTGTCGGACAAACTCTCCGGCCTGGAAGGGAGCAAGTGATCGACTTCAGTACTGAGTCATAAGCTCAGCGTCTCAGCATAGGCTTGGGATGCATTGCAGAGGTCGTGACCTTAGCTTGATGCCGGCAAGGGTCTGATTGAAAGGAGCATTAGCCAACCAGATTGCTCAAAAGGCACGCCTTTCATGTTGAGAAACTTCTGCACCGTGCCTCCAGCAGTTATTGCCCACATACACGCCAACTTTCGTGGCAAGACTCGCCGGCAGTAATATGGTTAGAATTACCAACGCTTCAAAAGCATCCAGGATGCTTGATTCTGGTGTCATGATCAGAAGATTCATTTCATCTCGTGACTTCGTTCTTTAAGGTAGCGTTGATTTGCTCTCCTTACCATTCGAGGACTGCTCCTTAGCCAACTTCGTAACCAAGAAGGTACGGAATACCCACCTCGGCACGCACGTCCTCGCTCTTTGGTAGTGCGGTCACGATTGACGTCACCAGCCGCAGCGAGGGCGCCAGCACCTGGTGCAACCGCTCCCGCTGCGACGGCATCGGCACCGCAGGGTTCCGCCCAGGGCCATCTTCCGGGCCGTCCTGCAAAGGCGGAACAGACTTGGTGACGTGGCGGAAGAGACATGGTGACGTAAGCATAGAGGCGGCTCCAGTTGATATGATTGGCAGCGGCGATCGCGCATGCCATTTTCTGCTGAGCGAGAAATTGGTGAACTGCGGGCAATTGATCGAAGCAAAATCGGAAGCAGGTAGGGATCCGTCTATATCTCTTCATTGCGTGTTTGGTGAGATCTCTTGTTTGGAATACGTTTCAGCTGTCAACTGCTTCGCTTTTGAGTCCGAACGTAGTCACGTCCTTCACCAGATTGTGGAACTCATCGTGCGGAGCACCTTAGAGCAAACTTGCCATTGCGTGCATTCGCCACAGTCCGTCTTGAGCAACGGTTTTGAAGTCGCAACCTCCGTGGTACCTTCCCCTACTAAGTAGAGCGGACCTGTAGCTTCGAGGTCCGCTTCAACTCGTTTCCCGCCGGATAAAAGCCTCACCAAAATCCTGAAAGAGCACCAGACTATAACAAAGTAGCAAACATCAAATCAAGACACCCTAGATCTGTTGGATAGATCAACAAATCCTAGCCCCGTGTGCCACCTTTTGCAAGCCCTCACCGGTATCTGGACGTCCAGGGCTCGCGAGCTGGCCAGGTGATTGAGCGCTCCCATCGAGAACAGCGCTTGCGCCCCCCGGGGGGAGTTGTGATGCGCCACCCGCAGGAGGAGCGAGATCTGCGCCTCCATTGTGTAGAGCTTACGCACAGAGTCGGGGGATGGAAGAATCACCAGCTGCAAGGAGGGGGGGTAAGGAATGTCATTGAGGTGGTTCGGAGTCGTCATGTTCATGTAAGTCCGGAATCTGAAAAGCGGCCCGGATAAAGTGCAGGGAAAGTTGAGAGCAGAAACGCAGGGTCTGATTTTGGGCTCCAACTTTTCGGGAGGTATCAATACTTGTCGCACGATCTTCGCCTCCGTCAGCAGAGCTTGCGGACCGTATTGGGAGCCACCAAAATGACCACCAAAATGACCACCAAGCGAAGGAGGGGGTCTGACGAAGTCTGAAAGACAGCCTACCGGTCCAGATGTTCGCGGGACCACATTAAAGAGCTGAAGAGGTTGCGGCGCAGGAAGAGAAAAGACGCCAAACGAGGGATAGATACCCGCCGAGAAGGAATGGATATAGTTTGATTACCTGGTATGCATTGTTGGCGACGTCGGAGAGGCAATTTTGCAGCAGCCCCCGGCTTTGCAGCTGGCTGAGGAACGCCTGCTGAGTATCGAGCGCGATCAGCGCCTCCAGGACGTAGAACGCAAGGGCGCGGCCGACCTGGAGACAAAAAATCGGGGGTCTTGTTCAATTGTAGAACGTTCGAGACTGTGCCTTAAAACGAATTTGTCACACCACAACACCACAGCGGATCTGGCATGCGGCTTACCGAGCGGTTGGGCCAGAGAGGAGTCATGATAACGAGGAAGAGAAAAGAGCAGAGTATCGCTCTTTAAGTAGTATGCCGGGCTTTCGGAGAGGAGCTTGGACATCGGCTAAGGGGCAGAAAACCAAACGTCGGTTTGTATGTGAATAGTAAGGAGCTTGTTCGAATAAGCTTCTTACTAGGACTTTCAACGAAACCGACTTACAAGATCTCTGACTTGCTGCAATTGTCAGCTTCGCCACCGAGCTCCTGAAAATGACTCAGAGCACCTGCCCAACAGTTACGTTAAGATAGTTCCTCAGGGTAAGAAGGAGCAAGCGGAGATCCCGAAGGGGAGATAATCAGCCACTGAGATTGTCATCACAGATCATGTACAAACCGGGCACTGCGCTTGACTGGATCATTGACCATTGAAAGGTCACCAGGGCAGCAGATTACCAGCATTCACTTCTCTCGAAATCTCATCAAAGCTTCGCATTTACCTCGCTCCCTTGAAGCGCGTCTCTGGCTACCACGTCCACAAGCGCAGTCGCTTCGTTTCTCAGCACCGCATAGTTCCCTTGCATCAGCTCGTTTTGTTCTCGTTGAATCCGCTCAACGTCTGCAGCCTCGTCGGAAGACCCGTCCTCCGGAAGAAGAACCTTCATGACCGAACTTGGAACTTCGCGGTTGGCTACGCCCCGGGAGTATTGGAGGAAGCTTAGGAGCGTGGTGTAAAGTCTGTAGAAAGGAGGACAGGAAGAGTTGGTTCGTAAATCAAATTACCCAAATTTTCACCTCGGCTCTCCCCTCCAAAGTACAAACAACGGCAGAAGTTGCAACACCGTTTCTGCAAACAAAATAGTTGTTCACGGGACTTCAAGCACAGTCCCAGGTACAGGCTAAAAGTTCGTTGTTTGGCTCATTCTCTCGTTTGTAGAACGTCAAGATTTCACTCCAGCATTCTTCGTCCAGCTTCAAATGGTAGACATACCTCCGCTTAGATCAACGTTCTGATAAACACGTGGTCTAGACGATCTCAACTATACTTTAGGCGGCTTTTTATCACACCACCGTCACAAACATGATACACTCGCGTAAGCATAAGACGTTCAGAAGTCCAATGTGGTCGGACATCAAAGAGATGGCAAAAATCGTTGGGCACTCTTTGATATACAGAGTAAAGTTACCGCGGATGCCTCTTGACGACTTCAGTGAGGCGGGCCCAATTTCAATCAGGTTGTGTATTGAGTGGCAGGTGAAACATCTGCAAGTGCGACGGCTATGGTCATTGTTTGGCTCCGATGAGCACCTTTGAAGAGGTTCCGACAAAGGAAAAGGTGAGCACCGTTGAAGCAATTCTGACAGAGCAGATCTTAGCTGCTCTATCCACCAAAGCAAAAAGGTGTGCAAAACGGAAGCTACAGTAAAAACTCGAGGCAAGGGACGTAGCACTTGATATCAATTTTTTGTAAGATTGGTTCCAAACAAAGATAATGTGCTCTTTGTACCATTGAACAATAGGAAAAATACGGTGCGGTTGAATAATTTATATAGGGGGGAAATAATCAATACGTAGGGAGGTGGATAATAATGTGGTGTAGGATTTCAGGGTCGGCAAAACGTGCCAACCCTATTGGGGGGTTACAAAGATTTTGCCGGCCATATGTGTTGATTTCCATACAGCACACGTCGACTGACGCGCGTGGCATACGAAGCCAACCGGCCCTTTTTATGTCGGAACAAGTCGATTTACGAAAATTTATACCGTCGCAAATCGTGCGGTCTTGTGGGTATGCGACCGTCGATGCTCACCGACGGTCCAAGCGAGGCCATCGGACGGTCGATAATCCTCGACCGGAGTCGAAATGTCGAGACCAAAGTCAAAATATTACACGGCGAAAATGAGGAAGGCCTCGGCCAAACTTGCCGTCGCCTGCATCACAAATTTTGAATTTCCGCGGAATTGGAAGCCCAGAACCCATCTTTGAGGGTCAAGCAATTCAGCACTTCTCAAGTGGGAAATGTTTCTGCCTTTGCAAATCTGTGAAGTAGGAACTTCCACAATACGACGCGAGGAAATAATCAATTAACTACCTTTGGAGCAGCTCAGCTGTACCAGGTCTCCTAGACTCCGCCACCAGACTCTTATGAGGGAAAACGACCCAGAAAAACACTCCTTTCTAAAAAGCATTGTCCGTTGCGGCCTTCAAATCAACAGCTAAAAATCTAGGTCACGTGAGCTTATCTCAATGGTGAACAAAAGCGTTGAGGTTCAGTAGACCTCCAGTATCAAATCAAACCCAGAAACGTGCAAGGGACTGTTAATCGGGTCAGCCCTAACCCACCTCCGGTGCTTTGCGAATGTCGGGTTGGACACAAAGTGCCACACCAGTCTCTTGAGCAGGGCGTGTCTCAGCGCTTACAGAGACTTCGGTCAGCCGTGACCGACCCTCGCTTTCAAAAGCAGCTCGCTGGTTGGACGCTCAGCGTGACTGCGCGCCAAGTTTCGAGAAGGGTGCAACTTTCACACTCTCCGAAGTATCATCAGCACCAGAAAGGGGTTAACGGCGAACCCACCTTAAGCTGAGCAGCTATCGTATATCAGGGCGAAACAAAAATCCACGAGGGAATGCAGTCAACATTAATCCACCTCCGCTTGAGCAGCTCGGAAATGTTGGGCCTGACCTTGACCGCGACAGCTTCTTGAGAAAGGAGTGCCTCGGCGCTTACACAATCTCAAAGAACAAAAGTCCCCTAACGGCGTTTTCAGAGAACTGGGTCAGCTATAACCCACCTCCGTTTGAGCAGCTCGGAGGTGTCAGGCCTAAGAATGACCGTCAGCAGCTTCTTGAGGAGGGCGTGGCACGTGCGGGGCGGCAGCCGGACGGTCGACAACAGGTCCGCGTACGTCACCTCGTCCGAAGTGTCGCCCCAAACCGCTGACGTCATGCTGTGCTCTTGCAGCTTGGCCATGACCGAAGTAGCGACCTGCGGAAGAGAAACCACCTTGAGCTCATTTTTTCCGAAAGATCCTCTTTTTGGACATTATACAACAGGATGATACAAATTGTGAGGGTATTGACACTTTCAGCCACGATGTTGAAAATGCACTAAGATCTAATACACTCCATGACCTGGGCAGTGGTGAGGCCGTTGGAAGAGGCACAGAGAATGAGCGTTGGCCAAACAACGGGTAACCGAGTTCTCTCAATAATCTTGGCTGCATGATGTGTATTGCAGACGCTTTGATGGTGGTTTCTTTTGCGCTGCTCAGACTGTAGACAAAGCTTTGGGGTGAGCCACCCTCAGAATCCACCCGGAAAGTCCGCTCTGAGTCTCCCCGTTTTCCGAACTGTGACAAAGCACTGGCTCTCTAAACACTTGCCAAATGACAACCATTTGTTAGGTGTGGACCAGGCAACCAAAGGTAGGCTCAGAAGAGGCACTGCTCCAAAGCCGTACTCTCGTTTTATCCGCAGCTCTCCTACGGCTCTGAGACAAAAACAACATTAGAAACAGGACAGAGCTTTCAGAACTTGACGTCATTACCTGGCAGATTGGATACGCCAGCTGTACCGGGCAGTCCGGCGCCCCAGCTGCACTCAGGGTGGCGTCGAGCAGCTCCTGGAGAACGCCCGGGGCGGCTCCCCCGGCCTGGGGGAGGAGCGGGAAGCGCCGGGAGATGGCAATCTGAACAAAGGAAATGGCATGGGAGCTAATGAGTTATAGATCAGCTTGAGCTGCAGAGTCGGTCAGAAAAGTCCGTGTCAGATGACTGGAACAGTCACAGAGGGGCGCCTCTGCCAGCCTGGGGGGAGGAGCGGGAAGCGCCGGGAGATGGCGACTTGGATCATAAGCGACGGCACGCGAGCTCTATAAGCGACGGAGCTGTAAAGTAGGTCAGTAGAGACAGCGTCTGGTGATCTTATGAGACTGGCTGACTGGATTGGTTACGGAAGGGCGGCTCCTCCGGGCCTGAGGCAAGCGCCGGAAGATGACTACCTGACTCATAAGAGATGGCGTGCGAGCTTTGGTGTCGTGAATGATTTATTAACTTACAGCGTCGATAGAGTAGTATGTGCCTGGTAACTTCAAGGGATGGCGATCTCGAAAATAGACAAGGGCAGTTGTACGAGTAGCTTGAGCAGACCTGGAGCGTTACGAATACTGCATGTGTCAAGCTCGCCTGGGAATGTACCCATGTTTACAACGGAGACTGAAGTCCACGAGAACCGCGTCGAGATCCTGCAGCAGTTTCGCTTTTTTTGAAATGGTAGGCCGGTGAAGGGCCGAAGCAGACTTTTTCGCTGGTCGTCCCAGCAGCTAAATGGGATTGCGCTTGGTCTGAATCGCTTGGTTGTCTCTCAAGAGACTACTAAGAGAGTCAAGAAGCCGACATTTCCCCCCTAGCAAACGTTGAAAACAAGGGCTATCCGTGCGCAACCACTGCCTAATCGTACGCTCTTCCCAAACCTCTACTGAAACATCACCGAGAATGATGTACTCCGGCCCCCTCACTGACCTCGACCAGCTGCTGCCAGCCCGTCAGCATGTGAAGCTGCGCCGAACGCTCTTCGACGTACTGATTCTGCTTCCAAGCCCACCGCAGTGTGGCTTGCACCGCCTCTTTCAGCTCCTCTTGGGTGGAGCTCCCCGCCTGAAGGTTCAGGTACGACTCGAGGCGCTTGTAACCCTGCCCAAGAAAGGGTTAGCACTGGTTAGAAGGAGGTTTAGTCGTTAAGAGTTACGGGGTTCAATTACAATGCATTTGCGGTTACAATTGCGATAACGGTGCCGCTTACGGATACGAGGGGAACAACTTTGCCGAGCATTCGCAAGACTTTGGTTTAAGGGTTAACGTCTATACCAACTCCGACGTTGACAAGATTGTCCTGGAACCGTTGGAAAAAGCTTCAACCGTCCGGCAAGGCAGATGCACTTTTGAAAGCAACAGCAACAACGAGCAGATCACAAGAAATGATCCAAAGAAGGTACTCCCATATCGGACTACACCTACTATTTCATACCCAAAAACCGATAATCCAGAGAGTCATCATCCGGGCGTCCGAACCTGCATGAGGGCGTCCGAGAGCGCTGCGATGTCGAGCAGGCGGTCGCCCCGTTCCGAGAAGCGGACCACCCCGCCTTCTTCCACAGAGGCGTCGCTCTCCAGCAGCTCCTCCACTTTCAGCTCGTCGCGCATGCTCTGGACGCCAGGGGAAAGGTCCCCGGGGGACGGCTCGGGGAGCTGGAAGAGAACGACGTCGAAAATCTCGAGTACCTGGAAAGGAGGTTTTGCTTATTTCGGTGCTTGTTGGGTTTGACATTTTTTTGTTTTCTTGATTGAAAGAGTGGTTCTCAGCTTTTAGCTCGTCGCGCATGCTCTGGACGCCCGGGGAAAGGTCCCCGGGGGACGGCTCGGGGAGCTGGAAGAGAACGACGTCGAAAATCTCCAGTACCTGGTGAAGAGAGAGGGAAACGTTTGCTTACTTGGTGCATGTCAGATCTGCGGGTTTTGTCTGTTTTCGTTAGGGACAAAACAATTGAGCTTGTGCGAATGTCCTGAAGGCCGGGGATAGGACTCCCAGAGGAGGCTCGGGGCCGGAAGAAGCCGATGTCGAAAATCTTCCGCACCTGGGAATGGGAAAGTGGAAAGTTTGCTTCCCTGGTGCTTCTAACGTTGAATTCAGAATCTTTGAGTATGTGAGGTTGGTAAAATCGTTTGTCGTAAGAGCGCCGATGGTGTTGACCAGAAACCCCTAGGTTTAACCGGATGATGATGGTAGGGAACTGTAGTCCCAAACAACAAGATTCGACGAAAAGGAACGAGTCGAATGTATCCAGGTGCCCTTCTCCCACTCACTCTTCACGGCCCTCCAACTAGAGAGGGCCGACAGGACTTTTTACCGACGTGTTGGCATCTACTTTTATGTCCTTCCTCCGCTCCCCTTTCTTCATCTGTTCCACCTCTTTGATTTGAAAGGCCGAAAACTGAACGGATGAAAGACCTCGATTTATCGCTCCCAAGCAGAGCGTTCTCACCTTCCGCGTCTGCACCTCCACGTTGATCGCCTCAATCTCCGCCGCGGGCAGCGCGAGCACGTTTCCGCCGTCCTCTTCCTCTTCCGTTCCGTAGGGCCCCTTCCGGAACAGCCGGCCCAGCAGCCGCCGGCAGCCCTCCTTCTGCTGCTGCACGTCGGCGTCCGCCACGTGGAGCTCCAGGGCGGCCAGCTTGAGAAGCCACGCGCGCTGCACAAGGAGAGATGTCTAATAAGTACGTTGAGCAATCCTCGCCACAGTGTTCTACATGAGACGACTACCAACTACATGGTTCAAGGTTTTGTTCTGCGCTGAACGTTGAGAAAGCTTGGCAAGTGCGATGGAGCACGGCCAGTTTTACGTCTCAGGTGCGTTGCACAGGCCAAAGGGATGTCGACTAGGGGAACAGAAACAACACTCTGCTTCATGGGCAATCAGTTTACGTTGAGTCTTGCATACTGTGTACAGTCAGCCTGGATGCTCATCCTTGATAGAGAGAGGTGTTGGTTTTCTCTCTCTATCCATGCTTTTCGAAAGATAGAAGCATCACCTAGAAAGAGATACTGCTTTTCAAGGTGTCAGTAGCAGTACATGACCACTGCTGCAAATCGCGAAACCAAAGCCCCGAAAGAATGCTGCAACTTTGACATGGCTACCGATCGCCGCAACCGACTGCTTCGAATCCTTCCGCTTGTAGTTACGGGGCAGCAAGACGAAGCTCGTCAGCCAGTGAAAAGCGTCGAATCCGGGGTCGCACCACTAACCTGCTGCAAACTGCTGACTCTCAGGGCGTGGTAAGCGGTGCGCTTGGGCAGGGGCTCCGAGACGAGCGCGCTCAGGTGCTGCAAAAACAGGGCTCAGATTAGCATCCACTCCTTTGCGCTGGTTTGGTTTGTCCTCTCGAAATATTACTTCCATCTCTACTTGCAGCTTCTGTCTCCCGATGCCAGAGCGCCTTTCCAAAGTCCTTTTGCAGAAACGTCTTGAAATCGCTCTCCACTTGGCTGACAAGGCACCTGCTCGGATCCAATCAGTCTGCGCGCACCTTTGATCACATTTTGTGCAACTCAACTCAACCTAGATTGAATACTAGTCCCTCCGCCCCAAAGACTACCTGTTGATCTCCCCGTGCGCAGCTCTTGCTTTGCATTTGAGAGGCACCACGTGGCAGGCCAGAGGAGCGGCACCCACCTTGGAGAAGAACTCGTACTTCGGACGTCCGAGGAGCTCGATGACAGGGCCTCGGACGACGGGATCGACGGCGAGCTCGTACATAAGCTGGAAGCCAAACTCGTATAAGCGGGGGTTCTCCTCCAGCCTTGGGAGGTTCAGCAGATGGTCGAGGAGGACCCGTAAGGAGCTGCGAGACGACACATAAGCTTTGGTTGGGACAAGTAGTCGATCAGATTTGCGCTTGAGTGGCTTATGGATGTATGCAAGATGATAAGTACCGGGTATTATCCGCTGACCTGAATTGAGGCGCAGAAGCAAACGGGCTGAGCCAATCAACATTATGAGGCGTAGCATGCTCTTTTGCAGTGCCGTCAAGCCGTTCGATAGAGCACCGCTGTGTCAACAGCAGCTGCCAGTGCAAACAACAAAACGGCACCGCTGCCCTGGAAATTGCCGAGTGACCATCATAAGACGGTCAGAAAGCACAAAGCCCGACGCCCAGCTCGTCTGTTGCGGGTGGCTCGGAGCGTGAAGAAGTGTGGAGGGTTGCCCTTCACCGATAAACGTGTTGCACCCACATTCTAACTCGCCCTCACCTGTGGACGCGGACTGGATTGAGATACGACCGCTCGACGGAGTGCTCGCAGTCGAAGCCCAACAGAAGATGTGTCACGTTGGGGGCGGGGCGGTCCAGGTTGGAGATCAGAATCTGCATGGGGAGTCACCCTCTTGCTTCTGAGATCAACGTGATGATTCGAAGGCGCGCTATGTTCCGAGCTGTTGTGCTTCTGGTCATCAACTCCCTGCTCCCTGTTGATGTCCTCTCGTTGCTCCATCTACGGACTGGGTTGTTGAACAAGGGCGGGACATGTCAACACTGCAACGTTTCTAGAATGAGGGTGTTTCCAAAGAGGCACTGGCCTCAATTGTGCTGCAGAAGAAGCGGAAAAAACAAACATCCATACAGAAAGGGACATGCTACAGCTTCTCCCGACCAACTTGCCAGTATTAGTGAAAATATTAGTGTAACTTAGTCAGTCTGTTGCTGACTGAAGTTAGTATGATTTAGATGACACTAAAACTGGCAGGTTGGTCGGGAGAAGCTGTAAGACGAAAGCCTTTGGCTGCGAGGGACAGCGGCGATGGATCAGCGTGAAAATCTCGCAGGAGCGGCAGTTCCCACCTTCAGGATCAGAAACACCGAGTCTTCTTCCGGATTTTCAGGCGCCTCCGGTTGGTTCGCGGCGGCTTCCAGGCAGAGCGCGAAATCCTCGATGAGTTGAGGGGCGGCGCCGGACTCCATGATGATTGGAGCGAGCTGGGCGACGCGCTCGCTGCATAGGACACGTGGCACAGCGCCGTTGGCTGAAAGATCCCAAAATTGAGTGCAAACTTTGTCTGACCACAGGATCTTAAAACAGAAAGTAGACGTTCGTGGCGCTTCCACTGTTGAGATGCTGAGAGTTCTTGCAAATGAAATCGACTCTTGCACAACGAGATCGAAAGGTCGCCTATTTCTCCGTGATAATCAATCATCTTCTGTCCACCACCTGAGTCCGACCATACCCTTTCAACTTGACTCAACTTCTGCTTTTGGAGCGTGTCTGTAATGGTAGACCCTACCGAAGGATTCGGTTTGAGCTAACGCCCAGAAGCAGAGTGCCTGGTGGCAGAATCCGTGCATTTTGGAGGGTTGTTGACGGTGCCACCGGAAGAAAGAACCGGGCCCGCTCAAAGACCTCCCGCACAGTCTTCCGCAGCTGCGTCGGCTCCCATGAGAAAAGACTCGAGGGAGTAACGACGAGCCACGATTGGTCTTTATCTATTGTCATGAGCTTCGACCTATGATCCTAGAAACTTAATTTCGAAACCTGGAAACCAATCTTGGGTCAACGGAGCTTCAAGCTAAGAGCGAGCCTTGGACTTCTTGGGAGGCATAAGGTCAAGAAATTCGTGCAAGATCCGAAAGTACACTGCACAATTCTCTACAAAAATAGAGATTCGAGATTTAGCGACAGTGGTGCAGACTGACGTGTCAAGGTCTCAGCACATTGTAAAACAAGCCGTTGCCCGCGTTCATCAACACCTATATCTCTCATTTCATTTTCCGCGGAAGAAAAGTGATCCAGTCGGGCCTTCAAGGCGGGCTCACCTGAGGGTCGTCATGAGGCGCAAGGAGGTCTGCTGGATGTCGACATTGTCCTCGTAGCGCACATACTCTAGGAGGGCCACCACTTGGCGCAGATCGAACGACAGGATCTGGTCGATGCTCTGCAGTAAACAAGAAAAGCCATCTGCTTTTCGTTGCAAACTTTTCCATGAGAGCTCTGAACGTACATTTCCCGTCACTTGGGCACGCATTGCTTCTCCACTACACTGGGAATAAGAGAAGATTCAGACGCGAAGAATCAAAGAAAACACAGACTTACCTCCAATTAGCCCGCCACCAGAATCCGCAAGCGTGCGTCTTTCCCCATCGGCGCTGAGCGCCTTAAGGTTTCACTTCAACCCCAGAAAGACAAAAGCACGGACTTACCTTGGGAAACGGCCGCCAAAATTCCGCAGCGTTCCGCAAGCGCTGCATCTTCCCCCATTGCTTATACCAGCACGCTCAACGCCTTAGCTTTCAAACTTTATTGCCGAACGAGAAACACACGGCCTTACCTTATAATCCGGCCGCCAGAGTTCCACAAGCGCAGCGTCTCTCCCCTTTGCTAGCACCCAGACACTCAGCGCCTTAAGTTGAAAAACGCATCAGACCTTCAAAACGCTCCCAAAACGGGAAAGGACACAGACTTGCCTTATAACCCGGCCGCCAGAGCTCCGCAAGAGCAGCGTCTTTCCCCATCGCTAGCACCAGCACGCTCAGCGCCAGCCGGACGGCCTCTCCCAACCAGCCCTAGCTTTCAAAGGCTTCAAAATTTTCACTGCCAGAAGACAACTTCAGGTTTTGATTGCTCAACAACAGAAAATACGGCCTTACCTTATAACCTGGCCGCCAGAGTTCCGCAAGCGCAGCGTCTTTCCCCATCGCTAGCACGAGAACGCTCAGCGCCAGCCGGACGGCCTCTTCCACGAGCTCCCCGTAAGCCAGGCTCTCGCGCTGGTCCTTGACGCTGTCGACGCCGGACATGAGCAGCGCCAGAAGGTTGCGGAAAATCACGCGCCCTTGCATCAGATCCTGAAAATGACAGAAGAAGGTGATTTGAGTGCTGCATGCTTGAGATGGTCAGCGGTTGAAGAGGCTTTTGACGCCCACTCGATGTTGACGTTGGACATGAGGAGTGACAGAAATTTCTGGAACATCAGGCGGCCCTGCATCAGGTCCTGCGATGAAGCAAAAGAGACGAAGGTCAAGCGACACAAATGGTCTCGACTTGAACGACGAAGTTCTCGAAGTAGGGTTGCTAAAGCCGTTCGTAGCAGACGCGTCATGGGTGGCATGCCATAGCACCGGAACATGAGCAGCCCAGCGCTTTGCATCGACACACCCGGCCCTCGCATGCATTCTATCACGGGATAAAAGGTCTCCGTTTTGGTGCTCCGTCCGTCAACCCTTAGCTTACTCGTAACCTTCAACAGCTACTATCGCGCGATCTGTACCGGAAACTGAAACCGCCTACTGAGAATCTGTGGGTTTGCAAGCTGGGAGAAGAAGTTCCACTCCTGATTCCATTTACAGCTCAGAAATGTTGCTTTCCCCTCCTTCTTGTTGTCCTTCTCTCGTTGAAGAGCGATACGGTCATGCGCATCTCTTTTTCTTACCTTCATGATTTCAATCCCCGGCGGGGGTGCTTTAGCTGCGTCCGACGTCCCCAGCGCCTCGCCTTCGGACGGCTGGCCCTGCCGCTGCTCGGATGCATACGCCTGGTCCGCGTCCGAAGGATGGTATACTCGCAGCATGCTGCACCATAAGACGACGGAACTATCAGGGCATTTGCAACATAAGACGACTGAAACGTCTAGTGCATATGAAATAAGACGCCTGGAAGACTCGCTGCCTATGCAACTACCCTCTACCAGGTAACTCCACTTGGTGGAGCGTGTAAGAACGTTCAAAGGCCTTCAGTTTTGAATGTGAACTGGGGTGCAAAGCTTTGGGTGAGCAAAGACTACTTCTTAGCACCTCAAATCTGGATTCAGGATTTGCAAAGGCCAGACTGAATCAGCGTGTATGAGTTTCTACTCAGTGGAACGTCCTGAGAAACTTTGCGCTTCTACCAGACACGGACCCGAGGGGAGCCAACAACTACAGTTTCCAACTTGTAGCAACATACAGGATGTGAGTGGAACAGCTCCGGCTCGTTGGTTACGAGGTTCACCTTTTCATCCCTGACTGGTAGCATGCTACCATCGAGCGCTTCTCCAGCTGGGTACGTCCCTCATAAACGCAGAGCAGAAACTCGAGCTTCGTTTCACAATAAGCAGACAAGCTCACCTTTCAAAGTGGCTGAGCGACGCAACAGCGATCCTCCACTTTTCTTCGGGGTCGCTGTAGCCGCGCTGTGCGTAGGGGCCGAACACATGGTCCCGCAAGAAGCGGAAGTAGGTGCTGTATCTGCATGCACAAGCTCCTTACCGATTCAGCCCATCTGCCAATGCGGCAGAGGACTTGGGCACGCACGTCTGCCAGACAAATGTATCGTTCTCCAGAATAGGTGTAGTAAGAACAAGTTATAACACTGTGACGGGAAGGGTTAGTATGGGGATTAAAACAACTACGGCTGTGGAGCGGGTGATTATTGAATTCAGAATTCTGTAATAGCTTCGTTCTTATAATGACTTGAGCTCACTATAAATACTCTAAAGAAGTATGACAAATGTGAGCAACGGCGTAGGGTTGAGTGTGGAGTCTTGCCATTGCAACTCAGAAGAACAGTCCTAAGAAGCTTGCAACGTGGCAGCTTTAGCTTGCGGCACATTGCGGTCGGATGACGAAGCACTAGACGATCCCATCGTCGCCTGGAAGAGTCGTGCAGGAAGTAGGGACCAGTAAGATTACCATGCTGAAGGATACAAGGGAGCTATAGAAGGGCAAAGGTGGTCAAGAAGGAATATTTAGCGTCTACACAAACTGTCCCTATGTGAATGGCTCAGAAGCCGGGCCCGGAAAAACGGCCCACCAATCTGAAGACTCACCTTCTGCCTTGGTCCGGCGCATCCGGGTCCGCGGCAATAAGCGCGTTGAGCAGCTCCAGGTACGACAGGGTGGAGGGGTACAGCTCGTCACGTGCCTCCACCTCGTTTAGCTCGTACACCATATCGTATGCCTGCGGACGAAACGATTTATAGATTTGAGGGTCGCGATATATGCAGAGTTTACATCCTGCCCGACCAAAGCAGCAGTGACTATTTTGGTATTGGTGTCGGCAGCTTTGAACAATCAGCTTTTCACGTGAATGAGACGCAGGCACCAGGACTCAAGCATAGTACGACGAAGGAGACTACGGTCACTGCCCATTTGACACCGCAAATGGAAACATTAAAGATAAGCCGGTTCCAAGGAAAGTGAAACCCAAGCAGAAACGTCTGGGTCACTGAAAGCGTTGCAGCTTGCGCACTGAACCATGTGGAGTAGCGCCCTCGGCACATGCATGATTCGGAAGCTCGAATCGGCCCCTGCGCATGGGCAAAACGGAAAACGAAAACGCGAAGTACTGGGCCAACAAGTTTGACCGTTCTGAGGGGGGCCGTTCTCACCTGCCCAGGGAGGGGGGCACCAGGAGTGGTGGAAAGCGGCACTGGAGGCGCCACCAGCGGGATGTCGTATGCGTCCAAAAGGGCGAAGATGCGGTCACGAGTCGCCTGGAAAGAGGAATGCGCACAATCAGCATTCCAACGACGAGTGGAAGAGGTAGTGTGCGGCGTCCTGACTCAGACAGAGGACGAAACGAGGGAAGGACACGTGGCAGGGTTTGACCTGACGGACAAATGGCGAGGGGAAAGCAGCTGCAACACGATCGCGTCCTTATAAGCAACCAGATTCACTCGCAGAGAGCCAGTAAGCGAAGTTTTGGGTCAACCCATCCGTGAGGGAATGCTACAGCCCTTCCGAAAGCTTTCCTGGCAACGCCATAGCGTCAGATCGGTGACGTTAAGTAAAACTCCCGGCGAAAAAGATAGAAAGGCGGCTCTTTAGGGACCGCTTCGTTCTTAACGGACGCTTCAAATTGCTACGGCCGACTTGCGAACCTTCTCCTCGTTATTTAGTTTGCGAATCTCACAAGCAAGATATTGGCGCCTGGAAGAGATGGAAGCGCCCACCTGAGAGACCGGCACAAAGGCGGCGATAGCCCGGCGCAGCGCGGCCTTGAGGCGCAGCGGGACGTTCTCGAAGGGGAGCAGACGGAAGAGCGGCTCGATGTCGGGGAACCATTGCGCGCGCTCGGCAGGGGCGCCCTCCTGGACCACCTGTTACAAAAGCTAGGGCGTGAGCCCTGCTGGGCCTGGGATCTCGAGGTCTAAGGTTCCATTATTTGAAAGTTGTGCGGGTGTCTCGAAGACGGAGGACATGCCGTAGAAAGCGCCCACAAAAGACTATGTTGCGGCGTCCATATTGAAGAACCAACAACGCCTTCTTCGTTCAATCCTTTGAAGGTTTAGGTCCTCTAGACCTTTCCTTTCCAAATAAAAGCCTTTTGTAGCCAGTCCCACATGACGTCAATCGTACGAGGTGTCCTCGTCCGGTCTACCAAGAGCGTCCCAAACTCAAAACCTCAACGCACGACTCTTGTGAAAGTGCGTTGCCGGCGCTGCAAAACTGATTGCAGAGACAAACTTGCTTCGACTCGAGATATGGTGTCCTTACGCACCTTCCTGAGGACCCGGCAGTAGGCTTCCAGTGCGCGTGCGTCCCCCGGGGGAAAGGGCGGCTCCTCCCCGGTGCTCTGCAGCGCCTCCCGGAAGCGCCGGTCGTACTCGAGCAACGAGCTGAACAGGCTGGCCCACCGCGCGATGCGGAAAGGGCCGTTCTGAGAGAAGAAAACAACTTGTTTCAGAAGGTACGTCAGTAGTGACACCCAGTGGATTGATTCTGGTATGATCCGGAAGATGACTTAGAGGATGGACTGTGGTTGGTTCGCCAAGATCGGAGAGAGTGCACGCAACGAACAGAGTTGAGAGATCCTTACTGGGCGGATGCGAAAGAGGAAATCCTTTTGGAGGAGAGGTCCGTGCAAGGAGAACCGACGAAGCGCAAGAGGTCAAGCTCTTAAGAGAGGGCAGGTGCACCAGACATCGGGCTTCAATTTGAGATGCTACTCACCAGTCTACAGTCATAGGCAGATTGGCAGAAGGGTTGTATGCGAGCTAAAGACTTGAAAGAAGCCCAAACAGCCCTCTAAACGAAGTGTGAGACGTCTTGAAGGAAGGAAGCAGGTGTCTCTCAGAAACTATGCACACACAAACCGAGGCGGTGGCGGATAATGTGAATCGCCACAATTTAAGGGGTGTTCACCAGTTACCTTAGACTTCGGGGACGTATCTAGATAGACAATTCTTAGGGTGAAGCCCAGGGCAAACTCTTAAAGCTTATTTTTGCTTCTTTTACGAGAAAGCTGACTGACCTGTAGGAGCTCATACACTTTACGTGCGCCGTCTTCGCCGGTCGCAAGCGCCGCCAGCATGTCGAGGAAAGCCTCCAGCGTGTGCCAGCCGCGGTGGTCCTCTCCGGCGAACTCGACGAAGCCGAGAACCGTCGGGTTGAGCACGTCCTGCTCGTCGATCACCAGATCAGGAGGCACCTGGAAGGATGGGTCGTTCCTTAGTGTTGATGGCTCATATCTTGCGTCGTAATGTCTGCAACAGTGGAGAACGAGTTTGACCGTCGACTCTGCTCCAGGGCACAGTATGACGAGTCAGAGTGCAGAAAGGATGTTTCGCCATCGGGCTTTGGAACTGATTCAGATGTCGGGAAGACTGAAAGCGAGCGTTTGGGCGGTGCTCCTTTGGTCATCTCCTCCAAATGCGTCGAGCGCCGGACAAAACGGTCCACACACGAAAATCCAAAAGCAAGCCATGCTCCAAATGCAATGACGACGGAAATCTGTAAAGCCCCTCATTCCTGCATAGTCGCTGCAGTTTATGTCAATTCAACGCTCTTACACCAATACAATTCCCGTCAGCCCCTTATTCCTGCGTTAGATGCTGCAGATTATAAGAAGTTGACGCCCTTACCCCGAATACGATTCCCGTCAGCTCCATCAGCGCCAGGAACGGCGCCTGCGGTCGGTCCGCAGCCTGTGCGACCGGTACGGATCCCCCGGGCGTCATCGGCACGAGCGCGCCACTTTCGGAGAGGTCGGGGGGCGGGGCGGCGTATGCTTGGTCCTTGAGATCTTGCACCAGCTCCCGCCCGGCTTCGTGACGTAGGAGGTCCGTCACGAGGCGGCGCAGGTACGTGAAGTGGACGCGCTTCACGTCCTCGTCGTCGTTCTGCATGGTTGTTGAAACGTCCAAGATTTCAAGGTTTTAGGAGTCAATATTTAAAAGTCGAGAAAGCCCTTGAACCTCAAGATCTGCTTGAAAAACGTGCCGTAAATTCATCTTCTGGAAGAGTTGGCTGCTGCAAGGAACACAGGTGCAGTGTGTCAAAGTTGTTGGAATTGCACTCGAGATACAGCAGCTTCTCCATTGTAACGAGCAAGGACAGCGGTAAGAATTGTGAAGCGCTCCGATCGCGAGGTTGGTGTTCTCGATACTCACACCTAAGACAACCACAATCTTTCAAGCTGAGTGCCTTACTCGATGGTTGCTCCTTGGGATTCCTGACGCCCACAATCTCGACAAGAATCCAGGAGATCGCACAAATCGAATCTCTAAACCAACCCAAACTCGCATTTCAACTCAAGCACCTTGAAGGTGGGCGCCCACAGCACTGTGTACACCAAGAAACAGAACGCTTTGTGCTCCACCGCTTTCTCCAAAAAACACGCCCTGATTGTAGACCAAACGATCGAAGATGGAACCGCATCTGACAACTCAACATTGCTAACAACCAAAACTCGAGCGGTGGCAAAACGCAAAAAGCTGCTCAAAGTACAATGAGTGTACCTTGAAGGTGGGCGTCCGCAGCACTTTGTAGACCAGGAAGTGGAACACGTTCTGCTCCACGGCCTTGTCCAGCCACGCCCGGACGTCCGAAGCCAGCTTGGCGTTTGCGACGCCGGACCCGCCCTTGGACGCGGCATTCAGCAGGAAGACGGCCCATGCCAACCGTACGATGGCGGCCCATGGCTCAACGGCTGCCACGTGGCTGGCTGCGATCTGCGGAAAGGAAACCAGGGGTCGTGAATGTAGACATTGGAAGGTTTGGTCGAGCGTCTAATGCTGAGCGTCGCAGTGATTGCGCAACGAGGTTGAGGTAGAAATTCGAAGCGAGGCTAGGGGCCGATTGTCAGCACGACGGCAGCCTAGGGCTCCACACTTGTCACGTGGCTGGCTGGAATCTGGCAGGGATAAGAAAGCAGAGCCCCTAATAAAGCGGAGTCTCTTTAAGGATCCGGCTACAGCCCTTCGCAGCCCGCGGTTTATGCACCTTGCTTCGATGTCTGCTAAACATAAAGAATGCAGCGTCCAGGTTCTGGGAAGCTGACACGTCGCAATGACAATATCAAAGCCCTAAAGTATCACAGACTTCAAAAGCAAAGACAACTGACACTCGCCTTGTTCTGGAAGCTTCCAATGAATGCGGCATCCGTCATGAGCACCGCCGGCCGCTCGTCGCTAGACGTCGCTGAGTCCGACATGAGCGTGTTGACTAGGGTAAAGGTCGCCGTGTAAGCCATATAGAGCGTCACCCCGTCGGGCCGTCGCGCGTAGTCCTGCGCTGTGTGCTGGACCAGGTCGAACAGCTTGGAACACTCGTCGGGCGCTGTGGAAGAGAAGGAGTCTTTCCTACAACTCATTGAGGCTTGTACGCCGTTGCGATTCACCGAGACGGCGGAGCAACGAACGTCGTTGATCGAGATCTGTTAGCCATCCCCTTGAAGATACTGGAAGTTATGCCTGAACCTGCGTACGAACGATCCTGAATGTAGCACACTCCTCGGAGAAGCGACGAAAATCCATCTAAGCGGCTCTTGTACAGAATTGCAACTATGCTTTCCAAGTGTCAGATTGCATGACAGTTGGTGAATACAAGATGAGCACGTTTTGCTATTCAACCTCAAACTCCGAAAAGGTTCTCTTTCTCAAAGCAGTTGCATAGTCGCCATGCAAGCAATGCAACGGCAGACAAAGCCCGATGGAAACCCTGGCCATTCGACCCTCGTGTTCGAAACCAAGCGCCTCTGAGCTTCCCTGCAATACGCACTCATCGCTCAAGCAGCACCGACAACCATTTGCCAATACAGTGTCAACTAGTAGCATGTTAACCACTGCCTGAGCTCGGGAATGCACAAGAGGAAAACAACTTCAACCATAGACCTAGGGTTGACATGCTCCGCCCCCACTTTCAGCCAACCATAAGCGTCCTCTAGACACTGTCGTTGTATCCACATGGCCCTATAGTCAACACGAGATCAAGAGACGACAAATTGCACTCACTGATGCGCGTGACAAGGGACGCGTAAACGAGGCACTCCGAGAGGAGCATCCTCTCCTTCTGGACCGCCCATGCGCGCGGCACCAGCGAACCCCGCAGATCCGCCACGTACGGCTCGCAGCTCGCGTTGCCCATTCCGGCGGGCTCCTCCCGGCTCAAGCCCTGCGCTTGAGCGAATGCATCCGGTTAGGGACGAGTTCCTCAAAAGGTACAAGAAGGAAAGGGAGGAACACACCGTCCGTTCCTTGAGAGCAGTCGTCTTTCCCTTTGCCCATCCTGCGGGCTCCTGCCCTACGGAGCGGACAACGATTACGACGGACGGACAACATCTGAGCATATTGACAGATAAAGAGAAAGAATGCTGCGACTGTCGGGTCGTTACCTTGATGAGTTCGACAATCCGCGTGCGCAGGCCGGCCCCCATGAGGTCCTTGAGGTAGTCGAACAGGTCCTGCGCCAGCCGGGGCGCCACCATGTTGTACGCCCAGCCCTGCAACACGAGGAGAAACGAACGAAGGCTCAACGAAAGGTAGGAACAACAACCAGAAAACCGATTCGATCCCAGTTGCAAACATGTATTTGCAGGAAGGATCAGGACGCTGCGAGTTTGAAGCTTAGGGATATCGGAGATCCTTGCCCGTTGATTGCTACCCAGTCCTGGAACTGGTTGAGAGAGAGAAGCGTCCAGCGAGTTGAACCACGACTATAGGAATCGTCGTGGTCCTTTAAAGCCGGCTTAATTCAAGACGAGGAAAAAGTAGACAGCTCTCAAGGATGAAGATAAGCTAGGCCTCCCGAGGCTCCACTTCAAGAATTGACTCGTAGCGATGTCGTAGCGTTCAACTTCTGGCGAGCTTACTGGCAAACAAACTTGCTGAGGCCGAGGGCAATATGTGCATCTTCTTATGGAGTACGCCCAGAGAAAAGGAGCGTGGTGCTGTGCTCAAGAGGTTCTAAAATAAGTAGCCCCAGTCTTTACACGGATTCTGACGGGCCTTGCCGGAAGAGCAGTCAACCGACTAGGAATCACTGGGGAGACAGGGTGCTGACCATACGTTTTGCCGCCCCCACACGGCGAAATTAACGCGACGACCCAAAGGACAAAAGGAACTTGCCTTGAGGAGTAAGTGAAGCGCTGAAATCAGCGACCGGCGCTCTTCCAGATAGATACCCGCTGCCAGGCGCAGGATCTCCAGGGGGCTCCGGCCCGTGATGTCCTTCTGCAGTCCGTTCACAATTTCATTTCAGCGATTGTTCGGCAATCAATCAGCAACAAAGACAAATCTAATGTTGGCGGCAACGGAAGTCTTCGCTGGCTGCCGTACGTAACTATTTACCTTACGAGACAAGACTTTGAAGGAGATGACTGCGGATTGATACTCCTCAAAAAGAGCGTCGGAGGACTGATTCCCTGAGAGGGCCATGTAGCCAAGGGAACCGCTCTAACAGTTGCCAGGAAAGGCACATACTGTACCGCCGCAATTCAACGACTAGATAGCCGTTTGGTGGGAGCCAAGACAATCTCCGATTCTCAAAAACAAGCAAGCAGTCTTTACGATCTGGTTGTAGAAATCCACGTTTTACCCTCGAAAGGCGAAAGCTCTACGCGATTGAATATACATTACGCTGGTCCTGTCAGAATTTGGGAAAGTGAAGACACCCGCATTCTTGAATCCCAGACACCCGCGATCTAAGGAGTGCCGTCGCCGCCTGTGGCATCAACGCAACCAACCACCTGATCTGTCTGCCCTCTTTCTGAAACAATTGATTGAAATGAGATCTCATACTCAGAGACTGAACACGATCTTACCTCCTGGTGGCATGCTATCAGCAGCTCCACGCAGTCCAGCTCGTTGAGATTGAAGTCGTCGCTCAGCTTCAGCGCGATCTGCACGTCTTGCTCGTCGAGCAGCGTGGGGGGGGCGTTCGGCAAGCGCACGTCGCGTGACTGGACATGCTTACGGTCCTCCGGTCGAGGGGGCTGAAACAAATAAAAGCCCTGGTCAGCAACTTTCCTTGACCCTTGGTCAAAGAGTGCTTAGCTTCCACCTGAGGTGCTTGCAATTTTTTTGGCTGCAGCTGTCACATTGAGATTCATGGTTAAGGAACCTGGTTAACAACTGGTTACATGCCCCTTTGCCACAATTGCGCTTATCCACCATCAGATGCGCCTTAAGGTGGACATGAATGCATTTGGTTGACCTGGCGCTGGGGCAGAAAGCACGCCAAGATTCACCAAGCCCCAGGTTGAATTCAAGGCTTTTTACTTGATTGAAACACCAACTTTCACATGATCATATCGACCTCTTTTAGGCTCTATTGCCGGTTTCAGGGATACTGACACCATCCTGGGCCAATCAGCCCTAGTGTGATTGACATACGAGTCGATGCATTACTTTAAATAGGATGCGCTCATAAGTGGCGAAGAATTCTGCTCAGTGTCACTGAGCAGTGATCAAGTGCTGGCAGATGCCTGCCCCTTCCAGTCTCTGAAAAGTAGTATGGTGCACAAGTGTGGACGTAGATCTCTTGGCGCCATGTTTTCAAAGGGTCGACGGAGGGTGGTCTGAGAAGGACATTGACATGCAAACCATGACAGTCCACAGTATTGAGCTGCATATGCGGCCCAGTTGATTCTGGACAATGCAGGTTAAGGCAGATAAACTCAACAAGTCTTGAAAGGATGGTGGCATTTGCACAAGGGATCACAGACCTTCTGGGGCGTATCTTAAAGCCTAGGCATGGAGGCAGGAGACCCCTGCAATACAAGCTCGACTTCTCTTTCCATCTAGCAAGGCGCTACTTTTGCAAGATTTGAAAGGTGATTGATGGCGCCAATGTCAAGAGTACCAGGATCAGGCCAATGCAGACATTCTGCTTGGCGTGGCTGCACTAACAAGCAACCAAGCCTTCAGCAATTCTGCACCACCCATCAGAAGCCCATGTGAATACATCTGTCTTTCCTTTAGCACCGAAGTACTCATGCGGCCAGCAAGACTTTTAAAGGACATTATACGGGCCCTAAACATCTATGCAGGTCTAAGTGAGCTTTACCTACCGGATAATTCAGCAGATCCCGGAACGTTTGCTGGTGCTGCCGCAGCGCTATCTCCAGTTGCCCCCGCTCCTCCGGCTGCAGCTCCGCCCCCGATACCGCCACCTCGACCACCTGGAGAAGGTCTCGATATGACGGCATCATGCCCCACGATGGGCACTTCTATCAAGTCAAAGAGACATAGGTGAGCAGACTTAGGGCCCCAATGTTGCCAACTTTTACGAGAAGGTGTCCTGACAGCCAGACGCTTGGAAAGTGAGCTTGCCAGCTTTGCTTTTGACCGAGTGCTTGCAAGCAACTTTGCAATTGGTTCAACAGTCCGAAGCGGCCGCGCTCAACCGTGATGCGCCGCGGCTCCGAACGCCGCGCGCGCTCGGAGCCTGTGATCGGATGGCATGCCAGAAATCACAGAAAGCCACCTCCTCACTCCGACCATCTGCAGAGAGTTCGAAAAGCCGACCACGCTCACGTTGACGGCTGTCTCTGCACATGTGCAGTGCGGGTCGGCTCTCAAAGTCTTAGATAAGATACACGAAAAAAAACAACCGTCTCAGCAAGATCTTAGTACTACAGCGCATGAGAATTTGCGGATCCATGCAAAGTTGCGAAGTCCCAGTGAGATTAAACGGTGCCGGGACGTCGGAGTTCAATCTTTGCTTTCCCATCATCGCCTTCACCTTTTCATACTAGCAAGCAGTGGGCCCGAGATCTAGTGACTGGTTATAAGTGGCCGTTCATCAGTTTGTGGCACTGCCGCGGGCATGCCACCGGCGGCTTTCCAGCACCGAACGAGCACCGAACTACCCATTGCCATTCCTCCTGCTGCCCTGCCGTACTAGTGCCCCTGACTGAGCCGGCGGCGTGGTCACCTCATCATGCGCCAGTGCCACATGCACTTTCGAGATAGAATGGCATTAGGCCGCACTCCCCTTTCTATTGGCGGCTTCAACGGCGGCAATGATGCCCTTTAGCACGGTTCCGAATTACGATATCTCCACGGCCGTACTATTGATTTGTTGTGCAACCTCGGAGCTTTCAAGCGCTTTTGCCATTTTACATGATAGACCGTGTCTCAATGACGGTCAATATTAGTTTAGTTTAGTTGATTTAACGTCGGTTCGGAGCCGTGGTCGGCTAAGTCGACGATTGTCTCTATTTGGAACTCTACACTAAACTCGCTCTTGATGCAAAGCTTAAGTATATATTCATCATGATCGTAGAAACGTCTCAAGTCAAAAAGGGCCGGGGAGATGCCAAATCTGGATGTGGGCGGCTTGAGGGGATAATTGTACTATGACGAAACCAGCCATGGCGGTAATTAAGCCATAATGTCGGAGCTGCACGATGATACTAATATTATGCTGTTCTTGTACATGACATCACGAAGCGGCAGCGGCACAGTGCACAATCTCGTCTTAGCTTGTGCACTCGTAATCCCATCGATATCAACGTCTGACGTGCATTTGTGCAGAGTTGCAGAAAATTCGAAATCGGATTTGCTTTGGGCGCTGAAATGGTCGGGTTTATAGTCACTGGCAGGCCCGTTTATCCGCTGTAGCAAAGCCCATTCACGAGCCACCGCTGGTACATGGCTAGCTCATTAAGTATTGGTATGATTTCGGACTTGTTGGACAAGTTTCTGCAGCGATACGTTGAGCCAAACAATCAAAAGCACTTCTGGTCAACGCCTCTAATATTTTGCTAGCTTGATGCTTGGGCATTGCAGTGGCGCAGCCACAAGCGAGGAGAAGGTGTCAAGGGAAAGGGAGGCCAGCTTCTCTAGATGATGCGATCAGCAGTTTGACTCACCATGTGACGCACTGCGCGACATTTGAAAGTTTTACTGTATAAGATGACATGACAGTGAGTAAGTACTACTACTGAACTCTGAAGCCTTGGCTCTTGGCGACACTCTCATAGCAATCCTTTTGGTCCTCTTGGTTGATATACGTCATTGTAAAGAAGGTCGACGGACTTAGAGCGCGATCGACATGCTGGACAAGGACAAGTTTCCGGAATGAGAAGACTAGCTATTATCTATAGGCTACATGTGTGTACGAAACGTCTCTTTGAGCAGTTCCCCTTTCATGATCCCCCATTAGCCCAAACTTGGCTTTGTTGAAGGTTCACTAAGGACAGGCACGTTTTTTAGGATGTTCAACAGTTACAGTGACCAGACTATTTAAGTAAAGCAGCTGAACAAAAACAAGCTGTATTCCTGCACGTTCTCCGCCAACCACTGGAGAGTTTCCTCCGTAAGCCCCGTCCCCTTGAACAAAGCCTTGTACTCGTCAAAGTCCTTCGGCTTTTTGATGTCCTTTGACTCATCAGCATAGCTCTGCACGACAAACGGTATGTTGGCACCGCCTTTCACCCTCTCGTGTCCGCAGTAGACCCCAGTTGCTATGAATGAAAAGGGGGTAAGTCCGACCTTTTCCTCAAACAGATACTCAACCTTGTTGCAGGGAGGGACTAAAAGGCCGTAGGGTTTGAACCCCGGAGCCGCGCCAACTTCCTGAATGAAAACTTCCAGCACGCCTGTTTTTGTCCTGTACCCATGCTTGCATGCGCTATCGTCCTGCTCTGCGTCAGACTTCTCTTCGGACTCGGACTTCATGTCAGCGTCACTTTCAGCTTCCCAGCCTCCGTCATCTTGTCCGTCCTGTTCATCTTTCTCCTTTAGACTTTTCTTGGCACCAGAGGTGATCTTGTCAGCTTCAATCTCCTCGCAGCTTCCTTGGCTTGTCTTCTGCCTTTTGAAAGCCTTTGCACCGCTCTTGTCAGATGGCGCCGAATCCTTGGAAGGGCGTAGCCCCGATCTCTTGTAAAGATTGTCCAAGACATTTGCCGGGGGCAGAGGATGTGCAGGAAACAGAAAGCCCTTGGCCTTGATAATGGTCAAGTCTACCCCCATCGCTGCTGCAAACAAGTGGATTGGAGCGCTAAGTCCTGTGTAAGGGTTTGTTCAGATCAGCGCTCTTGAAAGAAGTGCAGACGAAAGACCTCTGGCAACTCTAAAACTACCGTCTTGTTGGTCAAGACTTGCTGGCCGGAAATTAGCCCCTGCCGAACCTACCAGCAGGCGCTAGGATCCTACCGGGCGCCACAGTGTTCTGCAACAAGCTCTTTTCGTGCTCTTTTGATCACTGAGTTTACACTACTAGACGTCCCTGAAAGACCATCGGGCACCTTGATCCGGTCAAAATCCCCGGTCAGCCGAACGACGTTGAGAGCGGCCTCCCCGCTGTCCCCGCTGATCAAGGGCTGATCTCCATGTAATGTGGCCACTAGTATCAGCAGTGTGGCGCAGTCTGAGCGCGTCGCGGCCGGGCGGGACTCGGACGCATTTGCGCGCGGCGCGCGATCACTGCATTGCTCATGATCAGTGGCAGGGTTTCAACGAAGGAAGAGGGTTTCGTACCGCCCGGGCCAGGTTTGACCCAAGTTGAGCGCGAGCACGGCGATCCTGTCCATGACCAACTTCATGATACGGTCGGTATGCACGACCAGTACGCAACGTACGTACCTTTAGGTACCTACGTAGATACATGATAGGGATCATCCAAGCTGCAATTGAAGACCAGCAGTAACCAAGATATTATGTAGCGGAGTGATAGACTCATTGCATTGCATGAGCCAACTGGAGCCAAGTGAGTACAACTGCAACTCAGTACTGAGTACATTGTGGTGATTGCTTCCGTCATGTGTGTTTTTCCTTTGAAAATGAAGGGTGGCGTGTTGATTAAGATCGCGTAATCAGTTCCCTGGACCATCTTCGTCCTTGGCACGAAACGACTTCTGTCGACAAGTCCCCTCTCCTTCTCAGCCCTATTGAGTTGACGGAAGGAGCATATGCATTTGGGTACAGGCGGCGTATGACAGCTTGCAAATTTTGGTTCGTTGCAAACAGATTTTTGCACTGCACAGCGTCTTCTGCAAGCTTGCTCTAAAGTCCCAGATCTCCCAAGTCACCTAGAAGTCAGCTACTGTGATAGTACAGTAGTCGAAGTTGCTCTGCCAGCTGCCTGGAGCTGCATGTCAGCAATTTGACTTCGAAATTCAGATTTTGCCGCTTGGCCACGCCTTTCCTTGATCCAGGACTGCCAATGCGGAAGTCTGTGAGCTGACCAATCAAATCTCGTGCCAGGGCCTCCTGAGGCAGACTCCGAGAAGCGTCTGGAGTCCGCATTGAGCATACCTGGTCAAAACAACGTATTCAAGGTTCATGCTAGTTAGGACAAACCACCATTTTGCGAGTCATGGCCGCTAAGGTCGTGCCAGGGGATGGCATGGACACAGACTATCTCAAGTCAACAATTGGGAACGCTCTCTCCGAGGGGTGTGCCGCCACAGCTCTCGCACACCCCCCCGACCCGGTGGATTTCCTGAGCTCATGGCTGGTGCAATATGCTCGGAACAAGAGCATAAGGGCGGGCATGGCGGAGGAAAAGAGGGAGGAACTAGAGCGGGAGAGACTTGCAAATGAGAGGGCAGAGGCGGAAGAGCGGGAAAAGAAGGATAAAGAAATGTGGCGGGAGATGGGGCTCGAGCGGGTGGCGGGTTTTAGTGATGATGCATGGCTGATGTGGACAAGGGCGCTGGAAGAAGCGCGGAAGCACACAGGTCAGCTGACTAGTTTGTATTTAACCCTGTTTGCTTTAGCAGCTGAAAGGGAATGCACGGGCAGATGCATGGTAAAAAAAGTTAAAAGCTTAGCTGAGGTAATGTGCAGAGCAGCTGGCTCTAGAAAGGCTAGTACCGCCGATGGTGAGCTTCTTCACCTGTTTGCCGCTGGCTGTTCTTACAAGTGCTCAGTCCTCTGTAAAGGGTCCTACAGTGCGGTTAAATCTTGGTCATAGAAAGGTGCATGTTTTCCGTGAACGCACAGACAGGTTCAATCTAACCAAGGGGCGCTTTTGAGTACCAAAAGCTGGATCCGTGTGTCGGGCAAACACCACTAATCAGGCAGCGACTGTGCTTTTTTCAGGCATAAGTGCCGCCTACGTTGCGGTGCTCGAAGAGGGATCCCCCGCGCCCGAGCCCACAGAGGACGGAGAGGAACCGGAGGAGCCCCCCGAGGAGGAAGAAGCAGAAGAGGAACAACCCGAAGAGGACGGGCCAGACGCCTGGTACAACGTCCCCGAGGAGAATCCCAACCCGGAAAAGCCGAGCACAGAGCCTGGGGAAGAGGAACCGGGGGAAGAGGAGAAAGCGGAGGAGAAAGAGGAAGGGGAGGAGGAAGAGGAGAAGCCAACGGGGCCGGATTATACGAGCACGCAGCTGTGGTATACGGTCGTGAACGGCGGGGACGAGCGGGCGATTCTCGGGAAGAAGCTGACGCGAGCTCAGGTAGCAGTGGAATCTGAGGGTAATGTAGAAGCTCGAGCGAGTTTGCTGCAGCTTTTATTGGACATACAGCAAGCTTCGGAAAAGTAAAGCAGGAAAATTGCAGAGGACATCTTGCAACAAGAGCGACGTCAAAGGCTTTGCCCTTCTTGTTTGAGGACAGTTCGTGGGCTTCAGGTTCTTGTGTCGACCTCTCAAAACGTCTCCCCAACCTTCACCGACTGAAGAGCAACTAGGAAACGGATCCTGATGGTTTCTCTTGCTGCAGGGAGGCGTGTCGTTTGAAGTGCTCGACCAGAATCTGCCTACGCTTCACGTTCCAAACGTGCTGTACAAACGAGGTAAGTAAACAGCAAAGGCGCATTTTTTGTTCTCCTTTCGCTTTCTTTAAGACCCGTTGACACGCCCGTTGATCGCTGTTTCCGCCTTCTTATTCTTGGGCCTGTTGTTTTGCTCGTTCAGCTCGTGTAGCACACATCAAATTTGAGCCGCCTGCCCAATTCAGATGCTCAGTCGGTCTAAATGTTGGAATTGTCCATTCCGCGCCGATTAATGCTGCCAAAGCTGCCTTGTCTTACCTGCTAAGCCTTCTTACTCTCAATCAATCTGAAAGGTCAATCCTCGTGCCTTTCGGCTTCTTTGCTTCTGATGACGAGTTTTCTTAGCCGGATTCTATTGTTTGCCCGGAAATAATAAGGTAGATTCTTTAGAAGGGTCGGTAAGAGGTCGCGTTAGGTATCTTACTTACAGAAGTAGGTTGCGTTGACGGGCCAGATAACATACTTCGCATAATCCATGGCGAAATCTTCTTTGTGACAGGTGTGCATTTTTTCGGGGGGATGCCCCGCCTGGGCGCCCTCTTTGTCGCCGCCATCCCCCCCTCGGCAGCCGACAAGCCCGTTCAAGCGCTCCTTTGTGCGGACACTCTGCGTACGGATCTGGGCGGCAGCGGACGTCCGCTCTCGGCCGAGGACCAGGCGTTCTTGACCGCGCTCGCGGCTGCGATGGCGAGGGCGACCGTCGAAGGGGAGGCCAAGAGCGCGGAGGTCGCCGAGAATGTCAAGGCGCAGGTGGATATCCTCAAGGTGAGCTGGCGCATATAGAGATGCAGGCGAGCCTGTCGTATGCTCAACATTCAAGTTGGATCTCACGGTTTTCTGTCAAGAGCTTTGCTGAGTTCTCGGATGGAGAAGCAGAACAGCGGGCACCAGATCCGAGATCAACGAGTAGAATCCGAGGGGGAGGGCCCGAGTGTCAAAACGGGTCAGTTTCTGTCAGAGCACCCGCTTTCAAGCCCGGAACCTGGGACGGAGTCCGTTCTTGTCTTTGCAACGTGCCAAGTTTTACCCTGAGGTCGTGATTTGGAGTCCACTTGGAACTCCTATGAATTACGAGTTGCAGGGAGGATTTCTTGGACACAAAAAACCCGTGTCGTTCAGCTCGGGAAGCGACGATTCCGAATTACAAGCGAGGTATCTTTTTGGCAAGTGTATGCCTTTCCACCTTCGGTTTGAACCTCGGACGGCGCTTGGAACCCCTTAAGAACAAAAGAGTTGCAGCGACGCTTTCACAGTCAAGAAGAACCGTGCCATTCAGTTTCAAGGTTCTACATAACGGGAATGCGAGCGAGGGAACAAGAACGTGATCACTTCCTTTTCTGTCACAGGCTGCTCTTTACCGTGTTCAAGAAGAACAGAAAGCCGCGGCCGCAGCGGCAGAAGAAGAGGGGGAGAAGGAAGAACCTGAGGAGGAGGCGGAGGAAGGCGCCGGTGGGTATTTGCTCACGAACTAATCTCCCTGGAGATGGCGTGTCGGAGTACAAACCCAGTCTGTCGTGAGATTCTAGTCGTGATATGCACTCTACCGAACAAGAGGCTGCAGTGATTCAAGCGAACGCATCATACATCATGCCTGTCTGCACGACCATCTCTAAGCTGAGACTCACTATTTCGTGATGCTTTCTGCAATTTTCGTCAAATGCAACCAAGCATTGCTCAGAACCCTCTTCAACCGCGGAAAGCCAAACACGCAGTTAACAAGATTCTGATCAAAAGAACTGGCCTTCAAACCGGTTTTCTTAGTCGATCATTTACGCAACCTCGCCCGCAGAAGCCCCTGCCGCCGCGGCCCCCGCGTCCACTCCTCTCACGCGCGCCGCGCTCGCGCTCTCCCAAACGCGCGCCGCGTACGCGGCCGCGGTTGCCGCGCTCGACGCAGTGCGCGCGGACGAGGTCGCGCGGCTCAAGCGTGCGGCCAAGTGCAGCCCAATGATGCTGCGCGTTCTGCACGCGGCCGCGGCCGCGCTGGGCCGCGACGCGACAGCGCTGTGGCCCGACTGGAGCAGGGCGCGAGAGGATGTCAACGCTGACTTCGTAAAGGTGGGGCGCGCTTCGTTGAGAATTTTACCCCCCAGTTGCTAGTGATTCTCTTCTTTGAGTGCCCAGAAGGCGGGGGGAGCGTTAGAGTAGATAACTGAATCATAGTGGGACGTACCTGGTCGACAAGAGTCACAGAGGAGGAAGGCCATAGAGTGCAATCTAACAGGGAACGCGAGTCAGCGCGCAGGACACAAAATCCGTCTGGCACACCGATTGAACGTTCCCTTTTTCTGCCCCGGTTTAGAAGCTAAGGAGGCAAGTCGTATCGAAAGAATGTCACCGCGTAACGTACATTGGTCAGTCACCCAAGGACTTGGCCATGTAATTTTCCGACCAGGTTGCATAGAAGCACACAGGCATCATAAACGTCTAATAACGTTTTTACCAAGCTAGCTTACTTAGAAACGTGTCGACTTAGTATGTTCTATCTCCGCTATATGCAGGTTCAACAGACTTTAGGTTGAACAGACCAAGACGGCCACTCCATGTAATTTCCTGCTGAAATGGCTTACGAGAACAGGGGGTCTCTTTTGTAATATGAGTCGAGTCCCTAAGTCTGTATCGTAAGCGACTGAACTCTTTGATTTTGGTTGCAGACTTGCCAGGAGCACGACCCCGCAGGGAGCGCGGCTAACTGGAGTGCGATCCGACGGCTGCTCAAAGATATCGACGGCAAAGCGCTTCTGGCGGAGTCTCCGCTGGCATACGTAAGCTCTTGGACGCGGTGAATGTGGTGCAAGTCTTGGATGCAGTAGTTTCGCCCCGTTGAACCTTATCCATTTGGATTGCGGACAATGCTGTGCTTGCGAAAGGTGTAATGAATGCATGGCGAATGAAGATGCCGGTTCTCTGTTTGATTACATGTCTTTCAATAGCTCAGGTCTTCTTTTGGATACTCGTTTTTGCGACCACCAAGGAAGAGGAAGGTATCAACATGGAAATTGCCTCCTCAATGACATCGTATTGCACAAGGTGCAGACGAAGATCTGCTGAAAGCGGATGCGGCCATCGGGTGTCAGCCTGATCGACGTCATGCTTCTGAAAAGTTGTGCATCACATCCTTGGCAAGCATAAAGTTTCAGCCGAAGAAAACTCGTCATCGCAATTCTCTTTACAAATCTGCGGCCGGCTTTAAGGACCTCCTCCGATTGTACCTAAATTTTATCCGAGGCGCCATACCATCTTTCTCTGAGAAGACGAATTGGGTAGCGCTCAAAGTGAAACTTGCACGCCGCCTTTGACACTTCAATTCTCTCTTGGCGACGAACCACTAACATCCGGTATTCTTGTCGGCAGGTGCTGTACCGGTGGATCCTAAGCTGCAAGTTCGTGGAGGTGGCGCACCGCGCCCATGTGACGGCGCAGGAAGAAGCCGACGCCGCGGCCGCCGAGAAGGTGAGCGCGCGCGGCCGCGAGCGGCTTTGTCGTGGACCAGCCCTTTCGGCAGGTAGCCAACGATAGATGGCCGGGGAATGACGGCTGCTCAGTCCTTCTGTATTGTTTTCATAGCGATACAGTAACGGTGGTTTCATGCTGCGGCTCTTTCGGTCGTCTCCCAATTGTTACAGAATGTCCGGGTGGGCTCCTGGAAATCAACAGTCCATACACTCGGACTAATTACAGCAGGATGAAAAATCTACAAGCTCGTTGGGTTGCTTTGTTCGTTCCGATAGGTGGAGCTGACCGGAATCGTCTGTTTCAAGAAGCGAGCTTCTGAGCGGCAAAGAACAGGACATGCATAGATATCTGAAATGCTCTCCTGGGCCCTCAGAGTTCAAAACGACCTTTCATGGTCGTTCCGTACTCCTGACGTGATTTGACCAATTCGACTCGGTCAATCTGCCATCAACTGACCAAACAATTGAATTTCTATAGGCACGCGAGGAGGCCGAAGCTGCCGCGGTCGCGGCCGCGGAGGCGGCTGAGGCAAAGGAAGAAGGCGACGAAGACGAAGAAGGGGAGGAAGATGACGAGGTTGATGAGCTGGCCAACATGGGCGACTCCGACGAGAACCCAGGCCGGATGCGGTCGCCCACCGTTTTGTAGACACGTGGCGGAAGAATCTGGTTGCTGATTGGGCAATCAATCTCGTGGTCGGAACGCGATGCGCTTTCCGAAGATTACCTTACACGTGGATCGTGGGATTAATAAGCAACCGCCTGGGTTGGTACGTGAGGAAGGCTTGGTTGACCTCTGTAAATCTGCATTCGTATACACCTTGTCAAACCATAAGCTGGCATGGCGCCCGGTACGGTGAATATTTACAGGCGCTGCCCACAAAACCCATCAAATCTCTGCTCACTACTGATCCAAGACTGTATAGGGACAACTTGCCCAGATTAGTTGCACGTTCAAGCACGTTTTCCAGTTCCACGTCACGCTGTTTGAGTTGCACATATGAGCACCGGATGTCATTCTATGTTCAGAGTTTGGTGGCCGCGCCCAGGATACGTCGTTGATTCGGCACTGCCCTGACAGCATGTCTTGAATGATCTCTCGGGTCACCACTTAGATGCTTATCCGCAGTCATCGAGCCGCAACCGTTGAGATTGGATGATGATGTATACGTGCGACGTCGGCATGACATGCACCTGAGCTCAACCACCGAAGTCTGTGCATAGTTTCCCTGATTTCTGGATAGCTAGTCATTCGAGTAAACAGTACAAGGTAGAGAACACAAATCTGATGTATCTTTCGTCCGCAGAGGGTGACTATCATGCCGAAAGACATCCAACTAGCTCGACGCATTCGTGGAGAGAGGGCTTAAGCTGTGGGTTATTGGATGAGTGTTTTCTGACCCAATACTGCTTGTACTCTATAATGGATAAGCGACTGGCACATTCTACGCCTGGATGCTATATGGATAAAGACGGTCAACTAATTGATCCAAGTAGGAGGGTCAGCTCTTTCGCATGCAAGCCCGGCCTTTGCAAAGACGAAGCAGTTGTATAGCGCAAGGCCCGTGGTTCTAAGATCGGCCAGTGCACCTCAAACGAAACCCTTGCCTCCTTCATGTGTAAGTGTTTCTCTGCCCAACGCGACGGCCACTGGGCCATAATTCTAGTAGGTATTCATGTAAGCGATTAATCCGGATACGTTGTCAGAAAGTTAATTCACTAATTACTTGTTTATCGAGCTTCAATGCCAGCTGACATGGTCGTATACGCGTGCAGTCTAGCTTAGTACGTATCCATGACACGATTTGCGTGTCTATATGAATTCCAGGTTCTAGTTGTGGCGCGGCTCGCTCGGCTATGGGCCGTACCGTGTACGTAAAGATCTCCTAAGTCACTTGAAACCTCATGCAGATCAGACAATGTTGCACAAGACTGTTCTTTCGATTATGAGTTGTGCTCAGTCACATGTATTTGAGCACATCCAAATTAGTACTGGATGATCGAATGGATTAGTAATTTGCATGCTCCGATCAGGCCGGAAACTCTCATGACCATGCATCAATCATTTCTACTACTCTGTGCATGGCAGCTAGCGAAGTCAGATAATGACTCGGACAATTCGTGCATAAATTCGGCCCATCAAGCGTGCATGTATCATTTGGTAAAACAAGCGTACGTCCAAATTGACGGAAGTTCCGATCCGATCGGCCCCTCGATCCGAGGCGGCCTCCGATGTGAGAATTCTCCCGGCGATGAGGCTCCTTTAAGAATCTCTACATTATGCGTTGCGGACGCGCGCACATGTGCCATTTTTGCACTCCTTTTTGGTGGACAAGTCAACCTTGGTGCACCTGGAAGTTGTAAAATACCCATACACGACTCAGGCAGACCTGGCCTGAACTTCGAAGGATTCGGGAAAGCACATGCCAAAACTCGTCACTTTCAATTGGAAGATACACTATAAGCAGAAGCAACCAGCTAAGGCCGGAGAGCATCATGTCGCCCAGTCACTGATTTGTCATTGAAACTTTGACAAGCTCCTACAAGGACGTAGCCAGTCTCAATATCGCATTCTGCGGCGTCCTGGGCAGGAGTAACGAAAGCAACGGCGCCTTCATCAGACCACCGAGATCCGCCCCACCGAATCGGCTCAACTCTTTTCGAGCTTGAGCGATCCGCCCAGCAGTCGGGAAATCATGAAAAGAAAGATACAAACCCAGCGCAGCTTTTTGGTGGGGCCGACCGGAGAGGCTCGGGGTTTGGGGGTTTAGGTAAGCGGCGAGTGGCGATTCCGGGCCCTCCAGGTCCGCGGTTTCGAGCGCCATTTCGACGCGCTTATGGAGGGTGGCGAGGAAAGAGGGGCGGAGGAGTGGCGCGGTGTGAATGCTGGGGGGGTCCTCTGAGTGGTCGAAGCGGGAACAGTACCCCAAGGCAACCTGCAAATGGCGAGAGTCCGGCGACTGAGACGATCGGTCTTTGCGTGTTGGAAAGGGTTTGAATGGACTTGGCCCTCATAGGAACGCCGACGGATCCTGCGATGTAAGAGGTCGATTGGTCGCCAGCCTTTTCATATGACAAGACTTCTGGGCTCGACGACGAGACAAAGGTGGCGGCCTGAAGCTCTTCACATTGCAGATGCAAAGAGTCGCTTTGGGCACTTGGAAGAGTCCGCTCAACTATGACGGTACCATTTGATTGGCTTGCGCACCTGATAGAAGACTCAGCAAGTCAGGGACGGAAAGTCCTGCCAGGCCTGTGGCCGAGCGAAAGCTATCCAGGCCCACTTTGCGCAAAGAGGCAACGAATGGTTGTTTCGCATCAAAACTCTCTCATTCAGAATCGAAGCAGCCACCACATTCACGTCCGCCAAGTCGAAGTGCACGACGCCAAGAAGAAGAGCACGACGTAACGAAAAGTTTCCCAAGCCTCTTTCACCAGACTTTCAATATAGACGACTGACCTTCAGATTCGCCACAGCCAGGCAATCCCGCCCATCCACCGCTTCCCCCTCTGCGAGCCCTTTTGCAGTTCGATGCACTGACGTGTACAGATCCACGTAAGCTTGAACGGCGGCCGGCTTCTCTGACGTCATGCACTCGTCAAGGGTTTCGCAGCAGAAGGCGGCAAAGGCGCGGGCGTCCGGATCAGAGGGCGCGGACGTACAGAAGTGGTCCGCAAAGGCGAGCATGCTGGGGTCCGCCGAAAAGGCGGCCGCGGGGTCGTTCTGGGCGTCGGCCTGCCAAGCGTTGAAAAGTTCCCAACTTTTTGAGTTTTTGTCGCAGAGGTTGTCTTTGTTTTAGAAGTTGACGATGTCGGAACTTCCAGTCTCTCTGCGAAAAAGAGGCAGTGCAGAATGCATTACCGTCTATCTGAAGTATCACACAAAGACTCGCACTTTTCATTGGTCGAGTATCCTACTTTCCCATCCCAGCAGGGAATCAAGCGAGATTTTTCAAATCACGTGGCAGCGGGTATTACAAACTTGGAGGAATCTTGGGAGATTCAAATACGCACAGATAAGAGCTCAACAACAGAAACTACCCTCTGAAAACACGCCGGAGTCGACGCTACCTGGGTTTTTCGCGGCAGAAGCAAGCACAGAAGCCTGTTGCGGACGCAGCTCGGACCCATCTCATCTGCCCCTTTCCATCAGTTTTAACAGACATACGGCGTTTTCAGGAGAGCCCGGCGGATCAAAAGCAAAGCACACCAGCACTTATTGCTGCGCCTCTCCCGGTTGCTCGAGTATGAGAAAAAGCCTGCAGCGGAGCCGTTCCAAGTCACCCCAGAATGAAGCAAAGACCCACTGCCGTTCACATGCCCCTCACCTCTCCTCCAGCCGCTGACATCGTCAGCGCACGCCTATGCGACCCCGCTGATGACGTCACCATCCCCGTCCCTGCGCCCGCAGCCCTGCGCTTCACGTACAGCGTCCGCATCCGCCCATCGATCGCGGCCAGGTCCGGGTCCTCGTCACGTGACCGCCTTAACCCCGCGGAACCCTCGTCCCGATTACGCGTAACCCTCGGGGTTCCACCGCCGCTGCCCCCCCCGGGCGTGCTCGGGTGCAGGCGGGCGGCTTTTGCGGCAACCAGCCCCTCTGCGACCGTGCCTAAACCGAGGCCAAGAGAGCGCCGGTCCTGATCGGAGAGGTCGGGGTGGGGGGGAATGTTGAGGTCCAAAGCGGACTGGCGCCGGGATGACGTGGCAGCCTCGGATTGGAGGTCGATCACGTGGGGCCAGTACCTGAAGGGACGGCCGAGGGGGATCATAAGCCAGCGCTCAGCAAAGTTGTGCTCGTTAACGATAGAGGGGACCTGGTTTGCTGCTACGGATGTGAGTCGCTGTATGTACCAGAAGAATCGAGCAATTAAAATCTGCGATTGTTTCTGGCAGATGTTGCTTGCGGCCTGAGTCCTTCATTATGTAATTTCAAGAACGGACGTAGATCCAAGAACGGACGCGCACGCAATGCTTTTATTGCAGCGAGCAATCGCTTCCATCCACCGAACTCCAACAGCAGTTAGCAGAAAAAGGCGCCTGGCATTAACCGCTTGGTAACCCACCTGGGACCGCAAACCCTAACCCGCTTGAGGTGCGCGCGCTCTGGCAGCAGGCAGGGCGTCACTCGCGTGTACGTCGTCTCGGCACGGGCCCCGCCCTCGGCGACGGTGATTTCCAGCGGGACAAACACCGGCTGGTTCGTGTCGACATCCACGGCCTCCACGCAGCGGTCCTCGGTGGCGAGCACGTACAGGTGGCGGAACGCCTGGACGACACATGTCAGCTTTTGGGGGTGTGGAGAATGTAGAAGGGGCTCAGAAGGAGCTCGCAACCTTTGTCGGTATTTGACTCCTCTCGACAATCCTAGAGGTGGCAGAGACCCTCGGAAGGAGACGTCTCAGACTTGAAGTTGGATAACTTGAGACTAAAATGAATCGAAGGCCAAAGAGGGCAAGCCTCTACCGCAAAGCCGTGCTCTGAGGGCATTCAGGAAACGCAAGGAGTGAAGGACGAGACCTGAATTTGGGTATTTGGGTTTCATGGTTCAGAGTTCCGGCCTCGTTCGCGTCGACTTCGCTCCTTTCTGAGCATCTGGAGCGAGCAGATGAGAATGCGAAGAGAGAGCTCACGGCCTAAAAAATATAGAGCAAGCTCAAAACAAAAGCTCTTAGGTTTCTTTTGTGTCTTATGGAATGACGTGTCGAAGCAAGAATTGAAACCATGAGGAGACAAAAGCAGACCAGCAGAATTTGAAGAAACTGCCGGTCGCTCTGCGGTTCGGACTGGTTGTAATAACAGCACAAATCTGTCAGCGCCGACTTGGAGGCTTTTCCCCAAAAGAACAACCGCTACTCGGCAGCAGGCCCCGCCTCTCTACCCTGCCTTCTCGTGCCGAGCAAACGTCCTTCACGCTAGTTTTCTTTTGCATCCCAATGCGCTTGTCTCAGATCCTAGTTAGTCCCTTGATTGGTTAGCAACTTAGTTGGTGGTTGATTTGTTAGTTAGTTACTTGGTTAGTCAGGTAGCTAATTGATAGGTTTGTTATTTAGTCACCGGGTGATGCCCCTTGTCCTACCTGCAGGTGACACCGGTGGTCATTTGGCGCCTGCGGGAAGCGCGGGTAGAGCGCGATCACGAGTGCCGCGGTCGCCTCGTTGCTCGTTGCAAACGTCCTCGCGCCGCCGCCCATGAAGAGGAACCCGAGGGCCATGCTGATCGCCATGTGGTTTCCGTGCGAGACCTCGCCTTCCCCGGGCATCCTTCGTCGCAGGTGGCGCAGCAAACGCAGCGTTGGCAGGTGCCCGGTTCCCGCCATGACCACGCTCAAGGAAAGGGCGGCCACGTTCAGGCACGTTTCGAGCGTGCCCCTGCAGAAGAAAGACTCTATCTTTGTCAGTCTAGGACTTTGTAAGGACGTTCGTGGTGGCTTGTTTGAGAATGCTCCTTCGCTAGCACTTGGGAAAGCTATGTAAAACTTTTCTGGTCGGAATTAGTCTTGGTTAGAGTTTCTTTGGAAACGTTCACTTCTGCTACGTGTCAAGAAGCAGCATTTTCAGTTGCTGACTGGAAGCGTGACTTGTGTGTCCGTCGTACACCGAGCGTCTTCCTGTGACGATGCAGGCTTTTAGCCTTTCACTGGCAGCACCCTGAGATTTTTGAGGTCTCGCTATCAACGCAAGGAACCACAAACCGGCGTACAAACACGAAATAGCTTGAAGGATTTGGGTCCTATGGCTGGTGAATTCCGGATCGACGATCCTAACCGTGTGAGCATCCCAAAGCTCGCTTGCAAAGAAGAAACGGAATGTGAAAGATCAAAACAATCGACACTCACTTGTCGACCCGCTTGCTGTCGCCAGACGAAACCGCGGGCGCGCCCCGCTTCTGCGCCACAAACTGCATCGCATATTTGTACAGAATCGCGCGCGCATCCTCGTTCCCTGTCCCCGCAAACCGCAGTCCGATTGCAAAACACGCCCCCGCCAGGATGTTCACGTGGGCTTGGGCGAGCGCCTCCGTATCCACCTCCCCCTCCTTCTCGTCGCTCTCTTCCTCGATCGTCGCGAACCTGCCTTTCCGTTCCACGTTCCGTTTGATGATAGCCGGAACCTGCGCCGCGACCCAGGCTTCGGTCGGGGCGACCCCGTCCCACAGGATTAAACTCCTCGCGAGCACTCGTAACAAAATAAAGTCCGGACGTACGTACTCCAAGTCGAAGTGCGTGTCCGGGATCTTCAACCGGGCAGCCACCGTCGTGTTGTTCGTTTTGAGGAACATCAGCGCGAGCGCGAGCGTCGCGCCCGGCGCAGTGACGTCAACATTTACCATATCGCCCTCCAGAATCTGTTCCCCGGTCGCCTCAAACTCGTCCGGTTTGGGCATCCCGAGCGCTAGCTCGCGCGCCCGCGAGCGCGTGCTTCGCTCGCTTCCCCCGGCCAGGTAATGGTGCAACCGGTCCTCGATGTGGAGGTCCGCTAACCCGACCGCCTCGTTACCCCGTCCCAAGCAGACTAACCCGAGCGCTAACCCCGCGGACAGGGCGTAACCCTCGCGGTCGACAGCTGCGTCAATTCCAGGCTTGCGCCCAATTTCTGCAGAAGGAGGTGTGTCTGTCAGCCTGGAGGGCTTCGGAGGCAAAGGGTGCCTAGGAAGCTACTCTCAAGCGGAATCTAACCACAACGGTGGAAGGCTAGAAGCTCAGACTCTGCATACTGCCAAAAAGATGACCTTTTGAACAATCTTGAGGCCTTTGCATATCCGCCCTTCGCAGGCACTTACGAGCACCATATCCTCTCAGAAGGACCCGCCAAACCTGCTACGGGAATGGACTGCGTGATAGTCCGTTCGCCTCCGCACCGCCACACCCAGATTGGCGGTCACTGCCTCTCCGTTTCTTCTCCGGATAACCTCTCGCTACTGCCCCCATTCACGCTAACAGTGAGCGGAATTTTTCCCCCTCAAAATGCAGCACTGACCTGCTAATAGGATCTCCGTCGTTAGCCGGTGCGCCGACCCCTGGTACAGCAACCCAACCGCCATGAGCGCCGCCGACTGCACGAGGGGGGGTAGTTCCAGCTCCGGAAACGAGGGGGGGTGCCGCGCGGGGATGTGCAGGTACAGCATTTTGGAGATGACCGGATTGAGCGTGCCGCGGTGCGCTGCCGCCATTCCGAGGAGCACGCCAACGGTGGTGACGTCATGCTCTTGCGCGAGGTAGCGGTAGATGTCGGTGGCGGCGAGGATGCGCAGGTGGCCCGCCAGGCCGAGCGCGAGGAGCACGCCGGCGTGGGAGGGGGTCGGGGTCTCGGGGGTGTTGTACGAGATCCACGTGCGCGTGATCTTGGCCTGCTAGGCGGAACGATATAGATGAGTATACTCGGCTACCATTAGCGATCTCATCAAAAAGTCATACCCCTAAGGGAACAAAGAGCGAAGAGCCACTTTTCATTCTCGTTGGCAAAGGTCAGTGTTTCGCTGGGAGAAAATATATCTGTCAAGGAGGGGGGAGTGAGAGTCACTTAGAGAGAGCAGCATGAAGCAAGGGTCGGGGTTTCGGGGGTATTGTACGAGATCCACGTGCGCGATCTTTGGCCTGCTAGGCGAACATATTAGTGAGTGTACTCGGCTACCGTTAGCAATCTCATTAAAGCTTGATTCAAGTGAAAACGGAGGACGCTTCACGGATGGCGTTACAATTTTTCTTGCCACCCAGAGTGTGCCGTTCTGCTTCCTATCGAACCGAGCCAGAAAATGACAGCCCAACGTGTGAAAACCCCCCACCTGCCCAGGTGCAAGGCGCAGCCCCGCGGCGACTCCGTTGTGGAACTCGGGCCATGTGGTTAGATCCGTCAGGCTCTGCCCCGCGCTGACATCAAGGTTCACCGTCGCGTTCTGCTGAGTTGGCAGCCGCCCCGCCAGCACCAGCTTTGGCACGGGCAGCGCCTCGGTGAGAATGGGCCCCGCGGATGCCAGTGTGAACGCGCCCCTGCCAGCTGGGAGTGCCGTGGTGCGTTGCGCAAGCTGCCAAGAGACAAGCCACGGCGTTAAAGCAATTTCGCTGGCAAGATGGAAGCAGTAATTTTTTGGGATGCTTGATCACGGATTCAACCTGCTGCAAAACGCGAAAGCGACAGGACTGTATGCCGAGCTCACCGATCCTGAGTCAACATTAACAGAGATTCAGTAGGTTTTGTGACACCAATATAAGGTTCGCGGAAACCCCTTGATCTAGAACCCACCCAACACTTTCACATACCGCATCAGCTCTCAAAGCTTGAGTCAGGCTTCGTCAAGATGAGGCAAGATAGGTCGCTTTCAAGTCTTGCTTCAGGCTTCATCGAATTTAGGCAAGATAGGTTGAGCAAACGAAGCCAGGCCCCAGACTGACCTGCCAAAGCAGAGTCTGCTGGTGAGCCACCAGATCCGGGTCAGCTAACTCAGGACCCCCGGTTACCCTAACCGCGACCGGTTGGGCGGACCCTAGCAGCCGCCGGACCTCGTCGAGACGCAGGTCGGCACGGAAGCGCGCACGCGCCCGCGCGCCTGCGGCGGGCTCCATCCCGTCCCCGGGGGGATCTCCCGAGCCCTCGAAAGCTTCGTCCGATTCGAGTGGCTCGATAGGGCGCAAGTGGTGTGCGTATGGGGGGGTCAAAAGAGGCGTGTCGGAGGAGGGGGTGCCAAGGCGGGCGGTCGCAAGGTCTTCCCGGCCAATGAGGTCGAAGGCGGGGGCGGGCCAGTCGGGCGGGGGGGCTTCTCGGCAAGCGTATAGGGCCTGAACAAGGAGGCGTAAAATGTGAGCATGTTCAAAAGGTGGGCAGAGATGGCCTCATGACGAATAAATTTGCAGATACGAAGTTTGTAAGTAGAAAACCATGCAGCACAGGGCAGGAAGCAAGCAGCATTCAAAAGAGATGCCAATGTTGGAGAGCGCTCAGCTTCGCCACGAAAGCTAGCAAAGAGATGGGGGCCTTCAAATATACGATTGACTTGGGCATGCCTTTGCGGGTTTCTTGTATCCAGCTTATGTGGAGGCGAAACAGTCGAGTCAGCATGCGGCGACGGGAAAACAGATCGCCGGGTTTGAGAATCACCACACAGGTAAGGGTGACAAGATAACTCTTGGCGATTGGCAAGCAGGAATCTGGCTGTTACGGTAGCTCTCTGACGTCACTTCTGACGCACTTGTGTACGCCAAAATTCAAGACAACTTACGTGTCGGATGGGCAGTGCCACTCCGGACGGCAGTGTGTCCAAATCGGACAGCGCTATGCCCTCGGCGACCATCACGAGGACGACCGAGTGCGCGGCGCTCCTGGCTGTGCCACGTGTCACCTTCACGGGGATCTGGAACGCGGGGCTCTGACCGGCGCCGTGCACGTTCCGGAGGCTCTTTTCGGACACTAGGATGTCGTACAGTGCGAGGATCTGACGGGAGCGGCTGAGGGGGGAGGCGGCGGAGGACCTTAAAAGGTCGGGGAGCACTGTGCCAAAAGGCCTGTAGTGGAAAAGGGTGGTCAGAGGAACACATCAAGGTAAGGTAGACCAGGATCCCTGCACTTTGGTCAAGTGATTGCATTGCTGTGGGAAGGAAAAAGGGAATGGAATGACAAGCAGAGAGAAAATCACGAACGATGTAACATGAGACCAAGATCATAACCGGTTGGTGCTAATGTTATACTAGTTCTTGCTTGTCAGTGCTGATATCTTGCAGCTGAAAAGCGCCAAGTCGATTGTCGAAGCTCCAGTTGGCAACCGGCCATGGATAAGCCTAAGTAAGAACGGACGCCTCCGTCAGCAGCTCGAACAGACTGCCAGATAAGCAGATTCTCGAACGAGTCCGGACATCGGCCATCTTACAGACCTTGCTCTGCACACCCTCAGCTTCAGGCCACATTGTCGTAGTGCAAAAAGAATCTCAATCGCTGACCCGCTCTTTGCGGCTAAGTCTCCAAAGTAAGTTACACTCACCCCGCCTGCCCCGACCCCGAGGCTTCTCCCACAGTGTGAACACAATCCTCACTGCCACGTGGCTGCGCCAGCATGTCCCGCAACAGGCCGTGCAGATCCAGGGGCAAAAACGTGGAGTCCAGAACAGACGTAGGCGACGCCGGTTCCGGGCTGGGTAGAGAACTCCACTCGCGGGAGTAGTAGTCTTGGTAGTCGACGAGGGAGAGGCTGCCGGCGAGAGAGTGCAAGAGGGAAGCGAGCGGGAACAGGCTCCTGCAGAAGAATTATAGGATGTCAAGTTGCATGGTAGAGTCGCAGAGCGGTGTGACTTTGGGACCTAGGCTCCGGACGCTTGGGCACGGACGACGTGGCGCGATTTGGAGCGTTGGCGCCGTTAAGCCAAGCATAGATTGCGAAGGCCCCCAAAAAATGCCACGTCATCACTTCCGACCAGGTCTCCGATCTTGATCCTAAACCACTGATTTCTCCTTGACCCCGCTCATACAGGTCTTGATAAAAGGAGGGACGAGGTGGATTGCTGACCAATTCACGGGACTCCCCTTTGGCAAGACTTTCCAGTGATCGACGGTGGAACTGGCAGTCAATTCTGGACTTTCAATACCAAGCGGAATTCTCAAAAGGGAGTCTGTGCGAGTGGGCCGGCGGTCAGCTGCTGCAAGTGCTTTCCATCGACTCCTTTCGCCATCACGATGAGACTGAGCCCCGAGAGGAGAAGCAATTTTAAGCGACTGAGAAAGAAGCCCGCAATCAGTTTATACTGTTCAGGTGCGACGTTGATGATGCCAAATCGGATAGTCGCTCGAGGCAATCTACACCCATCCCGTGGATTCAGACTCTGGAAAGTCCACTTTGTAGATCCAACAATCTCCTTATTCTTCTTCTGAATGCTTGACCTGAGCCTGGCCCATCAAACATGAGGCAATCATTAAACCCTAAAACTCAAACCCCTGAAGCTCTAAATCACAAATCCTGCAGCGACTGACCTCCACTTGAGAGTGTCCAGCTTGAGGTCCTCATAGACTAGATGAAGAGCCTCGACGGCGCGGCGGACCACTGCCAGGTCAGCGTCCGGGCTACCAACACTGGGGAACGGCTCGGCAGCCAAGGGGGTGGCCGGCGATCTCGACGTTTCCTGGAGATACAGATCAGTTCTAGTTGAGAACGTCGTTGACGTTCTTGTTATTCAACTGGAGTTCGTGTGTTCTTAAAGCATGGCAAAAGCCGTCCGCGCTGAAGCCCACTCCCTTTTCCCTGCTCACTTCCCTTCTTGAACAGAATCTCCATAGTCTCCGTCCGATTGGAAGGCAGAGGAAGGGACACTTTTGAAAGGGTTACTTGAGGAGGAGAAGATAAGAGCAAAGAGGCCAGAGCAGAGCACTGCGGAACCACCTCGTAACAGCCGTCTGTGCTCCAGGTCATTTAAGGAGAAGAAAAAGAGTTGTTTTGTGAACGAGATGACTCCCTGGGTAGCCTTGCAGCGGCAGGCATGCCCAAAGAGCTCTTAATGTAAGGCGAATTCTCTTCTTACCTCGCCGTGAATCTGCAGCGGAAGCTCCAACGCCTCGTACGAGCCCCCCTCCAGAGTCGCTCTGTACAAATCGCTCTGCAGCAACAACTCCCAGTCGCTCTGCGCTTCGTCGTCCGACGATCTCCGGGACAACGTGCTCCCTTCCGACACTCCGCCAGCTTTTCTCCTGCTTTCCGCCCCCTTCTTAACCGACTTGACACTTTTCGCCTCCTTCTGGCCCGACTTGGCCCCCGGTGTCAACGCAACCACGCCCGTAACCCAGCCTCGAACCAGGCCTGCAAACGCTCCCCATTCCGCTTCCCCAAGGGATTCCGGGGATGGCTCAGAAGGCCCCCCCAGCAGGCGGCTGACAAAAGCCCACCGCAAGTCCAGTGGGAGAACTAGAGCTAGGGTCGTGAGGCACGCAGCCACGAGCGGTGATTCCGGAGCCGCTCTGACCGCCGTTCGAAGCACTAACCCGTCCGCAAACACAAGGTTAACCCTGTTCCCAACCGCGTCCCTCAGGTCCGCAACTTTCGGGGCCGCTGATGTCACAGGTGGCGTCACCACGGTCTCCTTGGCTTTTCTGGCAGGCGCACCTGACCGCCCGCGGCCCCCCCGAGAGGCCGAAGAACGCACGCTGATTTCGGGTGGCCGGTCGGCGGCGTTTCCGTCTGAGCTGCGGAGTGCGATGGAAGGGGCCGGAAGAGGGGGAGGGGCGCTGGTCGGGCTCGGGGGGGACAGCTGGCAGACGGCATATGCGCCCATGTGGAGCATAAGCGATCCGTCACGGGTGAGTAGAAGCAGGTCGAGCACTCTGCCTTGCGCCTCGGCCAACCTGGAGAGACGAAGGACGGGTTGTGAGCTGCCCATCTGCTCATTCAAGTGCATTCTCAGATCAAAAGTGTGTCGGTCAACGACCCCCTTGAACGTTGTGGAGCCAACTGCTGCTCAGGAACCTCATGCATGGAAAAGTTTGAGGCCCCAAACAAAGACTGACGGTTTCTGACGCAGACTATCTTTGTGGGATCCTGTGCGAATCCGAAACGTGTCAATTTATCTTGCTGCCCATACTCTTAGCGAAGAGGTTCGATTGTGATCTTCGACCTTCAGAAGTACCAAACGGTGAAAGAAAAAAACGTTCGGTCTTGAGATGAAAAGCTACAGCTTTTCCTGAACGGGAGATCGAAGAACATGGCGCTTTCGCTCAGCTCAGCAATCAAACAAAGCGCTCGCTTTTCCCTTTTTCTGCTCAAGGACAAAAGCAAGGCGAGTTGCGCTACATGACTCACTGCTTCCGCGACCCTTCCACCGCCTCTGCCGCCACGGCTGGCAGCACGCCCGCAACGGAAACGGACGCCCCTCCATCCCCACCGTCCGATCCAAATGGGCCCTCTTTCTCAGCGTCCGTTTCGGCCACCCGCAGCAGAACCAGGCTGCTCGTTTCCCGAATCAAAAGACAAAGCAGCCTCGTCCCCTCTTCGTCGTGAGCATACAGGGCTTTGGCGGCCCGCTTTCCATTTGAGGTCTGGGTCCAAATTCGGGTCAAGCTAGTTACAGGGGGATCTTCGATGGGGATAAGGTAGGCCGGGGTGGTTGAGTCTCGAGACGAGCTTGGAGGGGGAGTCGAGAGTGGGGAGGAAGTGTGGGGGTGTTGTGAGGGGACTGGGGCGGGGGGGTGGACTTTCCAGATGCTGTGGCGCTGGTTGACTGCAAAGGAGAAGCGTTTTGAGGTCTCGGTACGACGGTCTAATCTCGATAAAGAACGCATGCTTTTCAACGAAGTATTTCGATCCGACAAGCGCGCAGAAGCCATCGATGTACAGAAAAGCGACCATGTTCTGATGAGCGCCTTAACTTTCCGGAATTTTCTCATGCGATATGCCGCGGGCAGCCCACTTCTTAGGAGACAACCAAATCCTGAAAGACATGGCAACGTAGCAAGTGGAGAGTTTCTGGTAAGGAGACAGTATGACTTTGTGTTCGTCTTCGACGGGGCACATTCCTACTGCCACACCATCCCCGTATAACTTTCTTCTATTTTGAAAGGTGCCAGCGTCATTCTTGACAAAATTTGATATGGTCACCCTCCGCTTACCCGCATGGTGCGTGACTATGTAAGGCACCGTGCTGCTGCTCCATAAGACCGTTTCGTGGGGGTCGGCGAAGACTGCGTCTGATCCCGTACCAGCCCTGACGTGTACCCCCTGTCAGAAAAGCAGAAGGTTGTAAATGACAGCCCGAAACATGCGCTCCCTCGACAAGGAGTACACAGAGGGAACGGAACTCAAAAAGAAGAGAGAAGAGAAGAACGTGCGACTTGAACCCACCCTCGAAGCAAAATAAAAACAAAAAATAAAAATATAAATAAAAAAATCAAAAATTCATCCAAGACTGAACTACCAATCCCGGGTCCTCGATCCTTGCTTTCCAGACCTCTCTCCAACAAACAAAGTGCCATTTGTTTCTGATAACTCTGGTCAGCTTTTGTTGCAGCGTTCCAGTCTTTTCCTACATCGACTCCACTCCTGATTGGTAGTCCCAGGCGGGACCAAAACAGATGAACAGCCAAGCGGCACGAGTTTCTGAGTCAACCACTGACTTGCAAATCTTCCAGCGGGTGCAGCATCGACAGGAGAGTCGCCGAGCCTCCAGACGCTCCACTGGTCGAAGCGCCCCAACTCGGCCCAACGGATGCACCCCTACTGTATGTGTCCGGGGCTTGGTCTGAGGATACTTGCACCAGGAGACCATACGGAATTGGCCAGATGGCGGCTGGCTCGAAGTTGAAGGGGATGGTGTACGTGGCCCCTGCAGTAATCGTGGAAGGTTGGAGTTCGACCTTAACTTCTGTTGCGGGAAGTGTGCAACTGAGCTCTTGGACTCTACCACGACTTGATAATCATTCTACCAAGAGTCAACTTGACCCAATCCTGGTAGAAAGATGTTTTCGGGAGCCAAGGAGAGATGAAAGATACTTCGATTGGAGAAGCATGAGACTCCGCCGGCAACCAACTACAGAAAAGACAGCCGCACAAGCATTTGAAAGGCATGCAAGTATCCAACCAGCCTGGGTCCCCGGTGCGAGGGGCTTTGCTTCACAAATCGCAGAAGAGATTGGGTTTTCTCCTGACGTTCAAGCTTGTAGCAATAGGTATTTCTGATCCTGTTGATCCAACCGTCTTACTGATTGGATGAAGAAGCTTATCATACCCCAAAGCAGCACCTCGACTTACCCAGATACAGTTGAAAACAACTCTACTATTTGTCGCTTACCGGAGGATGAGTAAGTGATGATACAGTCAGCCAGTAGCAGTGCCAGCACGGGCTCATCATCTCCAGCTAGCAGGCACCAGGCGGCCTGGCAGAGGACCGAAGAGATCAGTCATTATAAGATAATTGAAGGTAAGAATTGGGTCTAGACAACTATACTGCTTCGAAATGAGCTCGGCGATAAGGAGGACAAAGGCAGCCCCGCAATCCCCTGCTCCGCGCTTGTTTTAATGATTTCACATAAAGTTGCTTGACAGATCACTAGAGTTTAAGACCATCGCAGCCAGTTGGCAGGGAAAGTGCTTGCTTTGAGGGCCTTGGAAGATTGCTTAAGATCCAGTGAGCAACCCCCGATGCATGGCGTTATCAAACCCGGTGGTACCGCTTGCATAAGCTGTTGAAATGCAGGTTCCTACATTCGCACGTTGAAGTTGAAATGGGGTAAAGCCAGCAGCGGAGCACAGTGCGGTCATAACGCAGCTGTAGCCAATTACGTGGCTACAGCAAGTACGGAACATGGAAAAGCTTGTCATTCACAAATTGGATTCCTTGAGAAAGGGTTAACCACTTTGTGGTGAGGTCCTATGCGTACCTGGCGGACGCTGCCAGGTGCAGTAAAGCGCTTCCTGATGTGGCGGCCCGCACTCCAGATAACTCTGTGACAGGGTGGCAGCAGGTGTTGGATTGCGATGGGAGGGTGGTGGGCTTCTTCCTAGCATAACTTATGCAAGGGGGTAATAACCTATGCAAGCAAAGTCTTAAGATGCTCTTGACGGTGCAGCTGAATTTGAAACAATGCGCCAGCACCGACAAGAAGGAACATGGAACATGGAACTTGCGTTCTGGTTGCACTTTGAAGAATTGTTCGTTGGGATTGAAATACTCGAAGCGCAGTCTAAGAGCTGTCAGTTAGTGCGGCTTTCCCAGCACTCCTACCGCTGCAGATAAGCAGAAAACCTCAACTGCGCATGATCAGACGTGCAATCTGAGATGGACAGCTTATAACCACCGATGAATGTGTCTCATTTACTAACTAAATACACCACCACCAATGCCACACTCACCGATTGCCTTTGACGTAAACCTCTGATTCGTGGCTTGGCAAAAAGTCACCCCCAATTGCGCTGCGTTTCTTAACCTCTGAGAGCAAGTAGGAGCTCGGATGTCCACTTCCAGCAGCATCTTGGGGCCGACTGGTGCGCTGGTCGCTGTCACTTGGGCCCAGAACAGCGCTCCCAAAGAGCTCAAATGCCCCCAATGAGATGAGCTCGCCCCGTTGGGCCATCTCAATGGGAATTCACTGGTCGCCCTCAGTGGAATTCAGCATCCTGGCCAGACATAGAGGTCGAATTCAGTGGCAGTGGGGTGCAAATACAACGTAGCATACTTGCCTGGGCGCCTTTGTGACGTTGAAGATCAGTTGAGAAGCAGTGGCAAGCACCCTCGCGAGAGAAGCAGTCAAGAGTCAAGCCCACCTTGCTCAAACCCTAAAATTGTTAGTATGTAAGTACGCCGCAAGCCAAAACTTAGAGCGACACAGAACCCTGAGTATCTGCTATTTTGTCGCCAGCAACGAAGTGCCTAGCTTGCGACCACATACAACCCTTAACCATCTTCGGTTGTCGCTGCGTTTTGTTGCAGTTGGATGCTGCATTGCAGATTGCACAAAACCACCACTGGCACCAGGCCCAAGACGTCTCGCCATGGTGGCGGCTGCCGGCGTTCCAACAAAACTTCTGCGGCAGGCACGTTGCCAAGCTGGTACGATAGAATCGCCCCACATAATTTTGTCATCAACCACAGGCCCTTACAACTGGGCATTTTTGACACCTGGTGGGAGTTGCAAAACTCAGCAACAAGCCAGAGCGCACAAAGAGCGTTTTGGTCAGAGACTGCCTTCTTCCTCACTTGTCCTAAGGCTGTCAACAGGTCAGGCGCCAGCTTTTGGAATTCTTCTGAGAGGGACAACGAATGCGAGGCTTCGAAAGAAAGCGGTCAACGCCTCGTTTCATGGGTTGGGGGGCCAAGGGAGTGGACCTGTGGATGCGAAGCAGCTTGTTGACGGGGGGAGAAAGCTGAATTCAGCTCCAGAGCTCTTGTTGAGTTCCAATGATGAAGGGTCTGCCCCAACAACCAAGGCCTGTGTCGAATGCAAGCGTGTGAAGCTTGCAGTTGACTTCGAGAACCTCCGGGGATTCCCAGGCGTGTTGAGGGATTATTGCCGTGCGTGCTGCGCTGTTATTCGGTTAAGGCGTGCCGGGGCGGAGCTTTACCATCTGGGGTTGAGCGTTGAAGATGCATGTGTTTCTGCTAAGACTTGCAAAAGATGCGGGCATACAAAGGAGCTCCGAGATTTTGGGAGGCATGCCAAAAGCAAGGGTGGGGTGAACACGAACTGCCGGGCTTGCTGCGTGTCTCGTACCTTAAGTGCGCAGCGTGCACACCCACTCCCCGTAAACACCGACCAGTGCTGCAGAGAATGCAAACAGGTCAAACCTGCGGAGAACTTTTACACTAACTTGTATTCACCAACCGGTCGTTTGTGTACTTGCAAATCTTGCTTGTCCAAGCGCAAGCTGGAGCGACGTCAGACGAATAAAGCATCTGGTCTGTCCCTAGAAGGGGGGGTGAAGACCTGCTACATCTTTCATATTACCAAGCCAGCAAGTGATTTCCAACGGTCATTGCAGAGCCTTGACGGTCTTACAGTATACTGTAAAGTGTGCAGAAAAACATACGATAAGCAGCTGAAGGTTTGATTAAGTAGGTGGCCAGGAGACCCAATTGCCTTCTAAATTAATTCTATGATCGAATCCTTAGGAAACAAGACGTGAGGTCTGCAGCCTAATTTGACGATGATTGATACATTTGGAGGCACTTATTCGAAAGTTGGACCTCCGATGGGGCGCGCATGTGCAGTGTCTGGACGTCTAGGTAGGATCGATCGAGCTGGGCGGATGCTTGAGAGTGCACACAATGGCCGGTGCTCTTACCAGAACCATTGACGCTGTCATTTGGCTTTCGATCCGGGGTCCTATAGTATGACCATGTGCGCACGCAATTAAGTGATAAGCTCGATCATTCAAAATGTCGGAATACTATACTGGCATCATGTGTATTATATGTTCTTTAGCTATCTAGATTTAGTATATGTGATAGCTCATGAGCGTTGGAGGGGCAGCTACTTGCACCAGGCTAATCAAAGTCGGAACAGATGTTAAGCACAGGGCAAATACTTGAAGTACAATGACACAAATTGACAGGCTGAGCTTGACTTGATCTCCCACACGGCCAGTCTGCAGCCGCAAACTCACATATAATAGATGATATTCTTAACGAGATTGAAGCTACATACATGGTACTACGGCTGTGCAGCCGCTGTTACAACCGCGACCCGTTGGTCGCACCGACATTGTAAAGCACAGATCCAGGCGGCCAGGTGATGAAGGAACATATTAACACTTCCGCCGTTGACTGGCTGACATGGTGCTTGAGAACTAGTCGACCTTCATTGCCATACTGATAACACGCCCTGCAAAAACCATGCTTGCACGCACACGGTATAACAACTATGACTGCTAGCTTCCGTTTCAAACTTGGACAAGTTCAGTTTGCTACTAAGGCATCCCCGCTGCTCGGCATCAACTCACGAGTGCTTCTCCCTGATCTCATTCACCGTGCATTCCTCCTCCCCTGAACTTCTTGGATCCGTTGGTAGTCGCCCCTCGTCCACGCACTTGCTGATGCGAGGTAAACGTTCCTTTACCGCCGACATCAGCCCGTGCAGTTCCGGCATAAACGGCGCCTCCTCTCGTGCTAGAAGCGGGCCGGCCCCCTCGGTAGATGCCCGAATCCCCTCTCCTTGACGGAGAGCTTCCCCGCCCCGGGCCTCCATACTCTCCTCTCCCCGAGCTCGATGGTCGACCTGCGAGAACGAGTGATGGGTTCAAGATGCTGGAGCAATGAGTCAGTACGACAACAGCCACGGGGGAAATCTGACGGGCGGGAAGCTTTGATCTTCTTCTGCTTGGGCCCAAATCTCCTCGGATGAAGTAAGTTTCGGTGGCTTGTCTGCACACATAGTGGTTCAGGATGATCGCAAACCTGTGTCCAGGGACTACGCTTGACCTGACGGTGCCTCTTAGCGGGAAAGCGTGACTATGCACACCGTTGATAATCGTCAGCGACGTGTTCACAACTCTGGGGAAGGCGTTCAATGTGCCGGAAGTTGTTTTGTCACGTCTTTTGAAGCATCGAATTTCGTTGTCAGCCACGCTACATACTCCGCAAATCACGGCTGATCCTGATGAGTCAATCTTTTGGTTTTGCGGTCATGAAAGGCACTGGTCAACCGACGGGCAGCCCTTGCACCTTCAAACCAATTCATAGCGCATCGCCCTCCATAAGCCCGGACAGGTGAACGGCACGAGCAAACGACTTGCCCGTACATCAAAACAGCGGCAGAGAAGCAGCATAGAAAGGGCTCTGCAATATGGCTACATGCTGAGAAAGACCGCAAGCATTGGTTCGAGGGCAACTATGATTGACTTTGTTTAGACCACGGCGTCCTTTTTTGGGCAGGTGAGATCAGCGTAGAAAATGCTCACCCCCCCGGGAGTGCCCCGCCCTCCCGCTCCCCCCCGGCCCAAGCATCGGTTCAACAGCAGATTGCAGTCGACTAAATTCAGACCGCAACGTCAAAATGGGGGGGTAAAGAACAGCGAAAATGCTCACCCCCCGGGGCTGTTCCCCGGCCTCCCACTGCCCCCCGGCCCAAACCAATGGCCCCGTGCCTTGGCAGCAGCCCCCAGTCGGAGCCCCTGCCCCGGCCCCGCCCGGAAGGAGGTGTTGGGTACCGCGACTTTGCAGAAGGACCGAGAAGGTCCAAGGGGTTCGGGGGTTTAGTTAGCGTAACCGTGCCGTAGGTTAGGCCCTCGGCGGAAAGGACGCAGGCGGCGGAGTAGAGGGACGCCTGGTAGATGACCGGGAGGGGGTCCCGGGGGTGCTTGATCTGCACAAGTACGAGAGCTGAGTGGCTAAAGGAAATGTAGACCCGTAAATACAACCCAAAACAACTTCTTAGGATTTGGACAGAAGTTTGCAGAAGTTATGTTCTCTAAGACATTCTTTCGGAAGGAGCGCAGAACGGAGAACGAGCGAATGGCGCTGGAGACGTTCAGGCAAGAAGATTGATATGACTGTAATTGGGTGGTAAGCGGAGCGTTTTTCAGCGTTTTGCACTGTTGCCAATCAACGATCCTGCGCATGAAGGGACACTATTGGTGAAGTTTCTCCATCTGGATTACATCGCAAAAGTGCTGACACATCGAAACTCCTAGCTTTCTGCTGAAAACGGAAGCATGGACTTCCTTTCAAAAATACGTGTTAGTCCAAAGGTCCAGAAACCAGATCGACCCTCGCTCTTGTTCGAATATCCGGTTCTTGCGGGAGTGTCTATTCCGAACGTCGATAATGGCCGATCCAGTAAAAGTCTCAAAACTCAAATCATTTGCGTATTACCCTCAATTTAACATTTCCGTTAGCCGCAACTAATACAACGCATCGCCCGCTGTTCACTATTGCAGTCCATCCAGTAGCAACACTGCTACTATCCATCACATTTACCTGTCGGAACGTCAAAGCTGGAATCCGATATCCATATTTCTGTAGCACAACAACACTGTCACATAACTCACCTTGAACGCAAACGTTGCCGCCAGACGCTCTCGTAAACAGTACAGCTGCGCGGCCTCGACGGCCGTCGTCTGGAATCTCAGCCACCGGTCCAGAACGACCGCCACCGGTTTTTCCGGCTGACTGAACAGCGCACTCCCGGGCTCCGGTTTCGGAGTTGGTCCCGCTTCTTCGTCATCCAAGTCGACTTCTACGTACTCCTGGGGGACCGGTTCTAAAGGCGCGACCGCCATTTCGGCGGCAAAGAGGACCAAGGCGTGGGGCTGGACGACGGTGCTCGCACGGATGTACCTGAGGGGAAGGGCACGGTGCAAATCTGTCAGAAACCTTTTGAATCGTTTCTGAAAAGGAGTGGAGGTTCGCTTCTGTCAAAACAGCCAAGAATGCCTGCTGTCCTGCCTAAGAACCAGAGAGCGTCAACTGTCGGTTCCGTCCGTCCATTCCAAAATCAGAGCTTGAAGATTAAGCGGTCGGGTCGGTGGTCAACACCCACGTGCGGAGATCCCTTGCGGTATGAGTTTTCAGAGGCCAATTTTGGGAAAGTACTGTGGTGAGCTATGAGCTATCTACTACATCACCTCCACACCGCACAGAGGCACGTTGGCAGCAGACAAGAAGGGAACGCCTTTAGTCGCAGAACCCCCAATTGGAGCGAAACCAGTCGAGTGAAACAGCTTTGTTTCCTGGACAGACACGAAGCGGAGCGAGACTTCGAACGAACGGAAAAGTTAGGGGCGACAGGAAAGGAAGCCGCTCACTGAAGGCCTGCCCGCGCTTGAAAATATTCTTTTCCGACAAACACGGAGAAAAGCGAGCGACAACTTGAAAAGATCCTTAAAAAAGGCAGAAGGCGACAGGAACAGAAGCGGCTCACATGAAGGACCCGTCGCGCGTGATCTTTCTCGTTCAGATGCACACGGACAGTGAGCAGAAATCCATAGGAACTTCAAAGAACTTTAGAAGAGTTTTCGACAGACGGAGCGCAACAGGGGGCGAAGCGGCTCACATGAAGGCCTCCCCACGCATGATCTCGTCGAAGACGAGCAGCGTAGATGCAGAACGCTCGTCCCCCAGGCGCGCGTTGCTGGTCAGCCGGTGGTTCACGCTGTTTGGATGGAGCCGCACCTTGTCGTTTCCTGCCGTGACGATGCTCGCCTTCCCCGTCGCGCCCTCGCGGGACGGCAGCAGACTGCCCACCAGAGGGTACATACCGGCTGGAGAAAGTATGGTACCGGAGTCACAACGGGTCTTTATGGTGGTGCAAGTGATACGCAAATCTTGAGAAGATTCGATAATCTACTCAAGATTATCGAATGTGACACTTGCGTAGGCTCAAGTCTGCCTTGTGGACGCAGCAGGACGGCAGCAGACCGCCGATCACAGGGTACATACCGGCTGCAACGGGCGGTACCGAAGGTTCACTCCGAAGTGGGCGTTCTACTTGGAACAGCATTTCGCGTTTCCAGGTTCCGACAGCGACTGCTGCGATTCGTCGTGAATGGCCGCACAGCGCGCTCTGATTCAACTCAGAAGCAGATTTACTAAGACACTCTTAGCCTGGCAGGTTGCTCGCCCGGAAGAGCTATGTCTTCAGAGCCAAGACTGTTAAGGCCAATTGGAGGACATGGACATGTATGCAGTTTCAGTAAGGGGCCAAGCCTGACGATGCAATCCTTCAACCACTCGTGAAACCTCACACGATAACCCTGGTTTTCTTCCATTGTCAAACTCGCACGAGCTATTGCTTGATGCGGGTAGGTTCAAAATAATGCAACCGACCGGGAAGCATGGCTGTATAAGAGGGTAAGTGCCAAGGGACAGGAACCCGCCTTGTGAGACCCAGCGCCTCGACATCCTGTTCAGACCAAATGTTTTTAATATCCAAGCTGAGATGAGAGAGCGCCGCTTGCCTGCCAGCACGGCACGGACGAGGCCCGGGTCTCTCGCGTTGGCACTGCATGGCACCGCTTCCCCCTGCCGGCTCTTGGGGATGAACCCGCGCTGTGCTAATTCGGACTGCAGCTGCTGCCGCATGCCCTAAACAGAAAAACGAAGTTCAATGTGGAAACAGTGTTTCTGATTACTAAACAAGAAGGAGCACGGATGTCCTTTCGGCGGCTCCATTCAAAATGCCTTCAAAAAATTGGGTCAACTTTCTACAAACCTGGAAGCCGGCCGAAACGATCTAGAACGAGCCACAGTCACAGCGCCAATCACCAGAAACGCTGAATACTAGGGGGGAAGCGTCGGGCAGATCTCGGTCGGACCTCTGATACAAACGAACTCTTAGGTTGTTTGACAACGTCACAAGTCGTCTGTTTGACGGCCTTACAAGTTGTTTAGTACGGTCAGATGTAGGATCCTAAATGCACGCAAAACGCTTTTCACGTGCCTCCCCACCTATCAGCCTTCGCGACTCATCCAACCGTTCAGTTAAAACCCTGTTCCGTTTCCGTTCCGGGACCCTCACCTGCAGCATGTTCATGGTACCGCCGTTGATGAAGAAACGGTCGCAGAACTCCTTTTCGCAGCCGCTATCCTTGGCCGCCCGCCATCCTTCAAACGCAGCGATAAGCGCCAAATGGTCGCTACCACCGCCGTAGCTCTCCGTCAGGATGAACTTTCCGCCAGCGGCTTTTCGTCTCTGTAAACACAAAAACCCTCGAACGCTGTGGTGGGCTCAAGTTGGCAGCATAAGCAGCAAATGAATGCAGAAAGTGAGCCTTTGATTTTCATTTTTCGCATGAGGAGACGATGAAACCCGTGCGGCCTCAGCTTTTACAATCCTTTAATGTCCACATTCACGGAGCTGACGCTACCGGAACAAGCCCCACTTTCCTTCCCTCCTTCGCGGACCGTTCATGGGTTCAACCCGCTTGTTTCTCACTCAACCGCTCGCAGAAGCAATCTTACGGCTCCATGGAGACCGGAACAGACAGCACTTGTCATCAGCGCCCCAAAGTGCTTCGAAGCGTTTTAGGCCTGAGCCGTTTAGTGATGACCAGCCCCAAACATCCTGCTCTGGTAATCAACGATAACGTTATCATTTTGCCTCTTCGACATGCAAGTGGAAGGGTTTCTAAAGCGGTACGGACCTGCTCGAGTGTGACCGGTAGCACAAAGGGGTCCCGGTAGGATGCCCCGCACGCGACCGTCAGCGCTGGATCGAGACAGTCGAACAGAATCGCGTGCAGCAGCATCTTAGCGGTGGTTGGGCTCAGTGGCAGGCTCGCCAGATGAAGTCCAAGCCGCGTCAGGCTTTCGTCAGCACCGAGTGCGCCGATGTCGTGGAGAAGGGCGACCGCGTTGGCCACAGACTGCGGTGAGGAGGAGGCTTCAAAGCGTCAATTTTCCGGACCAGAGTTTTGAGTGTACATCCGAGCGGCGTCAGGCTTTCGTCAGCACCCAGTGCGCCGAATGTTGTGAAGAAGCGCGACCGCGTTGACGATGGTGGGAAGATGGCCTCTATGTGTTGGTATATCGCCCGGGCTTGGAATTTTGGCGACCAGGATGTTGAATACGGATCCAAGCCTGGTCGGGCTTACGACAGCACCGAGCGCGCCAATGTCATGGAGCAGCGCGATCGCATTGGCGACAGACAGTGACGGGGACGAGAGCGTCTTCAGCTGTCCAGTTTTTCATCGAAGCTCGAGGCTCCTGAGACTCTCTCAATGAGTGATGAACAATTTCTATTTAAGATTGGAAACAAGAACCCTCCAAAACGAGGCTCCTCTTCTAGAACAAGAAAATAATTGGTGCACGTCGAAAGATCCACTCTACGCCCGGCGTATGCTTTTCTTCCCTGGGTGAAAGTGACGTGGGCCCTCGTCTAGAATTCCAGATTCCAAACCTCTTCTCTCGCTGCGCACCTGTTCGTTGGGAGGCTCCACCGCTTTCTTGAGGAATTCCTGGATGGTCACGTTTGGGTCCAGTAGCTTGACCTGCGAGTCAAGGATAAAGACTGTTCAGAACTTCGACTCGAACGCAAAACTTGTGACTCCCACGCACCGTTTTCAAGGGCTTTGAAACGCCGGTCGCTAGCCGACGTCGCAGTCTATTCGCTAGAGCTTCTTTCTTCAGTTGTGTGGATCTGTGCAATCTCACATCCACGCGCAAGTCTTTTCCATAGTTCAAAACCGCAGGGTTCATCTCTTTTCGCGCACGTCTGTGCGGCCGTTCCTGGGCGTGGCTTTGTACACATCCGAATATCTTTCAGCCGCCAAAATGTTGTTTGAAGTACTGTGATAGAGCTGCAAGATTTTTGGACGGGGGAGGTGCGACCACTCGGTTTGATTATAGCAGCTGTAAGGGCCTCGAAGCTACTGGATACATATGTTTAGCCTTACCTGCAACCCTAGCTCGTCGAGAGGAGTCCTTTTGAGCTCCGGTACTTGGAACTCGAGCATGGCCGCGTGCCGCGCTTTGGAGAACAGGTGGTAGCACACACCTGAGAAGAGTGAGAAAGGATTAAGAACAACCCTCGTACAGCTTCTTTGCAAGCTTGGAGATTCCTGAAGCAAGGGCCGAGTTTCGCATATGCAGCTGATATACCTGATTGGTCTTGAAGGGCATTTGGACGCGGGTTAGAAACAAAACAGGCGTAGGCGATTTCGTGCTGGATCCAGGCCATCCCTTTTTCTCCCGCGCTTGAACGCTCCTGTCAGCATACACATGTCTCTTGCACATCCGATCAAGCTGAAAAAAAAGAAAAGAACGTCTATCCAAGCTAATACACCAACTTTTCCAAAATCCTGAATTAGACCCCTGCATTACAAAACTTTAAACAACCGCTTAACCCCACCTGCCCGCACTCGCCCCGCCCGCCCCTCCCGCTGCCGCGCGCTCGCCTTCGAGATCCATCCGCACTGAAGGGTCGACACGTTGGTGAACGGGTCGTAGCTCTTCTCCTTGACCTTCCCGGAATCGATAACGTAGACCACGTCATCGATCGTGATGGCGGTCTCCGCAATATTGGTCGCCAGCACGATCTTGCGCGTGCCGGCGGGCGGGCGGGTAAACACTTTCTTCTGGTCGGCGACTGGGACCTGGGGACACGGGACGGTCCAGTGTCAAGAGGCATTTCCTTGTCACAAAATATGATTAGCAACGTTCGGAACGGGACAAAAGGTAGCTGCTTATGGCCGTGCCTCCGACTCAGGTCAGGAGGTGTCGTGTCGTCGTGTCAGGAGCTCGTGTCAATGTGTGCAGCGCTTCTAAGATTGAGAAGAAACGAATGACGAAAGATCGGTTAAATCTTGAAATGAGAACTATATAAGAGGGAAGCAGCAGAGCATACTATGCGATTGTGCTTGAGGATGGCTAATCCACTTTAGAAAGGCGAGGGCGCCACGTCACAGAAAGTGGCAAAGCAAGTTGAGGAAGTCACAAGGAAGAAAAGTGAGGAGACGGGAAGGCCTGTTGGACGAGAGCCGGCGAAACGGGTGTCGAGAAGTAAAGGCGGAGCGGGAAACGGCAAGAGACGATGCGCAGTTCGTGAAGAGCACGTTGGCAGCATGGGACGCCGAAGTGGCAGTGTTGAGAGGCGGAGTGGAAAACTTTGCTCTCACCATAGAGTGCAGCGGCAGCACGCGGAAGCGCGAGTCATCTTTGAAGATCGGCGACGCGGCCAGCTTGTCCCGCAGGTTCGTGATCTCCTCCCAGCCCGGCAGGAAAACTAGAACGGCGCCGTCGTCCGAGTTGCGTCCGTCGCCAGCGTCCGCGTAGCTGCGCTCCTGGCCGTTCGGACGGCAAATGTACGCCAGCACCTGTACGCGAAGGAGGAGGTCGATATCGTGATTTAGCAGGCTTTCAAAGGGATTGGTACAATTTTGTTCAATGACAATATATGTGGTAAACAGAACCGCTTTTCGATGATGTCACTCGTCAAGACGATAGAGCACGCGGACAGGCGTCGAGAGACATCTGGGAGTGTCAGCCACTGTCTAATAAAGCCATTCTCGCCAGGACTGTAGCCAAGTCGAAACGACTCTGTCTGTCAGATAGATCGAATTGCTGTACACGAAGTTGCTTCTCTTTCTCTACGTGAGGCCCCTCCTCCAACACCTAGCAGTGCTAGAGTAGTTCTCGCCCTCACTGCATCAACGTGATCCTTCTCTTCATCACATCTTTGGACAACAGGTAGAACAATAGATCATCCTACAGAACGCAGAGTTTCAAAGACATCCTTCAAATGGATTACTGTCCGCTTCATCCTCTTTACAAAACCGTAGACTTGTTTCTCCAGGCATAACCCTGACATAATTTCGTGGGTTTCCTTGACCCCTCACCTGCTGAATCAAATTCAGGTCCACTTCTTCGACATCCACTCCCGCCTGGTACTTTCGCAGCACCGCCGCTTCCACGTCCTTTTCCTTGCTCGCCTCTAGTTTCTCCTCATGCTTCTGAACCGTTTCCACAATTTCTGGAAATCCAAAATTCTCCGCCCACTCGGCCGCCGTCGCGCCATCCCACGACGCCAGGTTTGCGTCCGCGCCTAGTTCCAACAACATCGCCACGTCATCCACCCGCCCCTTCCCGGCCGCGACCATCAGCGGCGACGCGCCCGTCTCGCTATGCTGAAAGTTGACCAATAGCTTATTGGCGCCGCGGTCGCCGTATGCGACGAGCTCCATAAGCGGCTCGAAGTCGGCGTCCATCCAGGCACGTGCCAGGGCGTCGTCCATAGCGTATCGGTCCTCGTCGGAGAGGCGGTTAATGTCCAAAGCGGGGTCGGTTTGCAGGGTCTGCGCGTGCTGCTCTGCGAAGCCGGTCATAGTGAGGACGTCTTCCAGGAAGTAGCTTTTCACCTGGAAGAGACGACATATATCGTTCAGTCGTTCCGCCGTAACTTCGTCCATCACTCTCTGGATCGGAGAAGACCAGCAGGCAAGGACGAATGAAAAGCTTGAGGGCGCTTCCAAGCACTATAAGCTGGACGGCGATCCGTTAGGAGGTATATACTGTGGCATGATCTTCTCCACTTTGATACATTGAGGCGCCTAGTGCCACAGCGAATGTTTAAGAAGTGGCGACAGGTAAATGCGGATGAAGAAGGATACATCGACCGTTTGATTCAAATTTTGTGCTCGTGGACTAAAACAACTTCTCTTCATTAAGCCAGTCATGACTCGGCGGCTAAACGTAAAAGAAAGACGAAGCATGGACAAACTTTCCCCTATGGCCACTGTGGACAGTCGCGGCAGGCGCCAGTTCGTGTTTTGACCGGACAACGAACTGTCTACAACCCCGTAAGGGATAAGGAACAAAGGCGAAACGCCATAAAAAATTGGAAAAAGACTCACCGGGTGTGTGAACCCTGGGACCGTGATGACGGGGCACCCCCCAAAGTAGCCCGCAAACAGATCCGCGTTGAGCGTCGCGCTCATGAGCACTAGCCGCAAGTCCGGCCGCTTCGGCAGAATGTCCCTCAGAATGATCAGCACGAAATCCGCAAACTTGTCCCGCTCGTGGATCTCGTCCACGACGATGTGCGTCGCGTCGATGTCGACCTCGTTTTCCGCCTCTAGTTCCTCCACGGCCTTTTTGCGTGCCGCCCCCGTGAGTTTCCGCAGCAGAATGCCGTTCGTGCAGAACATCAGGGAGGAGTTTGGGCCCCCGACTGTGTCTAACCGGATCTGATAACCCACGGTTCCCCCGAGCGCCTCCCCCCGTTCGTTTGCCACGCGCTCGGCGACCGTCATTGCCGAGATGCGCCTTGGCTGAGTGCACAGAATCTTGCACGGTCGCCCTTTCTCCCAGCACGAATCGAGTAGGAACTGCGGCACCTGCGTCGTTTTTCCACACCCTGTCTCGCCCGCGATCAGAACCACCTGGTTATTGTTAACCGCTTCGGTTATCACGTCCTTGAACCCTGCGATTGGGAGCTTCTCGCGGAGCGCCATGATCTGCCGCAAGCTCGCGTCCCCTTTGAGGCGTCTCTGAAGGGCGGAGAACTGGCTCGTGACGTCGGCTGATGTCATGGGGGGCGGACGGCTCTGGACCCGGCGCTCGGGGGCGTATGGTCCCTCGGCCTCGACCCGTCCGGAGGCGACACCTGGCGGGCCCTCGCCCATTGCTGCATCAAGCTCTTCCTGCCACATAAAGATTACGCAAAGCGGAGTCAGAATATATCAACCCCTTAATCACCGACCAACTCGGCATCTTTGCAAGACGATGTTTCGGGCTGAAGTTGAAGACAAACGAACCCACTCCTCAGGAGAAGCCGGAATGTGCTCCGTCCCTTGTGTACACTTGCAAAAGAGACGCTGCGAAGGTTGCCGTTGCAATTGATGTTCTACTTCAGAAGTAGGGAAAGCGCTAAAGAGAATGCGAACGGGCGACCTCTCAATCTATCTCGTTGTTTCATGAACACGTGCGGAGGAATGCGGAGGAATCCCCACCACCTCCTATATTCTCGCCCAGTCCTTCACCAGATGGGTTTTGTAAGACGGGTCAGTCTCCATCACAGGAACGTGAAGCGGCTTGTTTTGCAAGGACAGAACATGAGAATTCGCGTGGGCCGGGTGCGAAGCGCTGACCTGTGTTGGGGGAAAGTTCATGAAGAGCTCCAGCATGGCCGCCTGAGACTGGATGCTGAACGGGAGCTGCGTGGCCGAGCGACTGACTGCGACGGCTTTTGGTTTGAAAACAGTAACCCGCCGGTCAGCACCAGTACTGCACGAGGAAGCGGTGGTGTCCTGAGCTATGAACTGATTCTTGGGTCTGGCCGATCCTGCGACTTTTGGATTGTTGCTGACCTGACCAATTCATTTGCTAGAATGTAGAAAAGGATTTGGGATACAGTTAATTGGACAAACTTATCGAGAAAGAATGCTACTTGGGGGCCAGCCATAAAGTTGACCTGCTCTGAGAAACTTGATGCCAGTACTGCTTCAACTGAACAAGACTGAATCATTGAGATCTCCTTGAGTCTGAATAGAAACGCTGACGCAGACATGCCACACCAGGAAAACCACTCTATCCCTTCGGCTTGAGCTGGGCTTTTGTGTGTAGACAGGAGGTATAGACGAGGTTCGAGTATGTCCAGGCAAACAGATATACCACTTCTGCATCAACATTCTGCCACCTGCTACCATTGAATCAGCCAAGACAAGGTCAAATATTCTTATATCCCTCTCAGAACAAACTTCAACACAACAAAAAAGTTGAGGTGTGTGTCCATCCCTGGTGCCACTTACCCGTAGCTCTTGGATTTCAGTCCATACTTCTGGCTCAGGTTATGGACAATGGCCCGATCGTGGTTGCTCAGACCTGCCTCAAATGTGTACTCTGCAAGCGAACGAGTATACTCTTCAGCAAGGTGAAATGCAGTTTGCCTGGTGGACAATCTTGTGTTCCCATGGTGGGGCTATCAGTTCGGCTCAAGCATTGGGAACATGTGTTTGACCGCTTAAATGCGAGAGCTTGCCTTTGATTAGAATAATCGACCAGGGGCACGAAACTCAAAAAGGCCCCAGAAACTAGTTGAGAAAAGCCAAACTCAACATCCTCAATTAAAGTGTCATCTAAGAAGCTTTCAGTGTGAACTCCTATCACCCCTCATGTTGATATGACCGTGCTTCAGGTAGACAATCACAGCTCCGGTTTCTCAGTAGCTGTATCAGATTCTAAAAGGACGTTGGGATTAGATTTCAAAAAGACATTTGATGGAACAGACTCAAGTCAGACGACTTCTATCGGGTTCAGGCTTGCTCTTTCCGCCTTTTGCCTCCCAAGCCAAGTGACAGGAAACGCTAAGAATGACTTTTATCTGGTGCACTGGTACGCAAGAAGCATGTAATGTAAGTGCAAACTTCCTTTAAGCAACTGCAACCTCCAAACCCGTACCTGTATCGGTGCTCTCCCGAAACTTCTCCACCTGATCTGCAATGCTGATGCGGCTCTCCTCCGACACCGGACGCATGCCGGGCGCCATGCCGCCACGTCCGCGCCCCCGCCCGTTACGCCCCCCCCCCGGTCTTGCATGCTTGCAATGACAACTTGCGCGAATGTGTATCGCAACCGAACTTTGCTGTGTGCGTGTCTATGTGCTACTGTTATGTGCACCTCCCTGGCTATCTTCCAAAGAGAGGGGTTCACATGAGAGGGAGCTGTCGTTATGCTAGGCTATGTTAGGAGCTGGAGAGCAGCGACTCCCCTTGCATGACACAACAAGTATTGAGCAGCAGTGATTCCTGCGCCCAAGGCCCAGACGCACAGGGAATGTTGTGGCTGGCCGCCTTTCTGCCAGTACTTTTCCCCACCTTTTCCCCTGGCAAAATGCGGTCCAGACAGGGACTCTGTGCGTCAGTGTCACGTTGTGTCAACAACGAAGGCCGTCATCTGGTGATCAGTTTCATGAGCAGGTCCTTCTCTTATAATAGTTACCTACCTATATAGAATTTACCTCGCAATATTCCACACAAAAACTCGCCGGGAATGGGGGTCTAGAATCTTTGACCATGGCATAGGCCCTGCTTGCCGAAAGGCGGTAGCCGCTATCTCATGAAAGTACGTACATGGAGAAACAAATTCCCCCTGTTTTAGGGGATTTGTTTTGAGGACGTACACCGTACACGTATCGAAGTCGCTCCTGTTCAGGGCGCGCTAGCGCTGGTGCCAGCATGCACGCATCAAGCAACCACCATCTGCTGGAGAACCCTTCATGATGCCATTGGCAGATCTTGCAGCTTTCTACCTGCGGTAGCTTCTTTTGTGGTCTCCTTGCAAACCACATTCAGGCCCATTCGCTGTGATTTTGCAGACCACAGTAGCATCAACAGAAGCGCCACCGCAAGCAAGTGCTAACCTTTGTCCACAGACTCCTGCAGGTGGAACTTAGGGTTTGGCAGCAGCTCATTCGGAAAGGTTAGGGCATGTGAAGGAATGCAGTCGCTCGGAAATAGCGGAATGCTGACCGTCCAGCTGGCTCTGCGGGCAGATGACAAGCTGCGGGACCGGAAAGAGGTAGGGAAGTGCAAGACGAGGTGCGAAGGAATCCATGGTTGAGTCTAGATGACTATCGTTCAGCAATGCAAGTTCTGGATAACAGCGTCAGGGCTGTGGGCTCAGATGGGCGAAGGAACTGGTCAAGCTTAACACAACTTGATTCGAAGTGACGTGGTTACAACATGTAATCAGGATCTCAACGTAGTTCTGTGTGAAAGAGTTGGCCATTCAATAGTCAAGTGCACCTTTCAAGCCGCCAAGCTTGAAAGCAATCACCGAAAGCATCTTGAAATGCTTCGGAGTTGCTTGAAGACTCAAACACCCAATCTGGTGTTACTACAGGCCTTGTTGAACGAGAGGAAGCTTTCCATGGCTGTCAATCTGGCCAGCTCCTCCCCAGACAGCAGCACAGCATTCGTGGAAAAGCTTCTTTGCGCGGAGCGGATCCTCCAACTCAATGAGGTGAGTACAGAAGACAAAGTCTATCCTTGAAGACATGGCACAAGAGAAGTTGTCTCGTTGGGCTTGTTCCAAAACATGCTCTTGAGATACTGATCAAAGAAGTCAACAACACATACTTTCTGAAAGCTAGATAGACACACGGTTTTCTTGGAAGAATGTTGCTTGCCTACTGTATCTGCACCACTTGGACCATCTGGCAAACCGGTTCCCTTTCACTTCCTCATACGAAAGAAGTGTAGACTGTGTCAAATTTTGCAAATGAATCAAATACTATCCGCGCTTAGCTCCCTTGGGAAACCTACAAGAGGTAGCCCCTGGGCAAAAAAGCGAGAACCATCAGCGAAAGGAACAAGCCTAAAGAAAAACAAGCCTAAAAAGGTGCTTGTTTGTCCTCTCAGGATGAACTGTACTTCGTCGAAGATGGTTCGACAGGGCCTTACTCCCCAAGAAACGAGCTCGAGGCGCTGTACCATCTCCATCAGCTCCTTACCCCCTCTCAAAACCCCATCACTAACCAGAGCTTAGAACCTGGAACCTCTTCCAATGACGAACTCAGTACCCCCATCTCTCAGCAGAGCACTAGTCCTTCTTCTCAAATGTTGCAAAGCCTGGAGAATCAGGACAGTAATACAGGAATAAGGGAGGCAGCCAAAGATGAGGTTGTGAGGCGGCTCATGGCTTATGGCGGTGATAAGCCGGTGGAGGCGGGGGAACGGTGTACAGGATCAGCAGAGCAAGAGCTCTTAACGTGGGCGGAGCGGAATGGCGTTGTCAGCAACGTGGAGCCAGCAGGTTCGACCTACCAACTTACTTCCTCATTTCTATTGTCGTTCATTCTGCTTTCATCTTTTCACCGGGACCCTTTGGGTCAATCTCGAGTCATCTCCATGTCTCACTTTGAATGTTCTGTGGAACGATTCTAAAGGCTTTCGAAGAAAAGAAGAAGGACCTCTGGAGCTTCACGCGGCAACTTTCTCTACTGAACTTCCAGCTTTTTTTATCATTTCCATAAACCCCCGCTTGTATTTTGTCTGTGAGTGACTAATCCAATCCTGGGGAAGCCCAGGACCACAAACTGAATCCTAGCTCACAAGCCCGCCAACATACTGTGAGCATCACCTTGGACCAAACCAATCTGACACCCAGCGTTAACGTCCTTGTGCCAGTCTTTCCAAGCACGGGCCGGGGTGCCGTCGCCACTGCTGACGTCGCAGTGGGCGAGACGGTTCTTGAGGTTCCAGAGACGATGATAATCTCACCTCTGACGGCAATGGAATCGGACATGGTGAGGACAGGAAAGAACGATTGGCTTTCGTAGGACAGCGATCTTACAGGGAGGACGTGGACAATCTCCAAGAACTTTCCTTGTCCAAACAGATTGTCGAGCACAGGAGGGTAGGAAAAAGTCGGTCCGAATAATCAATTGGGGACGAGCGGATTTTCCATTTGAAGAGCATTAGCAAAGCAGGCCGTTGTAACTGCCGTTTCTGAAAAAGGGGACTCAGAAACGAATTAGTTTAGCAGTTGATCACGTTAGAAGACATTTAAACGTCCCCTTCCAAGTATTGAAGTGCCGTCCAACCTTTCTGCATTGACAAATCCTTTTGTCCGCTCTCCTAATTGTAGTCTTTTCTGTCAAAGGCAGGCTTCTGCAGTCTGTGCGCTTTTAAAGGGTCAATCTTACCCCCGCTCATATGAACAGCATAAATATTGAACCCCTTTTTTCGCGATGCTCCCCCAAACAGGCGGACGCGTTCTCACGAGTCCCAGACTTGGACGAGGACACCGCAGCCTTGCTTTGGAGCATGCGTGAGCGCCATGTGTCAAGCTCCCGTTGGGCGCCCTTCTTCCGCTCGCTGCCGGAAGCCTTTCACACCGGGCTCAGCTTCAGCACCGCTACGATTGACGAGCTCGAGGATACCCCCGCGTTCGAGGGGCTGCTCGCAGCGCAGCAAGTGAGGTTCCACCGGAGTGGCTAAGTTTCAAACGTTGGGTATCTAGCTACGTCCCAGCTCCTCCGAATAGAGCAAAACGAAATTAAGGTTCGATCGAGAAGGACACTTTGTACTTGCAATCAGGCCACACTAACAGAGACGAGAGGGAGTGGAAGGGCGCATTGGCACAAGGTTGAGTTGAAAGATCCTGACCAATTTTGAGAAAACATCTCTGACTTTCACGTCATCATTAGGCATCGACTTCGGCATCTAATAAGTCCCGAAAGTGTGCAAAGAAAGAATACTGACCGCGCTTTTCATATGAAGGATCAATCTAACAAGCCCGCTTGTTCGCGGTGCCTGCAGTCTGCCAGTACCACTCTGTTTGTCTTCACCACGAGTCTTCCCGCCTCTCCTCTTTCTCTTCGACGACAAGCGTTTTGCAGGCACGCCCATGCCCTGTTCAAACTCTTACCGTCGAAACGCAACTTCTTCTTTGCAGCACCTCCGGTCCCAGTACGCCGCTCTCTTCCCCGCCCTCACCAACGCCTTCCCGACAGTTTTGCCCGCCTCTAGTTTCACCTGGGACGAGTTCCTTTGGGCCTCGGAGCTGTGGTACAGTTACGGGATCAAAGTGCAGTTCTCGGACGGGCGGGTCCGCACTGCGCTGGTGCCGCTCGTCTGTCTGCTGAATCATGCGGTGAGCTGAAGGATTACTTCAGCGGATCATCAACGTCTTCTGTTGGATCCCAGTGAAGCTGTCTGTCTGGTTCGGAGTTTGATGTGGGTTTAGGGTTCCGTGTCGTCTTTGGTCGGCAGTTGACTACTTCGGCTCCGCCGACCTTCCCGGCACAAACACGGTCAGGTCTTGGCGCTTCCGTGCATCTCGCCTTTATCTCGAAGCATGCTGAGCTTTGTCCTAACACCGTCGTACCTGTGCACCGTTTCTCAAAACCCCACCAGAGCTTAGGTCTTCAAGCTGGCCTCGAACGATCTTTTCAGACCTTTGTTCCCGTCAACCCTCCTAACCCTCGGCTTCTTACTTAACCCGCCGTTCCTAACCGCCACCTAACTCCGGATTTGCAGGTCAGTCCACACGTAACCCACTTCAGCCGGGTTGACCCGCAAACCCGCACGCTGCGCCTGCCCGCCGCACGCCCCTGCCCCGCAGGCGCGCAATGCTTCCTCAGCTATGGCCCCCTCCAGTCAACCGACCTGCTGACGTTTTACGGGTTCACGGTGGATGACAACCCGTACGACGCAATCCAAATGGGTGAGCTCAGTGACGTCAGCCTTGTTTTCGCCATATCGCGGGTTTGGTCCGAGGAGCCGAGTGGCTAACGGTCTCGAGCGCTCCGATGCCGGTTTCTGAGCAGCTAAGGTACCCGATAGGTGAAGATTGGATTTGTCACCGGCGCGAATTGTCTATAGCGTCAGGCGGCCAAATCCGATGTCGATAAGCGATACGTGGAAAGACGGAGAAGGGGGACAAAGTACACCAACCCGAATGCAGCTCAAACATCAGCATGTATTAGCGCCCTCGTCTTGGGTTTCGTCCATTTCGGGGAGCTCTTGCTCCACACCGCAGCACTGCGTTGCTGACTTGCTAGTCAGATTTTTGTGTGATTTTCGGTTTCCTCCAGCTTACCCGCAGATCTTTGGAGGCTGATTAGAGGTCTTTCGATCAGCACAGATGTTCCCGCTAAATTGCCAAGTTTTCTTGGGCTCCGTTCTACAACCCCTTTCTTTGCCTACCCACTTTCCTTTCTAGACATGAAGCTGGATAATGATCCATTCTAGATCTGTCCCGATCGTAAAAGCTCCCGCAATGTGTCCATATTTGTTGACCGTACCCAAAAGTCTAACGAACTTCTCTTAAAATTTCAGACAAAATTCCTAAGACTCTTCGTCTTTCTCTCCCACCAGACTTGGAACTGCCCGAGGACGACCTGCTGCCTGCGAAGCAGGCCCTGTTGACGGCTCGCGGCCTAGGCCTGCCACTCTTTGTGACGGCCGCAGGAGTCCCTTCACGGTTGTACGGGGCCCTCCGAGTTCTCCTGATGGACGAACAGGAGCTCGAAGTGTTCAAAGGAGATCCGAGGCGCGAGAAGGTAAGAGTCGAGGGAAGGTCGTTCTGAGACATGACGCAAAGGAACGATTTTATAGAAGATTGGTTTTGAACCATGTCAAATTGGACGAGAACCTACTCACTGACGATTTGGGGGGACTTGATTAGAAAATGTTCGGAGAAGAAATGTGGAATTTGCTTCGAGTGCGCAGAAGAGCAGGTTTAAGAGGGGTCGTAAGAACACTTATTTGGTCTAGTTTCGTAAAGTTGTCCTCGTGTACATGTCTGGCGCTTGAGTGTCAAGCAGTCCCTGTGGCGTTATGAGCGTGACGGCCTGTTTGGAAGATTCCTCGGTAGCTGACTGCTTCGCACAATTTTTATGGACCGATAAGGCTTGATCTGGTCAAGTGAACCGAAAGCCGGTATGATGTGACGAGCATTTTTCAAGTTCTTGAAGAATTGTTGCATTCTAGCCAAGCAAAACAAGACGGATGCAGACTTCCTTGCACTGCAGCTGTGTCTAGGAGCAGGCTCCGCCTTTGGCTACGCTCATCATTATCGTGCCGGCCAATTGGTAGTGCCTGAGCGACTGAAACCTCATTTTGTTCCCGCATCGTGATCCAGCTAACGGTAAGCTGCCACTTTGTGCAGATAAGCGATGCGAACGAACTGGCGATGGGGGCTACCTTCCTTGGAACTATCGATGCGCTTTTGGCTTTGGGCCAACGACTTAGAGAGGCGAATCTAAACGGCGACACCGACGAAATGGAAGGCAACGACTGTCGGGAAAGTAAAGGCGGAATTAGAGGCATTGGTGGGCAGACGGAGAATGTGCCTCCGTCCGAAGAAGGTTCTCATGAGAGAGGGTTGAGAGACGATGAAGAAGGAACCGTAGCTGTCGCAAAAAGATACCGAGAACGGCAGAACAGGCTCCTCCTCCGGATACGGCGCTCGTTTGTGGCTTGGTTTGAAGCTGCTGAGTAAGGATCCATGCTATCTGAGAGCTTTTCCATCTGCATCTTCTCGCCCTTTCCATGAAACCTCAGGAGAAAGGCCTCCGGAGGAGACGTTTTCTTCAGATGCAATGTGCAATGGACGGCCCTACACAAAATGGTCACCGGGTTTGCATTTTCTGGTGCATGCATTGAAAATGCTCGTAAAAGAAATGGCGAGAAGTCAGAGATTCAAATGTCTAAGGAGCCGGCCGATATCGCATGACGTACTGGGCTGGAGTCATATTGGTCATTGAAAGTGACGCAATCCATGCGCCGGGTCCGATCTAAACGCTGTAGTTGATTTATACCCCATAGGAAGATCGTAGCGTTGTCCAGGTCTCGGCCGCCCGGCCGGTTATACAGGATACTCACTAGCCTGTCTATCGAACGCATGCATCGGATTGTCGAACATGCGCGGCCGCGGGCATGATACGATAATGAAAACAAATTACAATTATAACATACAAACCACTCAATTTGAATACATACCGTAAACTGTAACGGTATAAATCAATTTGAAAAACGTAACACATTCTGATTTTGCTAAGTTGCAATGCCAACCACGGGAGGCTGCGAAGTGATCAATTCAAATCTTAGGATCACTATGACATCACTGCGGCAACTCTCCAACGATTACGCTAATCTTTCACGTATTTCAACTCGACAGTTTAACGACATGAGTGCTACGTGTATTCCAGTCAAAAGAATCACCTGTGTAAATCCAAAGATGCGCCGAAATGAACGAAGTTATACTCCAATCCATAGACCTGATGCATGCTACCTGTGGCTGTCAATACCTTGCGGGCCAGTGTCCTGCTAACGACCTTGCCGAGAAAAGAATACGCTGTAACGACCCCATCACCTGCCATATGGCACAACCCGGTATCGAAACGCTGCTGACCTGTACACGTCAGAGTGGGCCAGGACGGAGGCTGCAAGCAGGCACCGCGTGACCATGAATTACGGACTGTACACTGTAACGGTCCCATTCTAGTTCCAAGCTTCTTACCAGTCGTTCAGTTGCTTTAGGTTAAGTCCGGGACAGGCGCCCTCGCAAACCCAACAGAGAGATCATGCACCCATTCTTCGTTTACTGAAGAGCAACTTCACGGATCCGAGAGCCAGAAATGGATGCGTATTTTGCCCTCAAGGTCGACGAGAAGGGCCGACGAAAGCGGCTATAAAAAAAATCAAAATCCTTTCAAAAACAAAAACAAGAAAGTTAACAGTTACTTGCTTCCCGAGTCCTGACTGAGCCTTGACCCGAAAATCAGAACAAGCAGCCAGGTCACTCTCAAGTGTGGCCACATGAAAGCTCAAAGATAGAACAGCCACGAACAGCCTGGGAAGGGCACAATCACTAAGTGGGGATAGGGTGGACTCGGAGGCGGAGCGGGTTTAACTAGGGTTTCGAATCCTACTTGTCCAAAAGCTTACGAGTTGCGAACTGCAAATCGACTGTGCTTTAGGTGCATCATCGTAGATGACGTACGGATGACGACTCAGTACGGTCGCTTTACCGTCATAAGGGCGCGAGTAGCCGCCGCCCATGCAGATGACGAGCGGCAGGCCCCGTCGTATGCACTCCGTGTAGACCATGTTGTTGCGCTTCAGCAATCCCTCCCTGCACACGTGGTGCCAGGTAAGACAACCGGTGCCATGCCCGATTCCGAGAAGTTGGGATGATATTTCAGCTGAGTGACATGTCAAGTAACAGACGACGGGAGTAGAAGCAAGGGCGAAGCGGTGCGCTTAGCCTAATGGAGACCAGAATGGATTTATCTTTTTGCCCTGGCTTTTATTTTTGTACGATCACCATCCATTGTACAGCAAGTACGGAACAGTGCAATCGACGCAGCACTGCGAAAAGGCCTTTACTAGCACACCGACCGGCTTGCAAACCCAGAACATCAAGAGCTTGTCCCTCCATGGTTACCACGTCATTGCTAGCCGCCTGAAGCTGTCCCCCCTCAGTGCATCCACCCCAGCTTAAAATGAACCTAGGCGCGACACAAAGACGCCTCGCCTCAAAAGTGCGCTCGCAGACCACCCCATAACCTGTTCGCAGACCCAGACAGTGAACTTTTCCGCTGTGCCCCACTCGTACCTCGTCATTGCAAGGCCGACCAGAGCTGTCCGCTTTCAGAGGGTCCACGCCGGCCAAGAACGAACACGTAGGCATGGCGCGAAAGTGCCCAGAAGTCAAGCCTCAAGAATCTCCCGTAAACCAATTGTAACCCTTTCCCAAACTCGAAACATCCTTCTTCTTTGCCCCAGTCTTACCTCGTCATCGCAAGCCGCCCAAAGCTGTCCTCTTTGAGGGCGTCTACCCCGGCCTGGAAGAAAACTAGGCACGGAGCAAAATTTTCCAAAAGTCAATACCAATACCATTACCCCCCCGAATCCAACCCACAAGCCATCTGCAATTCACATCTTGGAATTGCCTGCTTTCTTACCTCGTCATCGCCAGCCGCCCAAAGCTGTCCTCTTTCAGCGCATCCACCCCAGCCTGGAAGAAAACTAGGCGCGGCGCATACGTGTCCAAAAGGTACGGCAGCCACTGTCCGAGCGTCCGCAGGTACAGCTCGTCGTCGGCGTCGTCCGGCATCTCGACGTCATGGTCTGACGTCATCTTGCTGCGCCAGGGGTAGTTCTTCTCGCCGTGCATCGAGAAGGTGACTACGCGGGGCTCGGCCTCAAACATCTTGGCGGTTCCGTTACCCTGCGGAAAACGGAAGTAATGCACGATAACGGAACGCTATGGCTGACGGTGTCGTATCTCGTTCGTGACAGCGAATGCCGATCGTCTAGTACAGCTGAACGGAGGTCACAGTCTGCAAGAGTTGTGGAGGAGCGAGCTGGAATACGTGATCGGATACGCTATGTCTGCTGATGAGCGTGTCTTGGCAGTCCGCTTGAAATGCAGACGGAAGAAGCAATCCGTTATTTAAAACGGGATGCGCTCCAGAAGCGGACTGTTAGCCCTCGTGCTCGTCTAGATTCTCTGCCTCGTTTTCTTTCTCACAGCTGCGGCATGCATCATGCCCAGTTCGGTCTTTTACCAGCTCCTCTTGGACAAATCAAGCGGTCTTTCTGAGGGTAGTTTCTGAAGGAGTACGGGGATAGACCAGGACCTTAGCGTAAAAGCGACCAGGGGCCTTTACACACAGGGCGGGTGTTCTTTTTCGCAATTCGCCGAGAACTCAAGGTGTTGTTTTGCCCAAACTCCCCGCGCGACTTCAGGGGGTACCTTCCGCAAGGCAAACGTAGTCCCGTGCGACGGTCCGAAAAAGTTTACTTTCGCTACCCGGCTTTTTTTGGGTAGCACTTTGGAACACCGCGGTGTTTTTGCTGACATATGATCGTACGAGTCGGCGAATCGGCAAAAACACCCGCGGTGTTTTCCTGGCGACGGTACCGCCGCGACCCCTGCTGTACCGTCGCTCGGAACAAAAAACACCCGCTCTGTGTGTAAAGGCCCTAGAAGGACCCCCTAGCACAACTCCATTCACTGTACAGAAGCGCCTGGGCGCTGACCAGCCCAGGTCCAACTCCTGCCTCTCCACTCAAGGTCCACGTAAACGCCTTCCCCAATTCAACCAATCTTGTACGACAGTAAGTGGCGGTCGCTACAATGTCTAACCATCTTAGAAAGTCAATGCACGTCCAACACGATTCCAACAGGAAAGTAACCTGAAAGACTTTGTTATCAGCAACTGGACTTTCAGCAACTAGGATTCCATTTTCGCTGCCCGTTTGCTCCTCTTGATGAGCACGGCCGCAGCTGCAACTGCAGTGTCTTCGAAGATGAAAATCCCATAAAAGCTCCGTTCACAGAATTCTCTCGATTACTGAGCCCGCTCCTGCAAAGTTCCATACCTGATGGACGTCCAGGTCGACAACTATGATCGGCGTTTTGCTGTCCAGCTGCTCCGGGTAGTCGACGAGCGCGGCCGCCGCTGCAACTGCGATGTCGTTGAAAACGCAAAACCCCTCCCCGTGCCCCGAAAACGCGTGGTGCGTGCCGCCCGCGATGTGGGACGCGGCCCGCCGCCGCCGGGGGTGGTCGGCCATGACTGCGTGCATGGCTGCTACGGTCCCCCTGAAAAAAGAGAGAGTCGTTTAAGATGAGTAAAAACCGAGTGGGAGGGGCTTCCTAGTGACAATCCAGTTCAAAAGTAAGATCATGGAACAAAAGCTTTGGCAAAGTTGCTTCTTTTGACGGCAACGGCTTGGGAGTGGACAACGAATATGCGATCCATCCATCCACGGGCCGGGCGAGGCTGACAGTCATGAAATGACAGGATTTAAGAATCCGACTTGTGGCCCTTCTGCCTCCTGCTTTCATCGAACTCGTGGATTCTACGAGGGTACTGCTTGTTGAATTCTGGCTTTGAACGTCACGAGTTCGCTGGCAGCAACTTGCAACTTGACGTCAAAAGCCACAAGGTTTATATGCAGCTCAGACCTGCTTTTGGCATGATCGCTAGCTGCGGTCTCCGCAGAGTGCAGGTCGGAACCCCAGTCCGGCCACTGGTTAACTTCAGAGAACTCTGCTAAGGCAACGAGCTGCCGGATCGTCACAAATCAGTACATTAGTCGAGTCGGTTGTCAGGTATGTCTCACCCGGTGGACGCTAAGGACCTTCTGATCAGCGCGATGCTCCAGGGAAACCCGAGAGCTCTTTCTTCGTTCGGGGTGACGTCACCCGAGACAACCCGTTCGACGTACCTGCATCAAAATGACGGAGTCTGTTCTCCTCATAGTCCATTCAGCCCGCAATACTGTCCGCCTCGAAAGCGAGGTGAACTATGCTGCTGCAACGCGTTGAATAGCGGGCGGAGTATTCCATCAGGCAACACGGAACCCACCGCCCACCAAAATGTTTTCAAGCAGGACATCACTGATCTGAGAAATCGAGGAACTCTGAAGCAAGCAACGTCGTGTGCGGTTCAAAGAAAGGGTTTCTTCACAGTAAGGATTTACCGAGCAAGAATCCGAACCGACTGCATCTTCGTGCCTGATAAGAACCTATGTGTGCCACCTGAGTTGTCTTTTCTGCATGGGGCCCCAACGCTATTTGCTTTGCCTGGCGCTGTGAGCCTAGAAAGTCGTCGTGCCTGCTCACCCTTTATCATGGACTCTGAAGAGCTCCTCGGTCGAACAGACTGGTGAGCACTTGAAGCCGATGGCACCCTTCAGAGACGAGTCCTGCTCCAAGTTGGCTCTGGTCGCAGCATACCTGAAAATAGTGTTTTCTTGCAACTCAGAAGCAGAAACAAAGAACGGTTCCTTCATCCCCGGTTTCTGGGTTTATTCCGTTCGGTAGTGGCTTCGCACAAACGCTGTCGCAAGAGCGTTAAACAAGTGCAGTCCCAGCAAGGGACTATAACCTACCGACAAGAGACTTCGGCAGAAAGTTGCAAATAGGCATCGTTCTGAAGGGGCCATGGCACAACCGTCAGGAAGTACCTACTCCAATCAGAAAAACGCTTGCAGCTCTCACCAAAACCCTTGGAATAGTCTGGGTGGTAAGAACTCGACCTGAACTCTTTTTACAGTGACCCAGCTTCGGTTACAGGTTTAACAATACAGAATGCGACAGAGAAGATTGAAGGAACTTGCTTCAGCATTGGGAATCGGTGCTTTGGTGGCAGTGGTACAACGTATGTGTCGCAGTAAAAAGCCAGGAATGGCTCCTCCATATCAAGGGCCTGCATGGCCGCTTGCTTGGTCGTCATGGTGTTGGCAAAGACCTCGTCCGTTATACCTTGCGCTTCCGGGGTGACTGCTTCTTGCAGCGACACTCGTCCTGCATGAGATGTCGTTGCTGTAAGTGCAGTGGATCTGGGGGCTGAGGACCATCCAGAATAGACCTATAGTTCAGGTAGGTCAATTCTAGGTAGGATTGGTTAATGCCTGGCGGGCGGGTAGGGTTAGTTTGGGGGTTAGGGCGGGTGCGGGAGCAGAGCAGGTACATTTGTTGGTTTAGGATTTTTATTTTCTTTTTCCCCGGGGACTGATATTATCCTACCTAGAAACTATTCTACCTAAACTATAGACATACTCATCCAGAACGACTCTTCCTTGCGGAAATAATTGAACGCATTGAAACCATCAAAGTGACAGGGGATGCTTGCTTGAGGGCGCATGGTGACCACAGATGCAACCAATGAAGAGGGGGTTACTGAAAGTTTGCCCGCTGAAGAAGTATTCTGCTTCCCCAACTGTATGGCTGCTCAACTGAAATTCGAACAGGGCCCACTGGGTTTGCTGCCTGGGAAAGTAATTGTCTGTGGTAGAAGGTGCAATAAGCTGTGTTAGTTGTGGTGATACTCAAGGACATCAATCCAATCGTTAAATACGATGCTACCACCCCCTGACAGATGCCTGTAGAAATTGGCAGGTGCGGCCATGTTTGAGGATGAAAGCAAGTCCATTGTTGCTTCAACATGCCAAGGAACAGTCAAGGTGGCTGAAAAGGATCAAAAGGCAACTCAATGTGGTCAAGTTTGGGGGTGACCACAGTAAGGGAGTACTACAACTCATAACCAGTAAAGCCAGCGGGCTTACCTGGCCTTACAAAAGTTCGTCTACCCCCCAGCTGCTGTTGACCCATGCCACCTTGACAGCGGCACTCGCTAGATCGTTCAAAAGCGGGGCAAGAAGGAGATGCTGTAAGAAAAGGACCGTTGCGTAGCACTGTTAATCGGATAGCTCGTCTTTGAAAAACATCTATAGGCCTTGAGTTCAGTCTACTGTCATCTCGGATGATTTGAGTTGCTCCCCTGCCAGAATGATATTCACCAGCCTGAGGTGTCCAATGCAAAGACCTCTGGAGCAGTCTCTGAGCAGTAACAATGCTGGTCGTTGCCTCCATGCTGCTGCTTAGGCCCCTTCCAGATGCAGCCCCGAACGAGCTTAGATCTGTTGGCAAGAAACGCGATGTTCTTCCAAAGCTGATCTGAGTTTCAAGTTCGAAGCAACCAAGCGGAGCTAGGAAATTTGGCAGCTGAAGAGCGCGTCTCCAGCTTGCAAGCCTGGTCAAAGAAGCAGCCATACAGGCAGCTTCAACGAATCTCCCCTCTCAGCAGTGGCCCGTCACCTTTCTTACAAGCGTACTAAGGTGAAGGCGTGAAAGTAGATCTAGACAAGCTGCCACTTTGCTTGCCATGATCAGCAAGTACTCTACAGAGGGTTAGGAAGTAACCTAATGAACATTCGGCGACTTTTAAAACGGCGAGCGTGCCGTTTTTTAGAATGGGGGACCACACAAAGGGTATCTGAGTCATACTGTGTGCTTACAAGCTAAGGACCGGCAGTAGGAAAGAAACCGTTGCGGCAAAATTTGAACAGGGTTAAAACATTCTCGTTTAAAATACCGAATTCAGATGGCCTGGTCAGGGGTTGTGGCCAAACTGCGTTCAGAGGCGCCTGGCATTTGGTTCTGAGCTGAAAAGCAGGTGATCGTTTGAGCTGGAGGGCGACCGGGACACCCGTGTCAGGCACCTTCGAGAGTTGGCGCTGAAGGATTGAGGAGGTCAAAGCTGTAGCTTCCCAGCTGTTTTCAAGGCTGAGTTTGACTTGTATAAGCATGTGATCCAGCGCCCAAGCAAAGCGTGGAAGGAGGAGAGCTTGAAAGGAGGCTGCAGATTTCAGATCAGCGTTTGGAAGCTAGAGTAAATTACACAGCAGTCTCAAACTTCCAGAAAAGCCTCAAGCAGAGTCATAAGCCGAATTGAGTTACAGTAGTGGCAACCAGCAAGAAAGCTGTGGCCAATCGTTTTTCGAACAGCAGTCACCCATGAGTTGACTGCCTGTCAATCTGCTACACCTCACTTAAAAAGCCATCGAGCAACATTGAATAGAACCACACCTCACCCAAGAGTGTATAGGAGACTCAGTCAGGATGGTGGAGGAGGCGATCATGACGGGGGATGACCTCATGGTCGGGCCCCCTGCCCCGCTCCTCCCTGCTGACCTGGCGCCGCAGATCTTGGAAGGAGTGGACGTGTGCCAGAGACCACTGCGACGACTCTACAAGTGTGAGTTGTCCCTCAGTAAAGCATCAGGGCTGTTGAAGGTAGATCTTGACCAATTTCTAGTCAGAAGTTGTCACCAGTGCCGGCTCAATGGGAGCTAGCAAACATGAGTCCCGCACTGCGTTTGAAGCGGAGTATCTGTTTTGCCTGCTCGCAAGCAGTTCTTATAGTGGACCTTCCGGTCTGGGGCTCAATAAATTCATATCTGCTAGCTCATGGTTGCTGAGACTTAAATGCACGACCGGAAGCAGCAGCACTCAAGCTGGACGTTAGAGGCAGTTAGATGACACAAGTGTATTGTACTGACGGGCTTTCCAGAGGTTGCACTGGCACGCAAGGCGCTGCTTTTAGCAATTTTGTCAATTAATCTTTCCATCACCATACGCAGGCCTCTACGAGAACGCAGATGCCGAACCGTTCTGTCAGAACGAGATCCTGCTATCCGGGCGGTGCTTTCAAAAGAGAGTGAGTTCCACCAGAATCTCGATCCTTTGCACTTACAGAGGCTGCCAAAATACTTGCCTACAATTTGCGTGCTTCTACATAATACGAAATCCTACCCTAGGAACATCATACTCAGTCGCAGGAATCTTAGCAAGCAATGAGCCAGGGACACGCCTTCCAGTAACTTTTAGGGCTGACCGTTCAACCAACATCCCAAAGACACGCAATACTTGAAGTCTACAATACTTCTTTTCAGGATGAAGAGCTGCGCTCGCGGCTCCTTCGAGAAGAGTCGAAGCTTGCCAGAACGTTACCTGGACCCGAACTAGAGAGGCGGCAAGGGGACCTCTTAGCCGCTGCAGAGCTGCTGCAACGGTATGCTTCGACGACCTGTTTCCAACTTTTGCCTTTGTTCGTGCAACTTGTGGGTGTCCTCAAAACTTGCACCCCGTTGCAAGCTCCCAGCATCACTTCCATGCTCGCGACATCTGAGCAAGGGCATACTCCCATGTCAAACGTATGGAAAGCAGCGCTCGATGACAAGATTTTCCTCGTCGATTCCAGACGGTTGATACTGGCAAGTGGCATCGACGGGATAGAGGGCTTCCGCCAGCGGTGGAAGCTGAACGGACAGCTGACAGACGTCCGGTAAGTGTACCTACTGCGGTGATTCTGTTGACTACCCTTTTTTCCGTTTGTCTGGCCGCTGTCAGTGCATGTCTCATGAGGGTTTAAGACCATGAAGCGCATTGTTTCTTTAAGGACGTCAGAAGGACACATAACTTGGGCCTCTTTCAAATCAGAGCTTTTTGCAGATACAGCTCAGGGTTCCAAACCCTCTTCAGATCACTCTGCCAATACTGTCACTGCTCTCTCCGTTTCGCAATCGCTGTGGCACGGGCCGTCACAGCCGAGCGGCTCGTGGAGCGACGAAAGTCGAGGGAGGGGCAAGACTGCAGAGCCTGCTACGGAACGTAACCAGTTGTGTGAAACGACTCGAAATCAGCTTCTTCATCGGTTCGAAAGAAAGGTCGACGAGCGTCTAAAACTGCGCAGCTTGGCCTGGAGATAACATCGACTCCCTCTTCTCAACTGTGTGACCCTGATGTCTTTCAGGAGTCGTTTGGAGCGCCTGGGAGTAAGCAGCATACCACCACCTAGCTTGGAAGCTGAAGCAGGTTCGTAGTCTCGATAAGTACGGACTTAGCTTAAACCTAGGCAGCCCGTTGCGCGAGGGGGAATATGTCAGAGCTTATTTACCGACAGGAGAAAGAGTAATCTGGAAAGAGAGGCATATATATCTCGATGTTTACCGCTCTCGAACCGGACTCGAAAGCGGTTTAGGAGTCAAGTGTGCAGGCTTGCTTAGCTTCGCTACAAAGCAATCGCTTGTTTTCAAACTCTTGACTGTACGTAAGCTGGCGGCGGCGTGCATACTGGATTAAGTTGATGAAGCTGGCTCTTGGAGGTTAGTACGTGACTATAGTTACAGGCCGCGCCAGGCTCATGCATTTGCGTTCCCATGGCCGGTTGACGCAATCCTAGGCATCCGCACCACCGCACTTATACGCAAGTGACATCGCGTTAGACATGAGACATCAATGATTCCGCGCGCTAGTCAAATGCAGGCGCATATTGAATCTCAGACGGTAGCTGCTAAGCATACGTTCATCTGCATTGTTAACTGCGGCGATGAACGCTATACATGCAATTCGATACGTATGGCCCGGAGTGCATGTCCGACCACAAGCCGGCCACACTAGCTGATCGACCTAGGACCGGTAGTATGGTACATTGTTGGATCATGCATGTGTCACTCGCCGTACCAGATACAGCAGATTTTGGGCAGTTGTTTCGAATCGGAAAGTAGTTTAGCCTAACCTCATTACAGGTTTGCAAGTTCATAGCAATACTTAGCGAATTTTAGCTGACGTCATGATCTGCGAGGTTTGACATATCACGTGCACCTAGGATGTTCAATATCGACACGTGCACGGTGCGACGGTCGGAGAGCCTCCTGCGATCGCGCCATGTGTCGGAGTTGGCCTACTTGCTGAAGTCAGCTAGACTTTGCGAATGATGACGTCAAACAATTAGCTAAACATTTGCTGCAACTTAGCGAGCAAAATTTAGCTAAGCTAAACCAAAAATCGAAACGGATGCCCAAAAAGTGCTGTACTGTACGTATCTGCAGTACCACTCAAATTAACATGGAAAGAAAGACAGCTTTTTACATTAGACGACGATTTGACAACGTAGTTGCCAGGCGAAGCTTGTTATATTTACGAATTGAAGCCCGTGTCTGCTTCTCGATCCTGATTACAATCACGAGATGAAGGAAGTCAACGATGTACAACTTCAATCCATTCATTACCTTCAAGTGCGTGGTACCTGCCACAAAACCTGCGTGCTCTCTGAGTGCGTCCTTTAAACGATAACCAAGCAGACTCGCAATGCAAGATAATGTTACGTAGCGTTGGTCAACAACGTCAAACCCTCCCGAAACGAATCGTCCGGGCCGTGAACAAGGCCTAACCTGAAGAGCCAGTCAGTAATCAACGTCGACATACCAAGGCCAAACGAGCCGTACGGTTCAGCGGTCTCGGGGTTCCAGTGCTCATAAATCCCGCTCTTCTGGTATGCGGCAACCCATCGGTCTAGCAGCTGCCGTGCTACATCTTCTCGGCCGCACTGCATCAGCCCCTCCATTACAAACCAGTTCGTGAAACCCCAGGAGGGGCCACGCCACATTAGCCGCTCTCGAAAGACGGGCGCATACGCCGGTTCGGACTTGGCAACTGTCGGCACCGGGTAGGGCGTCCAAAACTTGTCCGGATTCAGGAGCTGCTCGCTAATGATCTTGTCCGCCATTTCCGGGGGCAAAGCGTTGCCCAAGAGGAGGGGAAACAGGGACTGGACGACCTCGGTTGTGAGAGCACGCGTGCGCTTCTGCGCATCTTTGTAAAAGGAGACAAAACGTCCGAGCTCGGGGTCCCACATGTGCTGCACGATGGCCTGCTGCGCTGTGGCTTGCCGCTTGCGGCAGTGCTCTGCCAGGGTGCCGTTGAATTTTGAGGCAAGGTCTGCGAGCACGCCCCAGCCTGCTGCGTACACTGAGTTTACGGCCACGTCTTGAACCAGGAAGTAGGGCGCGCCAAAGCGACCCTTTTCCATTCGGATGATGCGCTGCTGGTCCCAGCGGTACCACCACTTGTACCTGTCAGCGGAGAACTTAACGTGAGCTTTCCAGAAGATGCGAAGCGGAGATTTGTCAAACAAAAGTGTCTGGTTGGCCGAATGGGGTCTCAGGTAACAAAGAGTCTGGCCTTCAAGAGCAAGTCGTGACAGTCTCTCTTCTCTTCAAAGTGCGGGCAATGACGGTGGTGTGAAGCGAAAAAACCGCTGGCAGTAAGAGTTGATGAGGAGCGGATCAGTCATCTTGCTATGAATGACATTAATGCGAGTCTTTTAGGAGGGTCCAGAAGGTTTGCAGAATTTGAAGCTGGGAAAAGGAGGGACCTTTGACTTTTACTTGGAAAGTTCAATGGAATCAAGAATCTCTCTGCCTTTGGATGCATGCAGAGCTCACAGAACTCACCAGTTGACCCGTTAAGAGCTCTGCAGTTGGAAAAGCTTTCAACCTCTCTGTTCTTTGCCAAAAGAAAGCACACCTGAAAAGTGCGCAAACATCACCAGACGTGACCGCAACAGTCACAAATCAGCATAGCATGCGGATCCAAGGTAAGAGTTTTGAAGGCTGTACCCTGCAAGGATGCTGATGAAGTGTGGGTATAACTCCAGGAGCCTGATCTGGCGGTGCTCCTTCCTGATGCGATTCACCAACGACTCCCCAATGTAAGGGATGTCATAGATGGGGCTTGCATCTAGTCCTGACTCCCAGCCATGGATGATACTCACGAGGCCGTTGCCATCCACGTCCCTAGTGTCGGCCCACCAATCAAAGTATCTCACTAGGCTGGGAACAAACTCTTGCAGGAGATCAAGATCCTCTGGCTTCTGCTCATGCATAGCCCGTAGGGAGAAGGGGAGGACAGGCATCTGCGTGAGGTCGGTGTAGAAGGGAGAGCTGTACTCCAGAAAGTCGGTGATGCCATCAGTGGTGCTAATGTTCTGCTGAACCAGACGCTGGGGCTCATACAGCCAGTTGATCACCTCAGGGATCATGCCGTTCTGCAACTGCATCTGCAGCATCGTGCGCAGGTCGATGATGCTGTTAGTCAGATTGAGATGCGACCATGTAATCATGTGAGCTCCATCGTCCCAAAGCCACTGACTCGCGCCGTACTTGATCAGTGAGGGTCGGTAGAAGTGGTAGCGATAGGAGCGCTCGTTTTCAGGGGAGGGGCGAATGTTGTCGGGTTTCTTAGGCCAGTGACGCACGGTCTCGCCAGAGACCTCATGCAGTTCCAGCAATGTTTGGCAGGTGCGCACTATGTCTGCAGGCGTGGCTGTTGAGTAGTTGAGCTCTGGGGGGTACGGAAAAGGGACATCAGGCTCCAACTGCAGCACTGCGTTTGTCTGTAATGATTCAAAGCACCCTGCGCCAATTGCAAACAGCAACAGCGGTATCACCTTGACGCCCGCCATGCTGCGAATGCAGCCCTTGCACAAACCTTGGAAGCGAGCGCTATGTTAAAAGGCGCTGACCCGGTCCATGATGATAACGAAACAGTTTACAGCTCTACCGCTGCACCCTATAATCCATAGGAAGCACCTAATACCATACCGGTATATGCAATCCTGAGACAGCAGAAGACGGGCTTCCTTGCGCTCTGAAATTGGATCCTTGAATGCAGAACTTTGAACGTGCAAGGATGCATGCATGCATGCAATATTCTGATCAATGCCGCGACTCTGCAGAGTGTCATATAGGTATGATGAATAAATCATACCTATATATAATAGTCTGAGTGCTTATACCTTGGATCTTCAGAGACGTCTGCCGCCTATGTACAGCAGTTTCGGAGCAAGCTGCCCGGTTGCGATCGATAGATAGGGTCTATTTAGATACTAAATTTTGGTTAAACTGTAGCTATTGCTTTGACGTCATCTAAACTATCCGCCCGTAGCAGCCGCCTGAGATAAATGAAAGGTGGGTTTCAAGCCGTCGATCGTCTCAGCAGGATTCATCGGAAGGTACATACTTTCCACATGGTAAAATTGTTCTCCATCATGACGTCAATTAGATTGGTAACGTAGCTAAACTTACAGTAAGTTTAGCCTAAACTTAGACTAAATAGACCCTATCTATCGATCGCAACCGGGCAGCTTGCTCCGAAAATGCTGTAACGTTTTCCCAGTCGATACTTGCACTACAATCTGTGCGCGTTTCCGTCAGCTCGCGGGGGTGAAATAGAAGTCGGAGATTCGGAACACGTTATTCAGCAGCTTGAGAAACGGCACAGAATGCACGAGGTTTTCGGCTCAGTAAAATACAGGAATATTTGTAGTAGGAGAACAATTTATTTTTGCCCTGCTTGTGAGTCTCTCTCCCCTCGTCTTGACAGCCTCTCACACTGACAGAGTTGCACAATACCAATGCAATGGCGCCTTCCACGGCGGCACAATGCCGCTTGCTGACCCCTCCAAAGCTACAACTTCAGCACTCGTGTGAGCACCTCCGCGTCAATGTCGCTGCCGGAGGTGCTGGCAGGCTGGTGGCGCCTATTCAAACCTTTGCATCCGGTTTTAGACGTATAGATTCTGAGTGCCGCTCGCTGGACTTTTGGAAAGGCACAAGCTGCGGGTCTTGGACGAGTCGCAGATACAGAGTGCACGCACGGCGTGCTCAGGAGCAGCTCGCGGCTAAGGGAGGGGAGAATCTGGAGGAGCAAGGCTTGAGAGGCAGAGCTGCGAGGGCGCCCTTGCAGGCTTTAGATCTTGGAGCACCTCAAGAAAGTGAAGACGCCACCAAAGAATGCGTCCAGTGCGGGCAGGTCAAGCTGGTAGTTGACTTTGAGACCATTCGATCAAATAAGAGCATTCGAAAGGATGTGTGCCGGGCGTGCTCTGCGATGCTACGGGCCCAAAGAAGGGGAGACCCTTTGAATCACCTTGGAATGGAAATCAAAGAGGCGAGGGAGAAAGCAAAAGAGTGCCGGAAGTGCGGCCGCACTAAGGAGTTGCGGGACTTTCAGAGGCGTGCCCAATACAAGGATGGCTTGGAAGCCACGTGCCGCAGCTGCATTGCTCTAAAAGGTGTGCATCAGAGAAAAAATTGGCCGTCAGACGCGCCAAGGCAGTGTGCTTGCTGCAGGGAGACGAAGCCAGCCAAGGACTACTCGGTTTCTCCTCATTGTCAGGATGGTCGCCAGAGGATTTGCAAATTGTGTGCTTCACAGATAGACCGTGAGCGGTATATTCGGCGGAAGGAGGCACGAAATTTTCTTCGTGTGGAAACCAAGGTGTGCCTATCTTGCTTAACCCGGAAGCAGGCATCAGGTTTTTCGCCCCACGGCTCTATGCTGGACGGCCTCGCTACCTGGTGCAAGTCATGCTCTGCAGCTTATGCCCGGCATCAAAAGTTAGCATCAAAGAACAAGGGAATGATAGGCGGACTTTCTGAGGGGATGAAGGACCCCATGAGTAGCCCCGCTGAGGTGGACAACCCAAGTTAGCAACATATATGGTGCGCGGCGCTTCCCGAGCGGGGCGTTCTTGGGACAGGTGAGGTCATATGTTTGAGATGGATATCTGTGTACCCTATTTGGAAATCCTATGAAAGGCAATTGCGCTAGGAAATGTACTAACCTTCAATCGTTTTCTTTGTCCTGGTTGATAGGTTGTAGATTCGATCTTGGTGCTTCTCATTGACAGGCAGCCGCGAACGTTTGACAAACGTGGTCTATTTAGATACACCAAGGTGCTGCCGGTCCCCCGACCTAAGAGCGAAGCTCCTTCACATGTCAATGTTCCTTTTTGATGTATTGATGTACTGATGTACAGCTGTTTGCGTCAAACTTGCCAGCGGGGTCCAGACTTTTGGAGCGTGGTTCCTGATCTTGGGCCGTCCGATGCCTGCATGGTTGGTGATCGAACGGTCCAAGATCAGGAACCATGATCGGAGCATCTGAAACCCGATGGCAGGTTTGACGCAAAGAGCTGTATTGATGTATTGATGTATTGATGTACTGTGGAAGGAGTCAGCGGCTGGAAATTTTGCAAGTGCTGTCACAGGAAGTGCAATAACAGTCGTCAGGCAAGCCGGCCCTTTGTTCGCCTTTGTGCAGGATGTCGACAAGATGAGAGTCATGAGCGCCAAGTCTCGATCAAGAGTTTTGCTGCGTGCAGTTCCACTGCTTACGACATGAATGTACACCGATAGACAGCAAACGCCAGCATGGCGTTTGTTGACCCGTGGGCTCGAAGGGCGCAGATACGCCTGACTTCAAAGTAGTTGAATTCATTGGAGGTTTGCAATTCTAGCTTGGACCGGGTGTATGCTCAGTTCAACATTTTGCTTTAAGGGGGCAGTATATGAGCGCGTGCGTTGACCTTGCCAGCTTGCATGTTTCACTAGCTTGTTACACTCTCCATGAGATGAATGTAAAGCTCGTCGGACGCAACCTAAAAGCCAATGTAGCGAAGCAAATTGCTGAGTGCGCAGCTGCTGTGCTAGTCGGAGAACCATTGCGCAGCTGAGATCAATCACTTGTGTGCTCAAAGCATGGATGATCGGCAGCAGACGCAGTGCCATACGAACCGTACATGCAGGTGAACCAGTCTTTCGCATGTCGATACCCGGCCGCCCGCAGACATGATCAGGCGCCGGTTTCCATCATTCCTCGGACCCACAGAATGGCTTGCGCAACTGCGCACATGGCACATATATCCAATTTTTGATGTCGTGTTAAGGTACGTTGCGGCTCCAATCGGTACGTTTCGCTTTGTTAATCCAACTTACCTTTAAATCTGCGAGTCCTGCACGAAGTTCATATATCATAGAATGTCGATTGGCCCACTCAGCGGGCTTGCGCGCTCATATGGTAGCTCTAAAAGAACTAGCAAGGCGTGCCTCCGCCGGTGCTTTACAGATCAAGATCCATGCGCAAGTAAGGAGATGCGCCAAGGCACTGGCGGCCGGGTGGCCGGGTCACGCAACCACTCGTAAATTGCAGTGTGTTCGACATTTGTGAAGACCTTATATAGTCGTCGTACCAAGCCATCCCTGATCGGATGCATGACACTGGTTGCTCGGCGAATGCAAGCAAAGCCAATCGGGCGGCCTCATCACAGACGATTATGATTGTATACCACACAAAAGGTGGCGGACGCTAGTTACCGGGCTACAAGCCATTGTTTCCTCGCCGTCAAGGCGCCTTGCTTCACAATGTCTAATTTGTCTACCCCCAACGCTGTATATGAAAGCTGGATCCTGTCCCAATCCCCGCTGGTAAGATCGGGAGTCGAATGGACCGGAACTCCCAGGTAGGTCTTGTGGTCCGCGATGCTATTCCCAGCGACGCCTCTGCGGACAAGAAAGATAGCTTGCCGTTAGCCCGTTTTGAGAACGCCGGGATTAAGGGACTGGCTGTTCGAAGGAGGCGAGCTGTCGGCATTCGACCTAGGAACTCCGATTGGGGGTGCAGTTGATCAAACAGCCAAATTGCAGGCAGGAGGCGGCAGCTCCCATACGGACTCTTAAGGACCATGAAAGACCGGCAAGAACCCGCTACGGACAGAAAGGAGGCTGTGTTTCCCTGTTCTGAAGGAAATCAACAGAAGGTGAAGACCCAAAAAGACGGCTCTTTCTGCTATAGCAGAAACGGTTCGAGCTGAGTTGTCCAGATGAGAACCAAGGAGAAATCGCGTTGACATGACTCGTTGACAAGACGGAAAAAGGAATCCAAGGGGCCGTGTCCAAATCGAGTAGTGGCCAGCAGCGGCGCACGTAATGCAAGGGCGGTTCAACGCTGGTGTAAGCTAACACTCGGAAATTGGGAATTCGAGCGACTCTGAAGGCGACAGCTCGGGCAGTTGGTCGCCGGGTGGGACACGTGACCCACAACGCTCATCTTGAAAAGCGATTTTCACCGGATAGAAATTGAAATGGGCATGCCTGTCCTTCTGAGATCTCAAGGTGCAAAACCTCTTCTCAAAGGTCTTTGTGTGCCGTCCAAAGTCACGCACGTCAAGCTCTCGGCTCCGTCAACATTGCACATGACGTTCATCGTATTCCAAAGCCCCATATGATAAACAAGGACAGTCGAAATCCAAAGCCCCATATGAGAATCAAGGAGTGTCGGATTCAACGCCCCATATGAGAGCTAAGGACAAAAAAGAAAAGGCCAAAGAGGAACTCACCGGCTGCACAGCGGGTCCTCCCCCGAGCCGTCGCACACTTTTTCGAACTCGAACAGTGCGATGTGGTAGATCCAGATCTGTCGAAAACAACTGCCACGTGTCACGCATGCAACGCCCCGCATCAGGTACAGGAGCGAGCAGCTCGGTATGGAATCAAAATCACTTGCACCTGGTGCCTTATAGTCCACGTAAGTAGCATGCACGTTCAACCTTAGAGGTTAAAGTGGGCGTCGGATTTCAAAGCCGGGAAACGCACACTAGTGAGTCTGAGTCCTGAGGAGAGCCTCGAGAAGGCCAACTCTGAGCCGTCCGATAGATTCAACTTGGACGTTTGAACCGTCCGATGTCCAGATGCACTCGCGAGTGCATACGCCCACTTTAAGATCTGGAAGAGGTTGATGCCTTTTGGCAGAACGAACTGAAATGCCGGTCCGGAGACACAAGATGACGTCGGCTTGCCTCGGTGGCTATGTGGTGGTAATTAACGTCCACGGGCGGCAGATGCGGGACGACGTCATGACCGTTGACCATGCGGATGCTGTTAGGCACCTGCAAGAGGCAAACCACCAAGTAAAGCCAGTCATACGTAGCTAACCAGTCGTTAACTCGCGGTTTCATCTTCGAGAAGCAGGCCTGCCGAAATCAGCAAAAGGATGGTTTAGTGCTGGAGAAGCAGGGAGATCACATCATCGAGCTACCGTACCAGCGTTTGATTTCGTTGGTATGGGTGCCGAATAATTATTTTCTGATCGATCGGACATTTCGGCAGAGTGTTCGATATTTTTCAGACATCTCGTCAAAGTCGCAATCCTCTCCCAAAGATAAGCATTACCAGCCTCTACCGCTCGGATTTAATATTCGACCTTTTCGTCATCGAAGAAAAACAGTTTCCATAATTTTCCCAGCAGCCCAAATCATTATATGTTAGAAAACGAAATAAATCGCTGGTACGGTATGGCTATGCTCAAAGCGGCCAGAAGAACAATGGAAATAGCGAGGTCGAGAAGAAGCACAAGGAACAACTAGAGCAGGATGAAAGCGGAGCAGGAAGACTGCGGCACGATTGTGCGACATCCAACTCATCGTACAGCGTACCGAGGCACACAAGAGCACTCTTGCCAAACAGAGCACAAAAAGCCAAAAACCATAGAGTAGCAGCCCACAAGACCGTACCCATCGCTTAAAGTAGTCGGTGAACGCCTTGTTCCCGACCCGCGGCCCGCCCGCATTCCACAGCCGGACGTCCGGAAGGCCAAAGTTTACCTGCAAAGCCCAGAAACAAGTCATACTATATATATCTCCTCTTGTTTGTTCCTCCCCCTCTCGTAAGAAGAGAGCCACTTTCGCATCGATTACCGTGTCACTTTAGCTTATCCGGGTAAAACGACTTTTTTGATGCTTCGAGAACAATTTGATGCTTCGAAGAAAAGCAGGCGGTCGGAAGTCCCTGTCGAAGGGCGGAAGATGTCAGGCTATGTAAAGCGACGAAGACCCTTCCGGTCCGCACGCAAGGTCCGATCAGCGCTGATAACAGGAGTCGTAGCGTTCCAAAGGAGGAGACCACCAAAATAAGACTGCCACAGCCCTGGGACGCAAGAGAGCTCCAAATTGCCGACAGTGGCGTGCTTTGTCCAGGACAGACAAACAGGCTCTTCCAAAACACCATGCTCCACACCATCGAGCATGCTCAGGGCGATCGTAGAAGTCCAAGGATGGCCAAATCGTGTCGCAGCCGTCCGAATCTCACTTACCAATCCCAGGCTGCAACACGATCTAGCCTCGAGCAGCCCTATCTCCAAAGAGGGTTCCGAATCTGGTTTGGGTCACACCGGGGAAAACCGCTCGATAACACAAATCTGGAGCGTCCAATCGTTTGACGTCGAAAGATGGACGGTTGCGACACGGTTTTGTGCTGTCCCTCAGCCACTTCAACTTCTGCGCTCCGCCTGTGCTCCTGTGTAAGATGCACAAGCTTGGCAACGAAACTTCGAGAAACGCTCGACGGCTCACTCTCAGGTCGAGCGCACACAAAATCGCGAGGGCGGCACCCATGGAATGCCCGATCACGTACACGGGGAGTGACGGCTTCTCGGCTAGCAAAGAGAGCAGCGCTTTAGTGAGCTCGGGGCGCATGGTCGTGTTGTGGTAGTCAGTGTAGAAACCGTGGTGCACCTGTGGGCGTAGAAAAGCGCGTGTTGGTGGGGCGATTGTCAGCCAGAAAGGATGTGGACGCATTTGAGGGGGGAAAAAGCTTTGGGACTTAGGAAGGAGCAAACGAAGGAATGAGCACGTCACTGCACCTGGCGGACAATTTTTTTCACTCATTGGACAAGCAATGAGCGACGAGGAAGAAAACAAAATCTCGTGTGCCGCCTCTTCCTGAACTGTGTGGCATGCATGGTGCACAAGACATAAAACCACCAACCGTTGCCGCTTTTTGACAATGCAGGAGAGGCTTCTTCATTTTCAGAAAGGACTGCGCAATCTTACCAGCGCCCCCGCCGATTTGGGGTAGTCAAGCCGCCGCTGTATGAATTTCAAGTCGGCAATCCAATTCACAACACTGCCAGGAAAGAAAAGAGTGAGATCAAATCTGTCCTTGAAGCCCTCGAAACTGCATGGGAGAGAGCGCGAAGAGCTGCATTCGTCCTGGGTTTAACATCGAGTGTCAATTCCCAATATCAAGTCGTTAGCAAAGTTTCAGGCTTTTGTGTGAGTGAACCAGTTTCGTTGTTTCACTTTCTCGAAGAAAATTGGGATCGGGGCACACTGCTCACTGGCAGGTCTGATGTAAATGGAAAAGATTTTGGACCAACTGCAGCCCACAAAGGGAATCATAAACATTCCCTGCTCTCCTTGACAATTCAATTGTTGAATAACCACAAAGTCAATCATTTCAAAGAAACCCAACATAGGACCGGGTAAGATGCATCCTTAAGGCGGATGACACGACAAGTATGACAAGATACGAATAGTGCTCCTCTTCCGCTTACAATCCAACGGAAAAGGTTGCCAATAGAATAACTAACAAATCCTATCTGTGGCACGAAACGGGTGAAGGAAGCATCACACAGGCAACCCACCTTTCTCGTCGAGTTCCTCTGAAGGCCACAATGGCTGCCTGTAGCTGTGGCGACTCACCCACCATTGCCTACAAAGGAAAGCATAGGAGGACCTGACATCTTGCAGCCGGGGGACTTCAATGCGTACGTTCGCAGGCTGCTTGAGTTGGTTTTATTCAAGTACGAACGTCTCTCTTGCAGTCGAAATACAAGGGTTATATCCGATTGCATTTCTTGAACACGACACGCGTCGGTTTGCGAGAGTCAAACGGAAACTCAGACGGACTTTCAACTCCCTGTTAGCTCCTTGACGCACTGTCAAAATCTCGAAGCCAGCTGTGAGGGAGGCGGCTCCAGTCGACTGCTTTGGATCGGGCAAATGCTCACTGTGAATCTCAGGTCTTCCAAGGAGTTGCTGGAAAAATGACTGCAAAATCTGCTGATAGCTATAGCTCGGAGAGGCTGAGGTGCCATACAGTGCACACAAAATGTGCAGAGACAAAGAGGATGTTACGTAAGTTGTGGTGCACTCACCGTTAATTGCGCCCTCTGGTCATTCACAACTTGCTTCACAAGAAAACCCTGAGAAGAAATCAGACTGGTCAGCTACCAAGGGACTCTTCAGACGCATCCCTCCAAGGTCTTGACGATTGAAGGTCTCCAGCTAAACCCATGTATCCTTAGTCCTTTCTTGTTGAGAGTAAACTCTACTTGTCCCCTTTTCGTATAGAGTGTTTTCGCATAGCTCATTCCAACCCAACATTGAAGCAAGAGTCGAATGGCAGTTCCCGAATCCTATGTTTTGCCCCGCAACTCAAGAAGCAGCATCCGTAGAAGGAGCATCCTTCTTTGAGCCTTCATTTACTTTGTAAAAGTGAAAGCTTCATTTCATCACCGCATGGATTCCGATTTCAATGTAGAATAAGAAAGTCTCACTGTGGTCAACCCATGGCAGCGACTGCACGTCCAACTCCGAATGCTGTCGACATCATCCGTGTATATCTGCAGTCAGGTTTTGTTCTTAGCTGAGGAGAACCGCACGAGCAGAAACTAGAGCACTCAGAATGGTCTAATCGCTTTTTTCTCAGGCAGGGCAAGCGGCAGCTACTCAGATTTATCCACTGAATTTGCGGCAGTTAGGGCGAAGACTTTCGTTGCTGGCGCAGATAGAATGCAGCTTGCAGCGACACCTGATCATTCAACGTTGTCCACAGAATGTTTGCCGAGCTGTGTCTGAGCTTGCTCAGTATGTTTAGAAACCACCACTTTTCTGAGCCACATCACCCATTGAAAGGTGGCATAGTGCTGACGACGAGCTTCCAGGACAAGAAGAAGCTGCAAGGGTCGGACTACCAGGGTGCAAAGACTCACCGCACTTTCATACTCGATCAGATACATTGAAAGGGTTCTATTGAAGATTGTTGAGGCGAAGGCCCCTGCAGCTCCAGAAATGGAGTGTAGACGTTCAGAAGATGCAGCGCGGAAATTCTCAGAGGGGTTGGGGCTCGCAATGCCATTGACTTGGATCCACTGACACCAAAGAAGGATAATTGCGGTAGTGCTTGATTCCACCAAACACCCGAGGTTCCTTTGAAGCAGAAAACACCTGCCGCTTTCAATGCCTCGAGCCTGAACGCCTAGAATATTTACCACAGGCTATCGACGTCTTTGTCTGTAGAGCACTCATGGGAGTTGACTGACCTTATCCAGAAGTCTGAGCAAAACTTGAGGGGGCATTGAAAGAAAGCTTCTCAACATTAGCTTTGCTTCCCCTGCTCACCTTTAGAAGCGAAGAGCAGCCCCAAGAAGACAACCATAGCAGCAACAAAAAAGTAGCTTCTGCCAAAAGGCGTCGCCATTGTGAACTTGCAGCTGCAGAAAAGGCACAGGTGGTGTGCTTCTAGGCCACGTGCATGTCTGCTGAGATACGGTACAAGCGGGTCTATTTCTAAAGAAGGCACAGCAATCTCTTGTCTGAAGTGAACGATGGCACTTTGGCTACTAGCCAATGGGGCAAGCTTGAAAGGTTGAAAGTGGGTGCCGCTTCCTCTTCAACACCTTGTGTATCCTGGCATCTCAAGGCTTTTTTCTTGATGAAAATGCAAGCAGCCAGCAAGGACATCAGGTGGCACCCTGTTGGCTGTGCACCTCCCAGCGCAACGAGAAGATGCCGTTAATCTTCTAGTCAGCTTGGGTCAGCTCGCCAATGCCATGCAATGGCCGCCCTCCCTGACGTAGTGAAACTTTTCAGAAGAATTTTGATTGTTCTTCTTCAATCAAGAACGCCCTCTGTTTGGAATTGGAACTGTTGATCAGTGTGAGGGAATTTGTCCACTTTGGAGTATGGAACCCTAAATCTAATCTTGCTGGTCCGATGACTAATTATGTAAACTAATCTACGATGTGATAAGGAAATCTGGTGACGTAGCCGCTCCCGATTCTCGTGTCTAAGGCGGGGTGAGGCAAGTACAACAAACAGGAAGTCGCTGCCCTTCGGTGAAAGAAACGGTAGCTCCGATTTTATACGAGCAAGTCAATGTATTTCGTTTAATAATTACTGTACATAACAAAACATAAAATCAGTTCTCACAACAATGCATGGGGGCACACAGAGTGTGCTGTAGCTCCGGCCATGGCGTCCGCTGCATGCTACTATTGCACCTTGAACAAAGCTGTTTATCTTTCTAGAGCTCTTTGCTCCGCTTTTCTGCAGCCTCAGAACAACCTTCCAGCTGCAGCTGCTTATGACAGGCTCGGTGGAAAACTCTCCAGGCAAAGTGTATTGTTTGTAGGGGACGAGACAGCTGTGCCTACTGCTAGGATTAAGTACAGGAGGATTGCTTCAGCAGCCATGAGTGACAGCCAGCTGAGGACTCAACAGGTACAGGCTTCTGAGGAAGTTGGGGCTTCCTCTTCTGAAGTGCGTTCAGCAGAGTCAATGCGGGAAGCAGGCGCTTCACCTGAGGCAGCCGCCGCCCGGGCCAGCCAATCAGAGGGGTGAGAAGAAAGACTAGTGTTCTAAGATCGCAAGGGTCGTGTGAACATGTACTCGAGCAGAGTAAGAACATGATTTGTGCAAAATTGTTCTGTTTCATCAGGCTGTCATACCAACTCTACTGTGCCATAAGGCAGCTGCGGGACTGGCATAAGCTTCGCAATCAAAGGCAGTGGCCATGTGCGAGGGATTCCCAAAGTGGTGCATGGCTCAAACTCTGATCGTGAGCGCTTATCTTGGTGAATCTGGCTTCAAAGTACTCCAAAAGTGGTGTTGATCATGGATCGAGGGTGCTTTGATAGGCCTGTCTTTTCTGTCCCCATGAAAGACCTGCTTTTCTACCATGCACGGGACCCTTCCGCTTTTGGGGATCCGAAGTAACTTCCAAACTGCACCCACCTACCAATTCCCACTGAGAGTACTCACTGTGCAAAGAAGAAGTCTATCAAAGCTATAGCCTCCCGGTGAACAAAGCTATATTTTCTTTCACCAGGCCCACGCTAACTTTTCCCCTACCTCTGAGCAGCGGTGACCGGCGGCGCCACCGTCTTATTGGAGATGTCCACAAAGCCTATGAAGAAAGCTCAAGGTTGCTCCCTGGGTGCTGGATTGTAGTGCGCGTCGACGGCCGGGCCTTCCACAGGTGCGCACACAACGCAGCTCCGAGAGCTTTCGGCCAGAGGATCAGCGCTCCATCTAACCAAAGATAGTTCTTTTTTCAAGTTGTTCTGTGCTTTGGCTTGTGTTGAGTCTTCAGACGAGTCAGGGCTTTGTGAAGATGTTCTATGTTATTATTTATACTCCATGAGATGTTGTCAGCGCCTCATTGGATCATGCCCTGACATGAAAAAAAGAGCCCAAGGTGCACCTGATGCGACCATTCGCCCAAGCCTGGAGAGTGCATATTGTATGTCTATCATGCTCAAATATCACCTTGGTGGCCGTTTCCTTCAACTCGATACTGGATATGTTGTACCTTGTGCGTTGCCTTTTCCACTGTTGATCTAGGGCTGTCGCCTTGCTGATTACGGATGACATTCTTTGGAAAAACATGCCAATTACGACCCTGACCATATTGTCATTTCCAAAACGACTCGTGTCGAGCGTTCCAACTCGTGTCAGCTCAAAGCAAGTCTGGCGTTTGCAAGCAGGCCAGCTCCCCTGCGCGTTCCAATCGTTTCTGCCTGTGGTTTTGATCAAACGGAGCACCGAGTGCCAGTGGTGCAGAAAGAAAAAAAACAGCATTTGAGAAAGGGAAAGGAGGTCGAAAACCAAGGAAGGACGAAATCAGATGCCAGAAGAACAGCGAAGTGACAACCAACTCATGCCACTTTCGTGCCCAGGTTTGTGGAAGTTCACAACTTCGCCCGCCCTCACGACCGCGCTGCCATCGGGCTCATGGAGGCAGCCGCAAAGGCAGTCACTGAGGAGTTTGCTGACATCATGCTGGCGTATGGCCAAAGCGATGAGTACAGGTGAAATTGTTTTGGCGGTATTAATGATTTAACGATGCATATTAAACAGTGATCCTCTTCTGGACTTCCGAAAGCTTTCTCACGCTGATGGCGGGCTGAGCGATTTTGGATCGAGAGCCAATGCCCTGCCCTGATTGGTACAGATCGTACCAAAACCGTAGGGCCTCAATGTTGGGATGACGTGAGGTGCCTGCGTATCCATCCTTGACCGAATAGCTTCGTAAGCAAACGCAAGCGGGACGATACGAGTCTAGTTTAGAGCCGAGACTTTCGTTGACCCAAAATGCTGGGTCGCCGTCTATCAAGCTCCAAAATGTTTGGAAGGCCGGAGCTTCGCGAAAGTGATCGATCGCAGTGCTTGTTTGGTGGTCTTCTTCGACTCAAATCACGCGTCTTTGTTGCCGCAGCTTCGTGTTTCACAAGGATACGGACATCTACAACCGGCGGACCAGGTAAGCTGTGGTCTTTGTGCAGATTGATCTGGAGCTTCGGGAATCCACTTGGTGACTTTCTTTGTAAAGAGTACTAAACGAAGCTTGAGGTGAAGAAAGCAGAGAGATATCGCCCCAGTACACTGCTTCTTCAAACCCACGTTTCCAAGCGATTTCGGTGTTACAACACACCGTTCTGACTCGAATGAAAATGGTAGAAAGCGCCAAACGCCCACTGTATCTCTTCGACAACCGTACCCGGCAGGCGTTGATTCTTCGCAGCACATTGCATCTTTCGTCGTCTTCAAGGTCTTGTATCTACTAGAATATCAATTGGCGGAAAGCTTACGCTTTCCAAGGTCAGAAAATTGCTGCTTTCGTTAGAAGCACTCAGATTGGTAAAGTCTCGTCAAGTCATTATTGTCAAAGCCTTGACGGAAGAATCATACTGTCAACACGTCAAATGTTAATAAGCTGAAGTGCACCTCAGTCGCCAAAACGAGCCCTGACTCCGCCCCTTTGCCAGCCGTGCAGCAAGTTCTCTACCCTCATCGCGTCCCTGTTCACATCGCACTTCGTCCTAAAATGGCCGTCGTTCTTCGACACCCCCCTCAAGCTCGCCCCCTCCTTCGACGGCCGAGCCGTCTGCTATCCTTCAGTGGAAATGGTCCGAGACTACCTCGCATGGCGGCAACTAGACTGTGAGTCGCGACCACGAAACGTGCAGTGGTTCGAAACTGCTCTCGAGATGCTCATTCTGGGGCTGCAATGCGGAGTCAGGTTCATGATCCTGGCAGTCTCACGTCAGCACATGGTCAAGCGGAAGCTCGGGATTTCCTACCGGCGATTCTGTTGAAGTCTTGAAGTAACGCGAGCTTCTTCTCTGTAAGTATAAAGCAGCGCTTGAATAGAGAATCCTTTGAATGTAGGTTAAGAGAGGTGCTTGGTCGTTCCAGCCGCACGGTGACAACTAAACACGCAACGGGCCGAAAATTCGATTATGGGCAATCCTACACACTTAAAGAGCGTCGGGAGCTTTTGTTCCTCAGGATGGGATGATTCTGGAAGACAACGGACGGCCCGGACTTTTGCAGAAAGCGCACATCCAAAGCGCGGTGTCTGTACTTCTCCGCTCTTTGTCCCGGCTGACACGGTCCGTACTCTCGTGCCAGGTCACACGAACTGCCTGTTTACGACGTGTTACTGGACGCTTGTCGACCGGGGAGGCAAGACCGGGAAGGAAGCGGATAAGATACTGAATGTAAGCTCTACCGTGCTCGCTCACGTCAGCGAGGTGAAGTACGCCCTCCAGAACCGTGCACGCACACGTCAGCGCTCTGGAAACCAATCCCCTTTTCCAGCAAACTTGAGCTTCACTTTATTCAAAACAGCACTGCTCCTTGCACGCCTTGGTTCCACAGCGCCTGCTTGTGCTGGTACTGAACCTGGTTCAATGTGCGGAACGCGGAGGAAATTGAGTTGGCATGAAGGGATTCGTGTCATGCGGACTGTCTCTGATTCGGTGGCCACGTTGTGGAGACCGATTCGACTGCGAAGCTGTTCACCTCCACCAAATTTCCTCTCCATCATCAGGATCCCTCTTCTCAAGTTCGTGGTCTATTGACCGTATTTACTCCGATCGTTGCTTTAGGGACTACCAAAGCTTAAGGGCCTGCGTTAGAAGGCAGACATGGGCGAAGGCACTTCACAGATACTCACCCAGCCCCGCTGTGCGCGCAGAAAGCGTCCAAGGGCTTCAAGAACGAGTTGCTCTTTTCGGAGTTTGGAATCAACTACAACGACCTGCCACCGGTGTTCAAACGAGGAACTCTGCTACTGAAACGGCGGGTAACCTCCCAGCCCGCGTTCCCACTCTTCGCCGCATTGTTTCATGCATGTTCCTAGTTTCCGAGAATGGAGAATCGATGTGGGTGTCAACGGTCGAGAGCGAAGGTCCTTTGGAAGGGTTCGGTTGGATGCTCTTCCGTTTCGGGGCATTTCGTTTCGCGAAATATTTGTTCTTGGTGATTGACAGACTCTCGTGTCACCAAATGGAATTGAGAAAGGGATCGTCGTTCATATCAGAGTGGATTTCTTTGACAGTCTGTCAAGTCAAAGCAAACGCAGCCGTACCTGGTTACCGTTTTGACAATTCTCTTGGAGGGGGTGCATCCAACACTTCCGCACGCTGCCAGCAAGAAACTGGCGATTCTGCGGGCCGTCCGATTTTCGGGTCCGTCCCACTAAAGACTGGTACTCACTGAGTCTGCATTTCGTGCCTCCAGCTTCGGGCCTTTAGGGCACAATCCGCAACAGTGTGTAAAGCGTGTGCTTCCTTTTGTGACGTTTGGTTTTCTGAGCAGCTTGCCAACTCCCTATGTTGATGCCAAACATCAAATCTCTTCTATTCACTAACGGCGATTTAGCTTATCTGAACGCCCGACTGTTGATCTGCTTCGGCATTTTCCATGAACACTCTGTCTTGCTCAACTTTCAGGAACAAGTCGAGCTGCGGACCAAAGAAGCGACTCCGTACACCCCTGCCGGGACTCCGTACTCTCGGACGCTCACGCACGTGGACGCTTTTCATGAAGACGTGGCGCAAGGGGACTTCTGGCTCAAGCACTGCTCCGCTCTCTTTTCGGATCAGACCAAAAGGATCGAGAAGCTGGAAACAATGCCCGGCGATGAACAGGCCGCTTCAAAAGAATCGCCCCAAGGGGGAGCTGTTTGTGAACATGGACCTGCATGATCTGGTGAGAAGTGCTTTGCAGGCGTGAAAGAGAATTGCTGAAAATTAGTTAAAATTACATCCTCCGCCTACTCGGCTTCCAGCGGTGCAGTAGTGCAGCCAACTGTCTTAGTTACGTGCATACTTCACGATGACCGAGTCACACAATCATCAGAGTCAAAAGTTACATAGGCGTGTGCACACTGAGCTACTTCAACGGGGTCGTGATATGCATACTGACCAGGCTGCTCGCATTTTTGCTCACCTGGCATGCAGCTCTGGGCTTGTGGACGGTACGTAACAGGCCACAGGCTGATACATTTCCGAGTGTATCCATCTTGTTTGGAGTTCGTTCTACGAACACTGAGCCGTCACCACACACGGGCCTCAGGATCCAACAGAGCAGATCTGCGATGCGCTGTGGGACATACACAGTATGAGGGCTTCTATACACAATGAAAGCGGACCTCATCACCTCATTATCTATGATCGTGCAATCATCGTATTTTGCACGTGCTTGCAACATGCTGTCTAATGGTGGATATGGTCATTCCGTTGCTCGGGCCTTCTTACCACGCTGCAGATCCATTGGAGGTACGCTGCAATAGTACCGCAACAATCCAGCTTCAGAGGAATCCTCTTGGATCTGACTCTCAATTGCAATTCTCAAGCGACGTCGGGCCGTGCGCTGAACACACGTGTGCGGATCAACTAAAGAGCCCCTCATGCCCCCACCCGTTACCAAAACAGCACTACGGTACTGTAGCGGCCCAGGGAGCGAGCGGTGAGCAATTTATACAGGACATATGAGCGCTGTAAAGTGGGCCACGGTGTCTTAGCCAGGGTCGATCGGCCACGTGGACCGTAAAAGCTCATTTGATTGACCGACACAGCCGAAAATACGGGCTTAGGGGTGTGTCGCATGCACCCTCTACCGCTAAAAAATCGACAAATTGTAGCGGAAATCTGTGTCGCATGGACCCGGTACGGCTATAATATTTAATGCCGCGCATGCGAAATTCCGCTACAAAATGTCGATTCCGCTACATCGTGAGACCGCGGTTCTTCCATCTACAGAATGTAGCGGGTTCCGCTATCTGCACCACGTGATCAGATTGACAGTGCTGATTGGCTACCTTCGTTCTCCATGAATATACCAACGCGGGAACAGGTCCGAACTACCCGCGCTTTTCCCTTCAAGTTCAACCCAGGCTTGAGCCGCAGTGCCAATGGCTGCCAGCTGCCAAGCTTCTCATAGAACAGTGCCGCTCTCTACAAGTTTTTTACGAGCGAGGACTGCAATAGAGCGCTCAGAATTCTCCTTAGCAGGGACGCAGTGCTGCAAAGCTGAGCACCTAATGCAAGTTGACAACACTGACCAATGGTAACGTTTGCACCAAGGTGACAGTCGCTATCATGTCAACTTTTCCCGAATGGGGAGACGATCTTGTAGGGCTCGCAAACAGGGTGACTCAATATCTGGGCTTGCTTGATCCTCTGTGCATCCAGCAAACAAACCCTAGTCAGCTTGCGGCATATCTGGCTGCGGACAGTGGATTTGTCCAGCGCGTTTCTTATGACGGAGGACAGCCCAAGGTTGAAGTCCTTGCAAGCATCATTGAGCAGTATGTCCAGCGTTTTCAGATCCCTGAAGGGTTTGCAAGCTTTCAGGCCCCTGCGGTCCGCTCAGAATCCATCCAGACCAGTGTACCCACAACAGGTCAGGTTGACAGGTCGTTTCCTACCGCTGATTCCACAACAACACTGGAAGAACCTATTGTCCTACCAGCAACCCCAGCTGCAGACCCCAAGCAGCAACAGGCCCGGAATGTGGTGGGGGGAAAGAAAACACGAGTCAACTGGTTGATGTATGAGAACGAGATGCTTGTTGCTGAGATGAAGAATCATGAGGACATGTTGCTTGACAAAACCACAGGTATTAAGTACAGGACAATGAGTGCCAACGAGAAGTTTGAAAAGATCCAAGAACGGCTTTCCAAGTTACAGCCCCCTGTGTTGCGCACAGCGTCACAGATTGAAGACAAGTGGGATAGGCTCGCTGGAGATTTCAGGAAGGTGTTTGACTGGGATAAGAACACCCCAAGTGGAAAGCCGTCGTATTGGGACATGCCGCCAGACATGAAGAAGGACAACAGGATGCCTCCGTCATTTTCCAAGCCACTGTATTTGAGGTAAGCACGCTTCCACAAACCTGCAGTTGACTCAGCAGCTTGTAGATTACAGTGCTGTACAAATGTCTTCACTGTTTCTGAACTTGCAAGGACTGTCGAGCAGCTCACCGGCTTGTTAACAGCCCTACGTCTGTCTTCAGCTTCACTTGCCTTGCTCATTTACTATCGGTGCTTCTGGTTCAAGAAGGAATAGCGAGTTTCTTGCATGTGCAGGCTGCATCTGAGTGCTTTCCACATTACCATGGTCTCATCAAACACGTCAATGTTGTCCCACCTTCAGGAGAGGTGTCAAAGCTTGCGGACGAATTGCAAGCTGCAAGCTGCCCCTTTCGACAGTATCAGAATTCTGGCTCCTCTTGTTGGCACCCTGAACATTCCACAATGACTTTGCAAGTTGGGATAGATCATCAATCAAAGCTCGTGCCTGATGTTGTCATTGTCAACTTCTGCTGGTCCTAATATGTAGCTAGCATCTTTGCATTCTTCAGATTAAGTCACCTGTTGCGTGGACGGTGTTCTTTCCAAGAAGATCAAATTTCTTTCTAGGAATCAGCAGACTCGATCCTTATAGCAATGAGGCACAGACTCGGAGATCACTGAGCGGCTCTTCTCCTCTTGCAGCATGTTGTGGTTGAAGGACCGGGCCAGCGTACAACCGCCGCGGGTTTTTGACAGCGCCAGGCCTTTCAAGACTGTCTCCTCAGATGGCGGTTCTGGGAACACCGTGACTGGCGAGGAATCCTGCCCTTTCACAGAGGCGGAGATGGACGGCAGGCCCGTGGAGAAGCCCCACGACAGCTCCGGGATCGAACGCAGGGGGAATGGCCAAGCAAACAAGCGCAACCGGTCTGCCGCAGGGTTGGGTGATACTTTGCGTGCCAACAACGAGGCAACGAACAAGACTCTGCGGGAGAGTGAGGAACACAAGAACGCGCGTCATCAAGAGACGACAGCCTTGAAAAAGCAAGAATTAGAGTTGGAAACCAGAAAAGTGGCCTTGGCCGAAAAGAATGCAGAGCAAGCCAAAGAAACGGGTGCAGGACTGATTGGCGCATTGGGCTCGCTTGCCGAAGCTGTTTTGAAGCTAGCTAATAAGTAACGGCCTAACAAAGAATTGGACTTGCGGAAACTGCCCGGATTGCATATCAAATGATTCTGCAGGTTGAGTTGATTTCAAGACAGCTTTGATTGAAATGGCCGGTTTTAACATGAAGTACTCTCTGATAGTGCGAACATGCATGCTGCAAAGCATCATATACCATTCATGATTATCAAACAGGGTGACTATTGGTAGCCGAGATGAAAAGCTGTGTCTCTAATACATTATATTCATGCGCATACCACTGAAGTCAAAGAGCATATACATATGTACAGCATGCTAATAGCACACATAGCGTAGTGACACCAATGAAAGCATATGGAACATTGTCTATATGCCGTGATGAAGCTTACCCGGAGAACTTTGCTCACACTGAATGCAACCGAGCATTCAATATGTGCATAAAATATGCATATATCATGCAGCATCATATGCACATACCAATAGCATAAAGCAGAAGGCGCGCGGTAACATACATCATACAACATGGTCACACCTGCGACATACAACATACAGTATGTGCAACATATACAGCACACTATCAAGAGCAGATCACCTGGTAGCGCTTATTGCGATGAGAGTCACTGACTTGCGATCGTCGATTGTACTATGATAGTCCACTCAGATATTATGGATAGCTAGAGCACTGACAGTCACCCCACACCCAGTACTATTACACCGTAATTTAACGGGCCGAATAGGATGTGCATGCGTACTGACTATTTGTTGGTTGTCCGCATGTGGTAGCTTTCATGGGCATGGCCGGACGTAACATATAGACATAGCAAGCTGCTAGCTGGTCATCAGTGCTCAACGCTAGTTGCATCATTGATGCAGTGACTCCCGCTGATTGTTCAAAGCCCAGCCCAGCCTACAGTATATCTTCATGCAACGCTCATTGCAGCATAGATATATTTCATATCATATGATCCGAAGCATTGCTAGCGCTTGAGATTGTTGGAACGAGTTCAATCCTTCCAAGTGGTCGTTCCTTCATACAGATTCCGATGCCACGTCAAACCCGGTTCTTTATGTGTTCTACACAAGGAGACATAAGGGCACTATTGTCAAATTGATGCAAATGGAAGGAGGGATTGGCCAATCCTCGGTGGCTCTGGTCAACACGAATGGCGGCGGCGGACACAACCTTAGTATTTGCGAATCCCTTGACATCAATACAACTGAATGTATCTAGAAAGCAAGGCAAATACTTGCTTCGACTTACAATGGCGGCTTCGAAGCAAGAAGCACCGTTGATTCACTACGTGTTTGTTTGTTGAGAATAGAGTATGAGTGATATTACTTCAACGGCTTCGGTCAAGAGAACGGAGAGTCAATGATTTGGTTGCTCAAGCAGCGACCGGTGGGTACTCATATGAGGACTCTTGATATTGTCACCTATTCGTCAAATAAAGAGTCTGCTAGAGCGTTTCGAATCATCTCAGCCCTGTCCAAGTCAGCAATGGGGATAGGGACCGCGTTGGGGCCACCATTTGGCACGAACCGTGGATTGCCGTTGAGACCATGTCGAAGACCACGGTCCATGACGTCACCCCTATCAATTCGCATATTATGCAGAATCGCACAAGCCGCCACATAAATAGGAAGCCGGGTTGTGCTCGGTTTCTGCACTCTTTGGAGCAGGTAGCGCTGCACTCCCTTCAAATCTGCATTAGTTTGCTCAACGCAAATCCTAGTACTAGACTGCTTGTAGTTGAAACTAGACTGGACCGGATTCAGATTGTAACGGCACGACTGCGCACCGACTTCTGGCTGCGCGCCAAACTCGCGGCCGCGCATCGTCCGTTATATACGCTATCGACTTATTTAATATATCGAATCACTACG